TAACACTACATCAATTGAGGCCATTGCCTTGTAAATGTAATTTGACACCCCAAAAATGAAATACGATCACTACAGCAGCTTGCCCTTTGAGCTTTACCGCGACCTAATCACGTAGGCGGTGACCTTGGAAATTAGGTCACGTTACGTGGGCGCTGGAAATTATTTTCAAGTTTCTAGGTTTGCCGCTAGAGGGCGTACAATTAATGGTTAACTTAAAGTCACTAATTATAGAAAGTACCGCAATCCATTGGGCTCGTGTGTTAGAGAGATAACGCATGATTTTTGCCCAAAAATGGCGGAAGTTACCAGATTCTAGTAACTTTAATGTTAGGGATTGTTCCACCTGTTTGGAGATATCTGTATATATTTGTAGTGAAGAGATCGCCAGCTACGCCACTGGTACCGGAAAACCGAACACCCCCACCCGCGGTTAGAGTACTACGTGGATGGGCTCGGCAGTAGCGCTGCGGCAGTCCAAGCATCTTCCTCAACAGTTCAAGACGTGTATTATTCATTTAGTTGTATTTCTAGAATGTAGTAGTCGTGTTAAATAGATGTTAGTAACATAGGTATAGCTGTTGTGTTTTAAATTGCGGTCGTACGTGGGCAAAATCCACTTCGTCATGGAGCGACCTACTCCCATCCACTTCTACGACACAACAATATTTTTATAAAACATGACAGTACTATGAAGTTAGGTTATAAAAAATTACAGCTATTAAGATTTTATTTGTAAATTTTTTTAAGTTGGCAGCAAATTTGCCCAAAAATGGCGGATGATTGCGGTACTTTCTATATCTAGTGACTTTAGGTTAACTAGGAAAATGATTTTTTTTTCGTAAAATGTACCTAACAAACGTGCATAACAAAAACATACATCGCACCGCATTTTGATACCTATCTGTTTCCTAAGCAGAGATATGGCGAAAATCCGCACATTCACAAATTTAAATTGCAATGTTTATATGCACAAATTGGCTTTGAAACAAAAGAACACGTAACAACCGATAATGAAAATAATAATTAACAGTTTAACACTTAAAAAAAGTTTCTAAATTATGAGCAACAAATAAATTATTCAAACTATAAATCAGAGAAATATAATTTAAATAATAATAATAATAATAATAATAATAAAAAACGCAATACTCCTTCTTCTCAGAAACAACCCACTCGTATACAACCCAAACGCAAAAACCTTGACAGCACTACTAGCTCACAAAATACTGCAATATCTCCACCAAAAACCCAAGCAACCACACAAATACAACCTCAAGAACAAAGAAACACCACAAATACAAGTAACGCAACTTGCACTACAAAGACAGGTCCACCCAATAAAGTTACACGTCCTAGCACAGTTAAAAAACACAAAACTCCTTCTTCACAGAAACACACCACGTTATCACAACCAACTCGGATTCAACCGAAACGCGAAAACCTTAACAGAACTACATGCTCACAACATACTGTAATATCTCCACCAAAAACCCAAGCAACCACACAAATACAACCTCAAGAACAAAGAAACACCATAAATACAAGTAACGCAACATGCACTACAAAGACAGGTCCACCCAATAAAGTTACACGTCCTAGCACAGTTAAAAAACGCAATACTCCTTCTTCTCAGAAACAACCCACTCGTATACAACCGAAGCGCAAAAACCTTAACAGCACCACAGGCTCACAAAATACTGCAATATCTCCACCAAAAACCCAAGCAACCTCACAAATACGACCTCAGGAACAAAGAAACACCATAAATACAATTAAAAAACACAAAACTCCTTCTTCACATAAACACACCACGTTATCACAACCCACTCGTATTCAACCCAAACGCAAAGCCAAAGAAACACTTACACAATAAACTCTATTTAATAAAATTACAGGAATTATTATAATGATATTTTTGTTTTGTTTTCTTCTTTCCTGATAGCGTTGACTATTGGGGCCATTAATAGCTATGTTGGTAAGTATGAATTACATACTATCTCTAGATTTCCAATGTGAGTGTGTGAATATTTATTTTATTTTTTATTTTTCTTTAGAATCCTACATAACTTCACCAGACACAGACACAGACACTAATCGTTACTTGATTTTAATCCGTGCGATTAGTTAACCAGGCTAGACCTGAGTTCTCACAAGAAACACCGACAATAATAATAATAAATCGTTTATTGGGTTTAACATGGAATACAACATCAGGTACATGATCATTACAATTTCTTAGTCCTTCCAGTTTCCCCCAAGGGGTTAAGATTCAGATTGGTCAAAAATATTAACCATCTGGTCTACCACTCAGCCCCAATACGCCATAGAGAGGTATACTTCAGTCGTGGAAATCTACCTACATCCATTAAATTGTGAAAAGGAGAGAAAGTTATAAGTCAATGATTTCAATTGAGTAAGATGGTACAAATGTACATTAATTATAGGTATTACACTTCACCAGAATAAAGCTTATTTTTAATTAAGGTTTTGAACTGTGCTAGCGACATAGATGAAAAGTTAATTTTTAGTTTGTTTAGATAAAAAGCTATTAAATAAGAGAAGGACCTTTTATATAACTGAATATTGTGCTTAGGTTAGTTCTGAACCGTATTTTGTTAACGAGAAATTGTGGGCATTTATTGACAACTATTTTATAAAAAGTGCAGTAGCAATGCAGCTTCCTTCGATCTTCCATTTTCAACCAACCTGCCTTACTAATGTAATGGGAAATTCCTTCCCTTCTTCTGACGCCAAATATAAACCTAAGACAGGAGTTTTGAACGATTTGAATTCGTCTTATTTCGCAGGAATCCAAATTTGAACTGTAGACGACATCACAATAATTAAAATTCGATAAAATGAGAGTATCGCAAAGCAACTTTTTTAAATGTTGATTTAATGAATGCCTATGAGAATACAACAATTTCAGCGTAAAATATGATTTTTGCATTAATTTTGAGATATGCAACTTAAATCGCAAATCTGAATCCATAATGAGCCCAAGATTTTTAGCACTATCCACAAGTGGGAGTATTGTACCGTTCATGGATACTCGAGTGAGATTTATTAACGGTAGTCTATTCCTCTTACTCCCAAATAGCATAACTTTACATTTATTAGAGTTTAAGGTAAGACTATATTTATTAGAATTTGTTGACAATTGTTGGAGGTCCAGATTTAGATTGTTTACTGCGCTTTGAAATTCACTTTTAGGGAATGAGATATAGATCTGAGTATCATCTGCAAAAATATGGACTTTGGTATGCTTTATGTCCTTATATAAAAACGCGGTGTAAATCGTAAAAAGTAGGGGACCGAGTATGGAACCCTGAGGCACTCCCGACTGTACTGTAACAGGACTTGATTGATTATTTCCCATGCACACGATCTGTTTTCTATTACATAAATAGCTACGAAAAAATGCAACTGCTTCAGCGTTAAGACCTAGGTAACCTAAAATGGACACAAGCAGAGAATGATTCACAGTGTCGAATGCCTTTGAATAGTCAAGAAGTGCTAATAATAAACAGTTACCTTGATCCACAGCTTTTAATATATCATCAACAATATCGAGAAGTGCTCCAGGGCAACCATACCCAGCACGAAATCCAGATTGCGTAACGGGGAGGACATGAAGTTGATTAATATAGTCAGTCAACTGCGCAACAATAACTTTTTCCAAATAATAAAAGAAACAATAGTTATGATTAACGACTAACGTAAATGTTCAAAATCATTTTCGATACAAAGGCGAAGTCTCTGCGGAGTAGTTTTTTTCGTGGCATTGTGTGACACTTTAGTCCCTTAAATGAAAGACAAAATACGTTAATTTAATCCAGGAAATACAAAGAAGCCAAAATTTAACCCTGTGATGTTAAGGTTCCAAAGGGTCACCAAATCCTTAAATCGGTAATAGAAGTCCTAATAAGCAGTAGAAAATTCCTCCTACACATCCCTTTCCAACAATCTATGAGTTTATGCATTCAAACTAACCACAGCAAACTACACCTATGTGAAGCAGCCAGTTTCCAGCAACCAAACTGTCAAAAACGCCCGAACGTTCTGTGCAGCCCTTGGAAAATACGGTAAACCGTTGAAAAATGGCTGCTATTGCAGTCACAGCTGTAATCACTAGATGAATATATAAGAAAAGAGATTTGAAACTCCTAAATTAAATTAAGATTCATCTTTAGTACTGGTACTGCCAAAAAATTGTCATTCATTTAGTGAACGGCCGAGAGGACTAAATCTATACCTAAGCATTGAATAAAAAATTAACTAAGGTACTTCATTTAACGCCCGTGAGAAAAAAAGTTTCAAATTCTTGAGTTTGTTAAAACGTTAAGATTCATTTTTAGTACTATCCAAAGAACTGGTAGATATTTAGTGACCGTCCGAAGGGATAAAGTCCGCAATAAAATTCGTTTTTGTACCCACGAAAGAGTGGGTTCAGATTTCCATGTTTGTTAATCCGTTTTTACTACCGAAAAACATTGTCATTCATTTAGCCACCGTCCGAGGGGGTGAAATCTGCCCTTAACGTTGGAAATAATTCGTTTAACAATCAAGAGAAGACTTTTTAAATGTTTACTATACTTCTAATAATGTAAGCTACGCTACCAGACGTTCGGGTTTCTTTGGCAATTGTTTGTTAACTTCACCCATTGTTCATTAGTCGCTTTTTACGACATCCAGTGGCTCTGCATCCAGCCTCTACACGGGAATTCCAAAACTTACTCGAACATATAAAAATACTTCGTTTTTATGTCCCAGAGCAAGCGAATAAGGATGCATCGACCTTTACTGGAAAGATCCCCCCGAGATATATTTTTGGGAAATAAATGGCTGGTAAAAATGGTTCATGTGCAAAGTTTATCTCGATGTGTTATTGAAAACACTGTATTGAAATATTGCCACGGTGACACAATCTCGTGTGACCGATGTAGGTACACAAACTTCTGCGACGCTGGTCACACAAAACACTTAAATTAAATCAGGCATTTACATAAAACGAAGATTTATTGGCACTTATAAGTTAGGTACAACGTATTTAAAAAATAAACCTAATTACCTACTGCAAGGTCTCTCCTTTATTTTCGCGTTTGTCGTTGTGTAAACTGCTCGTCACAGAGTCAACCGACGTCGCATCCGCGTCGTAGCTTGGCCCAAAGTTTCTACCCGAAGGGGCATAACCGCCGATGCTATTTGTATTGTAACCACCGTAGCCCGGCTGATATCCGCCACCAAAGCCTGGATTATATCCATTGTAGCCTGGATATCCTTGGTAGCCGAATTCGCCTCCTAAGCCGGGATATCCGGGGTATCCGCCGATTGCGCTTCCGTATCCGGGGTACCCGCCGAAATTATTGTAACCGCCGCCGTAGTAACCTGGGCGATAACCCGGTCGATAATATCCACCCAGACCCGACGGTCTGTAGCCATTGTATCCACCGTAACCGCCGTATCCGCCGTATCCACCGTATCCGCCGTAATTGTTGTAACCATTATAGCCCCCATAGTAACCGTTGCCGAAGCCCAAATTACCCAACAGGCCGTAGCCGGAACCTTTCGCGGTCACAACAGCGGCAAGTGCACATAAAACAATCTGAAAATGAAATTTTTGTGTAACAATTCGAAAAGTCAACTTACTCACATAAGACTTCATCTTGAGGCAAAACTTAAAAATATGCCAGCGTATTCGAATGACATGTTACTTATAGTGCTGCATCTGTTATTAACCTTGATGATGGTTCTCCCACTTGGGAGACCACGCCGTAGTTAATTTATTCACGCGTGCCCTACGAAAGTGAAATTCGAAGTAGGTAGTGATTCAGGTCTCTTGCTTTTGTAAGAGTCCATTGACATTGATGATTAAGTATTGTTACTCTAGTTTTGCAGGTGAATTGCGTTCTAGGAAAGGACGAGGTATTTAACGTATACGCTTTACGGTCAATTTAATAAACCTCCACACTAATTGCAATTATTACACGAAGGTAGCTGAATTGAAAGACAATTTGCCTTTTGTTTACCATGTGTCACCTCGCCAGTGACTTTGGTGGTCGAAGCTAATTGCTTTTGTGTGTTTTTTGTCAGAAAAAGTGTTCTGAAACTATAATAAAAGCTTATCATCGCCAAGATGGGCGTTTTCGCTGCAAGGTATGTGGTCATGGTCACTCTCAAAATATCACAATTACCAATATTTACATTTTTCACTTAGAACAGGAAACTTATTAACATGCCCTTGCTAGATAAAGCCTCTTTATGTATGATGATATAGTATAATTCGGATACGTCCAAACAAACATGAGAACCATTTTAAATGGCTTGATTCATCTGTTTGGTCAAATACACCACTTCCTGCCCTTTCAGTTAAAAGAAAAGTGTTTTTACGTTTAATAAAAATAAGTAATTTGAACTTAGTCCAAAGTGTAATTGAAGGTCGACAGTTTCTTGCTTATATTTAATTAACAAAATAATAGTGAATTCTCCTGTGAATTCTATATATACATTTTAGATTCAAATTATTCTTTTAATTTGCATTCCCAATGTTTTTATTTTCTTTAGGCTGATGATTATGCAGGATCTCCACGTTACAAACTCCCATTAGACATTCACGGCGGCGTGTTAATAGGGTTTTCATATTTTACGGAACCATCGTTTTACGTTTATTAAAAACTAATTTGTTCAGTCAGTGATTAATTAACTAACTATTTGTATATGTTTCAAGAATTCGGCTTCTTTAACAGCTTATTGTACCTACTAACATTAAAGCATTGTAGGTAACTGCAAACCTAAATGCCTAAACCATTTTTTAAATGAAACCCCCTGTATATTACTATATTATTTCGATTCCTTGGTTAATTTTAGATGTGACTTTATTCATTACACATGATATCTAAAATGAGTCGTTTAGCCGCAATTTGTCGTTTTTTCAAAAAGTAGATGTCCAATAAAAGTTGAATATCGCAATTTATCATGAAACATACGCCGAACGGCTAAAGTTAAACTTCTTTTGGGTTAAAAGAAATAACTCCGTCAATTTTCAAAATTTCAATCAAAGGTAACTTGATTTTTTTAAATAGAACTACCAAGTTTTTATCGCATCAAATGTAGGTTTTTATTACCTTTTTAACGATATAAGCATGTCAATATTTATCTTTTACATATTTTTTGTAATTCAACAATTTCGAATAATCCACACAGTGTTTTTCGATTTTCAAAGCCTCTTAGTAGTTAGTAGGCCGTTAAAAATTATAAACAATTGAATTTATTCGACTTCACCTTCACCAATAGTCTCGTCCAGAGAAATCATTTTGCCTTTATGGGTACTCCGACAAACCTTTTTCGAGATATTAGCCCTTAAAATATTGACATCACCAATAGATATATTTCTTCCATACGTTCCAATCGCCCTTTGTGAGAACCCTCCTCTGACAATATGTTTTTGAGATATAAGGAATTACTTATATCCAATCACGATAAGGGGTCGAGGAGGAGGATTATGATTGGTAAAAATTAATTCCTTTCGTTGAGACTTTTCATTAGAGTACCATGAAGGATAAAACCAGTTCCTGTTTTGGTTTGTGATTTATTTTTTTAAAGAGAATTTGGACATCGTTTGCGTCCCTAATGAATATCTCTACACATTCCCATGATTTAGTTCTTTGAGAAGCCAAAGTGTACAAAATTTAAAGGCTATATTGACGCTCCATCGGCTTCATACCGTTCGTTTATTGTACAGTTATTAATTTCGTGACCTTTTCCACAGTACGCTCTGCTCACTCCTGAAACGGATATTCGAACGCACCTTTGCTTCACAGTACACAAAGAGTACCCCTCTTTGGTATATAGTATTATTCGCCGACATATAAGTACAAATAAGTAATAAGGCTTTTTGTGCCCCGTCTTCGGGCCAAGCGTGACGCGTGACAATATACAGGGTGTCCATTATGTATGGAATATAGTATATAGCTTGGTAAATATCGAATGTATACAAAAATTTTTATATGAAAGTTGTTTAACATTCTATTTCCCATAATAAGGCAACATTCAGTTGTTTTTATTTCAGAAGACAAATGAGTAACGAAAAAAAATTGAATTTTTTTAAATGTACAGTGCACCTTTTCATTAGGCTCATTTGATTGAGATTTTTTTTTCTCTTTTCGACGATATAATATGTTAGTACCCTTATTCAAGAGAATTTTTCAAAAAAATTTATTATAATTAGATCAATAACATTAATCCAGATATCATAATTTCTTCTACACGGCTGCTAACGTGTTAGGTACGTCATTGAAAAGAGAAAAAAATCTCTATCAAATGAGGTTAATGAAAGTGTGCATTGCTATTTAAAAAAATTCAATTGTTTTTGGTTATTCATTTGTTTTCTGAAATAAAACCAATGGAATGCTTACTTATTATGGAAAATAAAATGTTAAACAACTTTAATATAGAAAAAATTTTGTATACAGTCGATATTTACATAATGGCTACCCCCCCTAAATCGGGACGCCTGACAGCCCTAGTTTCCACTCATTGTTGTCCCTTCTGTAAATTGTTGCGATTACGTTTCCAGCAAATTTTCATCGGTGTTTTTTTGCTTCGAGTACCTTTACGTTTTTCCAAGCCCTCACAGTATGCGCCCAAAGCCCGGATCGATGGTCAAATCTGCCAACCTGCACAATTTGTTCAACGGCCATTCTAGTACTACTACGTACTCCAGGAATGGAACCCATCTGACTCTTTACCAATATTAAAAGTTAAAGCGGTTAAAGCGGCATTACGCTGGGTTAGATATATCAATTGCCGTATTAGTGGTTCACGACGATTTCCAACAATTCGTTTATAGTTTTTTATTTCACATATTGTCTATGAGGAGTCAAAAAATTCATTATGAAGTAGGTGTAATGGTTAATAATCTTCACATCCGAGGAGTTTTGCTGGTGGACATTTTTTGACTCAACTCAAGGTTGGCTTCTGTTGAAAATTTGAAACCTTATCAAAAGCAGTAGATTACTAATTACAAAGTAACTTTTTAATTAATAACACTTTCTCAGTTTCAATAGTTTAGTTTTACATGTACATCGAGTTCTACCAATCAGGAAGAAGCAGTGGTGTAAATGTTGCCGCGGGGAATGGCATTGGATGATAAGTTACAGTCTCACCATTTGAATGGATCATGGAGATGGAGTCCTGCCATAGTGTTCACTTGATCGCAAATCAATTACCTACCATGAGGTGAGGTTTCCAACAAAAATGTGGTACCGATATGGCAATGTAGTAGCAACTAGCAAGACTGGTAGGAAGAGGGCATTCACAAAAAGAAGTAAGATTTTACTTATGACATATGATGAGGCATTATCTCTAGTTATTCGTTCAATACTGTAATTGTGAAAGTTTATTAATAATACATACAGCGTTGCTATGGCAGCACTGTCAAATACATAACATTTTATTTTAACATATTCAGTTTGCATCAACCTTGACAGTCTATCTTGGCGCCATAGCAACAGTGTTCTAAACGAGCAAGTAAATGGGAACCGTTTTGCCTGTTTTCCAATTGGATTGGTCCACTATTGGCACGATTCTACACTACAATAAAAAAAATCCTGTAAAAGAAACACAGGTAGATGACTTGTTGTAAATAAACCAGTACGTTAGTTTACACGATTTATTGTGGTGTACAATCATGCCAATTGCGAATTTTAATTAATGCAAAATATATTACCGTTTTTTTTGTTTTGTAGGAATACCATTGTTTCAATTTCCTATGTCAGTGGTCGCTGACCGGTGATGTTTTTACCCACTTGACTAACTGCCGATTCATTGTCTGTTAATTGAAAATTATGACGTTGTAGTGTTTTTCCTGCCTCTACGCCGACTTTGTTCCTTGCATGAGTCTATTTTGGACATCTCAAAACTGAGTTATTTTGGTAATGTTGCATGCAGGTATCACACGGTACCTACATACCTCGTTTTCAGTAAACTGCTAATGTGTCGATTCCTGCAGTAAAATCAATTACTTATGTATATTGATATTTCTGTTTTGATCTAATTATGCGCTGGTTCATTCCACTTTTTGTTTGTAAATTTGCATTTAGAGGAGTTTGGTGGAATAAGCGAGATGCGTGGTCAAGTACCTACTTCATCTGAAAACGCTCACGTGGTAAAATGGAAGATTTCCACTTGGGTTTGGGAAATGCAAACATGGATTTTAAAGGTATCAGGTATCTTTAACAAAATCACCGGTCTTACTTTACGCTATTTGACGAAATTGGCACGGCTATGGATGTCGAAGATGATTTACCTTCACCGTATAGAGTCGATTATTGCGCTGTTTGGTCCTCTTCCGATGAAGTTCACAAGCCAAACAGATGCCCAAATTGGAACCAAATCGATAATATTTCTTCAGAAAAGCCGATTAGGTACATAGGAGGGGGAAGCCCGCAGGCCAAGACTCTTTTTGATCGTGGGTTTTTGATATCATACAAAGGAATTTCTCTTTCTAAACTCTTTGTTTATTAAACGAAGGGTTTCCACGTTGTGAACAATAAACTTTTGCGTTTCCACGTGTAATTCCGGTAGATTTAATTAGCAGTACGTTACCATTAACCGAATTCTTTATTTTTATCGTTTAAAGAAGCCATTATGCAAATTTATTGTTTTCAAAGATAGTTTGAACTTCCGCTCTATGTATAGTAATGCTCATTCCATATGAAATGTTAATGTTCCCTTTGTTTTTGTGAGCACATAGTTCAAATCTCTGACACACTTACAGGAGGTTATGGCGCTCAAAAATAACTGATAGCATGAGCTTATTGAATTTTTATACATATCTGTTACAATTTCGACGCCATTTACGAAGATCAAAGAAGAAAAAATTACAAAAGTCCTCGTATGTGCATCGATGAGACTTCAGCGAATTTTTGGCGTGACGGATCAGTATTGCATTAGCAATCAGTATTTTATCAGAAAATTTTAATTATAAAATAAGGTTTATGCAAACATATTTCTTTATTAATTTTCACGAACTCTAATAATAATTGGACGATGGTATGAACAGTACGACTCGTAAACCGAACAATCAACAGTGTAGTTGACCATTTTGCCAAAAACTCCGTCAATTATTGTTCCGCCATTCGTTGTCACTGTTCGGGGAAAGATGATCACTATATTGAATTTCTCTTGAAGAAATTTCTCTACCCGATTTCCGACAGTTAATGGGAAATTAAAGTCTCCCATAATCAAGACGTCTTCAGTTGCCTCAATGAAATCCCCGATTTCCGATAACGCTGCAATCAACAAGTTGTTGCCTTTACTAGGAGCATCAGTGGTTCAAATTTCAAAGAAATATCTCCATAAATAAGAAAGTTGGCATTGCGCAGTCACTGCGCATGTCTACACATAATTTTTACTATTTGCGAAATGTTTGCCTTTACTAGAAGCATCTATGGTTAAAATTTCAAAGAAATATCTCCATAAATAAGAAAGTTGACATTGCGCAGTCACTGCGCATGCCTACACATAATTTTTACTATTTGCAAAATGTTTGCCTTTACTAGAAGCATCTGTGGTTCCAATTTCAAAGAAATATCTCCATAAATAGGAAAGTTGGCATTGCGCAGTCCCATTCCGCAGGGACTGGGCATGCGCACACATCATTTTTAGTATGTGCGCAATGTTTGCCTTTACTAGAAGCATCTGTGGTTAAAATTTCAAAGAAAAATCTCAGTAAATAGGAAAGTTCGCATTGCGCAGTCACTGCGCATGTCTACATAATTTTTACTATGTGTGAAATGTTTGCCTTTACTAGAAGCATCTGTGGTTAAAATTTCAAAGAAATATCTCCATAAATAGCAAAGTTGGCATTGCGCAGTCACTGCGCATGCCTACACATAATTTTTACTATTTGCGAAATGTTTGCCTTTACTAGAAGCATCTGTGGTTCCAATTTCAAAGAAATATCTCCATAGATAGGAAAGTTGGCATTGCGCAGTCCCTGCGCATGCGCACACATAATTTTTAGTATGTGCGCAATGTTTGCCTTTACTAGAAGCATCTGTGGTTAAAATTTCAAAGAAATATCTCCATAAATAAGAAAGTTGGCAATGCGCAGTCTGCGCAAAATAGAGAGTGCAATAAAACTGTCTGAAATGGGCAAATATAGACCATAGCAGCTATCAATTAGCGAAAACCCGAAGTCTTTAGGTGTCCCAGGGGCCGAGATCTCGATGGAACGGACGGACGGACGGGCGGACGGACAGACGGAAACACGAGCACATAAGCGTTACCTCAACTTCGTTGTGTTACGGTAAAAACCGCTCAGACCTGGATACGATATTTTTAACCGAAATTATACCACAAACTGTAAAACTCATCACCGTGTTATGATTTTGATTAGTTTTCACCTTGAAGTAGTTATCCTAGATAAGTCATATTAGTGACCGTAGTTAGGCAATGCCAAAAGTATATTTTATAAAAAAGCCATTCCTCTACATCAATCGGATCGGCTTAAAATCGATATACGCACGGACAAGTTTTCAAGCTGCGTTAGTTATTTCGCAAATTCTAATTAAACGCAACCACTACGGGCTTAATGAATGTCCATTGCGCCAATAACTCGACAAGACGGAGATAATGCAAAAAACCGGACCTCTCTACGATGTCTAGATCAAAAGTTTTTCAATCCGCCCAGCCAGCCAGCCAGCCAACCAGCCAGCCAGCCGGACAAAGTGAAATGATAAGCTCCTTTTTGTTACCAAAAATGCGCTAAAAATGATCATGTACCTACGCCTAGTAATCGAAGGTCTATGTTTAACCCAAAATAAAGATAATATAGGAGATCGTTTTCGGTACCTACCTCCGAGCTCCGACGTCCCGTTCACCTGCAATTCGGGTTTGAAATTTTAACTCCACCATCGGTAAGATCTTGTCGGGGGCTACCGCATGCCCTTTGTCGGTACCCAGGTCCGACGTCCGGTTCACCCGCAATTCGTATTTTGGTGAATTTCGTTAAAAACCCGCCAAAACTAGTACTCAATTTTTTGGTACTTTCAATAGCTCGAGCTTCTATTGGCGACACGAGAGAGAGAGACCGCGATTAGGCTCTAAGAAACTGTTGGGCGTCTAAAGTCGACTACCCTTAGAAGACTTGCAAAAGGTGGTTAATTTCGCCCCTAGAAAAAAAACAGAATTCCGGCACGCAGAAGTTGTGCGCGTTTAGAAGATCTTTCCGACGACACCAATTTGAAAACGATCGGACCAAGCTGTAGAAGAAGATAGGAAAAACCTGAAAAATCTCCAGGTTAGTATAACACGCTCGGGGATGGCTCCACATCATGTAGCCCCACATCCCTAAAGTTTTTTATTACACGGCCACGGCAGGTACATGTAGACTCCTCGTCTTTCTACAGGCATTCTTCTAGGGGCCCGCATTTGCTGCCAGCTGGCCAGCCAGCCAGTCAAAATGAGATTAAAAGAGTCCAACCTGTCTTGGAGGCACTTGACAAATTTTTAGTACGCACCACAACAGATATCCCTAGTCACAGACACTGGAAACAGCCGCAGGGCGTGATGGGGGTTCACACTGCGAACTCCCATATTTTAAAAAAATTATTATAGTTAACTAGAGTTAAATCAAAAATCTAAGAACGTACAACCCTTGAAGCTTCTAATTTACTTTGGTGTGATTGATAATAAAACTCATCTACACAGGATCTGGTTACCTAAACATTTGTAGAACATCCCTGTAAAGTGTAAGGTGGTTTCCAAGTAGCAAAAAATTACCAAGATATTTTCCCAACAGAAAATCCTTGCTTCTGAGGTGAACGAGGGCCATTTTTAAAAGTTTTGTAAAAATGTAGGGAGAAATACAATGTGTCCTTATCTATTGTTGCCACACACGTATTTTCATTAGAAGACATGACGCTGTCTTCCAATCCTCCATTTAGTTAATGTGACTTTTGAATTTTAAATACACCTGGAGGAACCATCCGCTTTAGAAACCAAAAAAAATACAAAAAAATGGTTGACATTTAACAGTGGCTCCTGTATCTAACTACATGAGAAGACATACCTTGCTTCCGTTTCTGACTAATTTGGTTTAGTTCTCCTGTTATAGCCTTTGATGGCTTTGATTGTCTTACAAAAAGGTAGGTGTCGACGACCCGTCACCAGCCAAACAAATATTTCTAGAACACTTTCCAACTTCGTAAAACAATAAATTAACATAATACGGAATGTCGTATACGACAACAATAAGAGCGTTAGAAACAATTGTGTAGCACTGCTTAAAGAGCACACCCTTAAAGCAATTTAAGACCATTTAACTGCAAAATAGTAATGAATTTGTTCATTCCAACATAGGAATGTATACATACAAGTTGTTTTTGTACTTGGCTTACTCTGAATGCGTGTATCGTAAGACAGGCATCAAGTTAAACTTTGGAGTAGGTAATGACGTCGAAATACAATGCAAAGGAAAAGCGTCAGTTCATACTGGAATACTGGAATAGTAAAATTTGAAAGCAAGAAAATTAATAGTGTAAGGAAAACCGTATTACTGTTAAAAACATGATACAACACTCCCGCATAAATACCTACGTGTACATTTTTTTAATGATTTGGATATCGTTGTGTAAACAACGTCATGGTAGACGTTATTTCGGTCTAAATACCAAAAATAATGACGGAACACCCTGTATGTGAAAATCTAGTGGCTTATTTACGAAATAAGCACAGAGTAATTGGTTTATTGTATTTGAATTTATGTCACAGTGTTGTTTTTTTGTGTGCAATTACGTTCTTGTTTAAATTTTATCGTTTTTGTCAACTGTTTATTTAGATTTGTGTATTTAATTGTAAAATGTGAAAATTCGTGTTAAAATATAAGGACGTTTGCAATAAGGATTTGTTATCAGCTGCAATTTAATTAACGCACGTGCTTTTATCGCTGTTAGAGGAATGGAGACGCGTTCTTTCTAAGCTGGCTTTATGTCTAATTCTAATTGGCATTGAAACTGAAAACTATTACTCAAAAAAACTAAGTAATTTTAAGATTTCTGTATTTTTAAATAATTTAAAAATCAAACGCTGTAATTAGTCAAAAGGATATTTTTAATTGGCAATGTAATTATATGATTTACAAGTGATGATCCAGAAGTCTCGAGCGCCACCAAAAGTTGCTTTTCTTCGCTCCTGGTCAAGGTCAGCGTAATAATTTTGGAAACCGCAGATAATTCAGTTAGAGAGTTAGAGTATACAGCGGTCGGTCTGTGATGGATAAAAGGCAACAGAGTTACGGCATACGTAAAAAACAACGATTTCCCAAAGCTGGAACGAAAGCAAAAATATCCAACTAAAAGTCTCGCCAGAGCATTAAATTTTGAACTTTAGATCTTAGAAGGAGATAAGAGACCAAACTTCCGCAAGGTAAGGGGTATAAAAACATTTTTTTATTAATTATTAATGAGATAGCCGTGGGAGTCATGAAAATTGATTGTCATATTAATATTTTTGCCAGTGTCGTAGAAGTCCAATTTTATTTTATAAGAGGCGTCTTGAACCTAAGTAATAGCTTAACTCCTTGCCCAACTTAACCAAAAATACACATAATACATACATACATAAAATAGGAACACACGAACGCACGGGCGAACTTTTTTATTTTTGGAAATGCACTAAATTGATCAAGTTTAGCTTACCCATTTTTCAACGAAGATTTCAGATTTTTTGAAATGTTTCCATAAGGTTGGCACTTTGAGAAAATTCAAAAACTGTCTGTTTGATTCAATCAGTTACCTTGAGTGTATTAATAAATTTGCACCAATTTATTTCGAGATTTTGATATGTGGATTATAAAGGCTACGTTTCAGAATATTCGGCATTCGGCAGTTTTATGGATGACTTCCCGCCAGATTGGCAGCTGCATACAATTCCGGAAGAGTCCTTTGGTACCAGTAATCGAGAAGAGAACGACGAGTAGAAAAACCTGAAACAGAAAAATTGGCGATTTTTAGTAAACGTTCGGGTAATAATTTTATCACTAACTGACGCGAACCCCATTTTGACTCTATTTGGCCAAATAATAAGCGGCACCCACATCCGATTAGGTTTCCAAACTTGATTAAGTCGAAATTGTTTTTTATTTTAACTACTTCACGCTACTTATGTAATAAATTTTAATTTTTATGGGCGATCCACTAAAATCGAACTCAATTATAATGCGACATTGAACGCGACGATTGTTTACATGATATGCGGCTTTGCTTTGACCTCTAATTTTTTGGGTTTGTCTGTAAGTTCCATCAGCACTCCTCGTCTGATGAATGTCTCCCTTCGGTTTACCAAAAATAATATCAATGAGAGTAAACTCGGAATCGTCGCTTTTTCCTAAACAATTTGATGTGCTAATGCTGTTGAATTGTCAGTTTGGTTTTGACTACATTTGACACACGCATAAGAGGGTGTCACTTTTTTAAATGAAAAGCACTGTTTTTCGTGAGGTGTTATTAAAGAATAAACTTTTTTTAATATGACAATATAAAAACCATAGCCAAAGTAAAATTATTAAATTAATTAACAAACTATTTTCCTTAAAATAAGTGTTTCTCTTAAATTTGATTATGCAGTACAATAACTGTGTTATGCTGCTATATTCAAAAACGTGTGCTCTTTGAGATAATGTAATGAAAACTAGAGGGTTACTATTTAAAAAAAATATTCTCCTTTGACCATGCTCAAGTAAGCCACTGACCACAATTTTAAAGTACGTAAATTGTTAGCGAAATTTTTGTAATTTTGGATACCATAAAAATCGGCTTTAATAAAAATATAGTTTTGAAGATATATTCAGTGTTCCAGACAAAATATTCACCCCGTATAATATCATTCTTCTTGAAAATCACTTGTATTTACAACCAATTCGCTTTGAGTCGAAAGTATTGACTCGAAATTATTGCAATACCTTTCTAGCGTTTTGTTATCCTTGATTTTAAAGATGCCATATAAGCACTGGAGATGTTCACTATGAGTTTCCAGAAGTGTCATTCGTTCATTCAGCCAATTAAGAGTGAAATTCAAAATATAACTGAACATATGAATATAAATGGTATATGTAATAGATAGAACAAAGATTTAACATTTGTTTATCTGAAGTCAAAACAGTACAATCACCACGTGCACCGGTCTTTTGTGAAAATTGCCGGTTCAGCTTTTACAAGTGGTTAAAAAATCATTGCTTTTGTCGCCCCTCTACGGTACCGCCTCTCTGCATCATAGTACCACACGGCCCTGGCTGGGAGAGCCACCAAGTGGCCATTAAAATAAAGGCAAGTAACTTTAGCGCATATTCCATAGCCGTTATGTTTTTCTTTCCTAGAAGCATCTATTTTCAAAAAAATGGCTCCATAAATAAGAACGTTTGCATTGCGCATGCGCACATCTGATTTTTACAATTAGATATGCCTTTACTAGAAGCATCTGTGGTTAAAATTTCAAACCAATTAAAAACGTTAATAACAGAAGTTTCCCGTTTATAGCCTGCTTTATAGCGAGTACCTTCAGCGCATTGATCAGACCCGAAAGGTCATGTAACGCATTATTTATGTGTAAAAAGGAAAATAAGTTAAGGCATAAATATTCTTCTGATTAAGTATTTCGCATGTTTATAATATGCGATATGTTTACCTTTACTAGTACATTATTTAGTAGAAGTTTCAAAAAAATATCTCCATTAATAAGAAATATGACATTGCGCAGTTTGCGCACATTTGATTTTTTTTTTAAGTAAAATAAAAAAAAGTCAAATATGTGAAAACCGTACGAGTAGTTAGGGCCTTGGACAGAGAACGGACAGACGAACGGATGAAGTGACCATAATAGCGCCTTCCAACATGACTTAAAGAATGGTTTAAACATACAGTCTGCGCATGCGCACACCTTTACAATATGCGATATGTATGCCTTTCATAGAATCATCTGTGATTAAAAGATATCTCCACAAATAAGAAAGGTGACATTGTTCAATTTGCGCATGCGCACATTAATCGTCAAGGTTTCTCTTGATTGAGGTGCCAGAGCTATAAGCAAAAAGAACGAATTGAAAACTGTAGCAGTAGTTTTAACTCGGACGGACGAATGGAGAAAATGGACATATTAACATGGGTTGGAAGATGCGGTAACAATGAATGTGGAATGAAATACTATATAGGTTCAGAGGTTAGGACAAGATGAGGTAAAACGAGTAGGAGTTGCTGTAAAAGTGAGAAATTGAATAGGTTACAAACAAAGGGGAGTATAATTATATATGCGGGTGAGGGAGGGGGGAAACTATTATGACTTTGTTGGCCTGAAGATTTGGCGGGAACCTTTTTTAAGGCAAGAAACGTTTTGGTTAGTGCAAAAAAAGTGAACATCATTGCAAATTTGGTTTATTTTCTTACCGAACTCCCCCCAAAAAACACCCGTAACTCCTTACAATTTGATGCCTTGACATGGAATTACGGATGAACAATTCTATCCATCCAATAGTTACCGTGCCCGAGCTATACCTGATCCAGGAAAATGGATTGGATGGAAATTTGACGAGAACCTGAAAGCAATGGTGTAAAAATTGAAGTGAACGGCCGAGGAAGATCATTGAGGGGAATTTGAAGATCGGAGGGCAAGGGAACAAATTGAAGGAAACATGAAGAGATATTTGGAAAGACTTGAAAGTAATATAAACTGATATAACCCGACGTCAAGGGCCGACGGGCAATGATGGGAATTTAAGAACCGGAGAGCAACTTGGGAAGAGGAACTCAAGAGGGAACCTTGAAGGGAAACTTGAGAAGCTTGAAGTGATAGCCACCATCTTGCACTCCAGGCAGTTAGCATTTGGTACAAGACGGTATATGTGAAACAGGTCGTAGCAGAAAGTGTACTAGATTTCCAGGAGGACTGTAATTCATTAACAATAAATACTTAGCAACAATAACATGGCCTAATCATCATAAAGTAATACGAAAGGAAACATAGTTAAAATATTTCCTAAAAGCTGTAAAATCTCATGATTGCGATGCCCACATTGTGGAAACATCTCGATTTGTGGCTCACAATTGGTAATTATTTGGTACTTAAGATAGGCGATCGCCTGTAGGTGTCTTCCTTTAAATTCGCAAAAAAATGGACTACAACCGTGATTTGAGAAAGCAAGTTCGATATAATAGAAATGCAGGCGTCGGTGAGTCTAACCAATCGTTCGTTTTTAGAGCAAAGCTTTCACTTGGTACTTTTCCAGATTGTATTTGCACTTGCAGTAGGCTTATCTTCAGCTGCGCACAACTGTAAATATAGGTACAGTTCCAGCACGGTGCCCAGTGTAGGTCATCACAGTTCAGATCTACTCTCACGGTACGTAGTGAACAGGCCACCAGTTTTTAATCCGTTTTCCTATCACGCACCTGCGATAACTGGTTATAATGATGATAGTTTGGGCTATTATCATCCGCGGAGTTATTTTTATGGAAGCAATGGTGGTATAGGTCCCTCTTTCCGTATACTCAACACAGAAGAAGAAGACGGTAGTTCTCCAACCGAGAAGAAAAAGAAGTCAGTCTAACTACGATCAATGGTACAATAGAGTAGTGTGTCAAAATTAAAACTTATTTGTTAAAAATGGAGTTTGATTATGGTTATCTCCCGTGAACTTGGCTTTACCTGGATAGAGTGTGTCAACCAATTTTAAATGATCTTTTCGTTTGCTCAACAATTTAAGTGTATTTTGGCATTCAAAATTTGAGCACGTGACTCACATTAAATACATTCATTGGGATCGAACTAGAGTAACCGAACATATGCTCGAAAATAACGATAAACAATATTTTTCTAGTTAAGCAAGTAAATAGTAAGAGTGAATTAGATTGATATTAGATGGTTCGATACATTATTTAATGGATTCAAAGGACAGACTTCGTTGTATAGCTATTAATATTATAATAACATAGGGTGGCCCATCGAAAACTCGCTCCTTAACAGTGTGACCACGTCGCCTAACATTGTATGTATATGCTATAACAAGAATATTTCAGTAAAGTTTTCTCTAAACCGGAACGTAATTGCTGAGTCACCCGAAGGGCGAACGGTTAGCCGTCATCGAATCAATCGGATATTTCCATAAGTATCTAATATCTATATGGTCAGAAGATTTCCGTAAAGACCGAAGATGGTTTTCTTAAGGGAGTTCTAGAAAATGATGATGGTATCGGAGAGAAAATCTGATATACTACGGCAGATGCACGATATAAGGATTCAGGAGTGACGAAAACCCTGGTTAAGGTGCGGGAACGATTCTACAAGTAATTTGCAAACCAAATGTGAAGAAAAATGTGCAGTTTGTGCTACAAACAAAAAGAAAAAAATGAAAAGAACGTTTTCGCGTTAAGGTAAGTAACTTGGGCACATTTTCCATGAATTGATCAGTATGTCCCAAAAGAACTATTTATGTGTACAAAGAAAAATAAGTTATGGTATAAATATGTTCGACACCAAATTGGTACAAAATAGACACTATCTATATCTATCTATTCTTATAAATAAGAAAGTTCACGGTGTGCGGTTTGCGCATGCACACATCTGATTTTTACAATATAAGATATGTTTGTCTTTACTTGAAACATCTGTGGTTAAAATTTAACAAAATATATTAATAAATAAGAAAGTTGACATTGCGCAGTGTACACATGTTTACATAATCATCAAAATTTTTCTTGGTAGAGATGCGAGAGCTAAAAGCTACCGAATGCAAAAATAACGAACTAAATATTTTGAAAACTGTAGGAGTAGGTAATACCCAAATATTCAAAATTATAAGTTACATCACACAAAAATCTTAGTAACTTGACTTTACAATTGAAATCTCCAATCAAGAATGATAGATTAAATTGATTACTTGATCTTAAGTTTCCACAAAGAAATGTGTTCCAAACACAAATGCGCACGTATAGGCTAAATACAAGTAATACATAAAAAGGTAACGCTTACCTTAATGTAACTTAAATGTCATCCATAGAAGTGAGCTCAGTTCTCGGATCCATAAATTTGCAATCAAAGAAAACTCCCAAGCCGTAGTGCTCGGAATGCAATGAACTGAACAATGCCTGAAGGCCCTCACCTCCCTCGTAGTAAGCTTCTATCACAAGTACGATACTAATACTGACTGGGTCAACCTCTCCAGAGAGAAGTGGCGGGTTACCATAACATTCGTGTGTAAAACTCGACCATAAGTAACGATCGAATCCTTGATATCAAATCTGCAGGTGCATGGCCCAGTGACACAATTTCAGCAAATGGTGGTTCAATATCAGCAGGTAGTAGCTATATCAAAAGATGTTGAAAGCCGACAAAATGCTAGGTACTTAAAGCTTTTCCGAACTGAAACTGGTCCTTAAACTGGTACTATAAATTAAAACTAGACTTTGAACCTTCCAATTAAAACCCTAAAAGAAAAATCAAAGGTAATCCTCTTCTTTGATAACTAAAAATGTACATACTTACCTCTTTAAAAGCCAGCAGAGACGCAATTATATCCTCCTCATTTAGGGCAAGGGCAAATCCGTCCATGAATTAGTGCGGGAGTGCCAATTTAACGAATTTAATAGCCAAATATTAAGAAACTATTGATGGCGGCAAATAAAGTTCCGTGCGTTCTCTACGCCCTAGTCCTAGCTGTTTAAACGAAAAAGGAAGACGAATGTGGGCGATCGATAACCAAAGCGCGCTCAAATTCCTGACTCCGACAACTCCCATAATTCCTATGATTAAAATTACCTGAAAACAAGAAATAAATACTCGTAGTAACCAAACTTATGTGACAAACAACTCTTGCTTTTTACATTAAGTAGATAGGTAATCCACGTCATGTTTCAATATTTTCCTTACTGAAGTTTTTGGATTTCTTGGCGCCTATCCATCTCTTTGTCGTTTCAAAAATTTGTGTATTTAGGTACTCAAATGGCGAATGATTCTTAAGATCGAATATGCAGTCCAAAACGACACCATCACTTTTTCATTAAAGCAATTTACTTTTTATGTAATTGCATAATTAGATATTTCACGTATTCTATAATTGACAGACGGCTTATTGAGCAGGTACCTCGGCAGGTATCGAAAATTGGCAACAACGGTTTATGATGGGTATACAATTGAAATTTTCGTCCAAAAAGGTACTGATTAAATTTAGTAACACATAATTATTGCTATAACCTCCTTTTCAACTTGAGAGAATTTGTTCTCTGCAGACTGCAACGTGCTAGATTTATTTATGTATTTATGTATTATCCCTCTCTCTTTCTGGGCCCTTAACAGGCTTGCGCCCAATTACAGAATGATCCGCATACTGCTTTTTAGAGGTGCCTCTAGTAGGTAGCTGGCAGAATGGTCGAAACTGGTCTAAGGTAATTCCCATCTCTGCCATAGATGAAAAATTCACTTCAACCCAGGTCCGAACACCCGACCTCCGGATTTATTCGTCCTAAATGCATTTAAGTTATCGGTTTTTCTACTCCATTTTGAAAAGCAAGACTTAAAACTATACGAAAATCAACAGTTAGTCTCACTTGAACCATATTGCACAAATACATCCGCCAATTGTAAAAGTTTCTTTTCACATTCAGTCATCCGCACCCATTTTGCATCCTTTTTAGCGCATTTTTTAAGTATTAAAAAAAAGTGCTATTGTTTGCGTTTTATTATCCGTCCTTATACCTCACGAACGGATTGTCGGAAGAGGATACTCACAATGGGCGATTGAGACGTCTGCAAGAAATATATCCATTGTTGATGTCAAAACAAAAGCTGTTTCGGTTTAAAAAATGCGCTTTATCTGCACAAGAGTTGTGTACAATTTATACTTGTTTATACAAGGGGTACAAAACCTGAGCCTAATTGTTTACAAATTTACCATACATAATAAACAACCTAGGAATGATTTCGAGTGGGTTTTGGAGCGTTTTGTTTATCTGCCGTTTTACTTTCACAAGTATGAAAATCCTCTTTAACACAACTTTCAACCTATTCATATGCCGAACTTCATCTTCTGACCTATCATCAACAAATACAACCACGCCACTATTCCTCCCAATAACGAGTCCATAGTAGATTTCTATCTAGTTATTGTAATGGTACCAGTATATTTATAGGTTTATATAGATCACATCTAAGAAACACTCTAACTTTCGTATCATGAACTGATTTCGACCAAACTTTAAGGGTCGGTGTAACTCATAAATATTTCGGTCAAGTTTGTGAATCAGCCAATTCCGCCATATTGGAACAAAATAGCAGACACTTTTATATGTTGATGTGGTTAAAGAAATCCACCTACATCTGATCAGGCTAGCCAAAACGGATTTTTTGAAATTTAAATGGTGCAAAACTTTCACCAAATGGCAAAAAGTTATAACAATATAAACCTTTGTGGGTATTTACCATTAACAATGTTCTAGATTCATAATTCACTTTAATTTGTCGGAAAGCTTATGACATATCGAGCTTCGTGAACTGCTTTCCGCCACGCAGCTTACAAAAAAGATCCCCTATCCGTGGCGATGGATATTGATCGATTTCAATGGAGGTATGTAGTGGTTTATGGTTACCTTGAAGTCGCCACATAGTCTAATTGATTCATTTTTCTTGATTACCGGAAACAATCGGTGCCCATTCTGAATAATCAACTGGAGACAAAATACCTACGGATAGAAGTCTATTAATTTCATTTTCAACTTGATCTTTTATTACATGGGGCATTGGCCTTGCATAAAAAAAATTTGGTGTTACTTTTATACCTATCCACGTTTTGAATTGACAAATTCCTCATTAACTCATCTTTAAATTCATGAATTACTCTTAAAAAAGTGGTGATATTTGCATTTCTTCTTTAATTTTTTTCTCCGCAACCATAAGAGTTACAAAGACTGGTGGGGGTGGCACGTCTTTGAAGTGGTTTTCGGGATATGCCCTTTCCGATTTTGCAAAAATTTTTTTGAATTTTTACCACGAAAGGGGTCACCTCTAGACGAGTGTGCGAAAAAATTCTGATTTCGACGAAATTTGGTATCTGCGGGTTTTTGAGCATGAACAAGCAATTCTTGGCCGGACCACTAAAATGGAAATTTGTTGTGGATATACTTATTGAGTTAAGGGACAAAATTATTGAACAGTTTTTAAAAATCACTTTGGAAACAAAAGTTATACTCATTTGAAGATTGGTTTCAGAATGGCACTCCTAAAAAATAAACGTGATACCTTCTTATTTATGACGGTTTTTTTCTGAAGTACTAAGGGAAAATGCGTACGTCAAAAAATAGACTAAAACGTCTGCGCAAACAGAACCTTATTTGTGCACCAATTTTTTGAAATTTCAACTGAGGATGCTTTTTATAAAATCAAAATTTTAACGGAAGAAGCCTAATAAATTGAATACTTATATCCCAAGATGTGCTCCGGATGCACAACCACAATTCAGAAATCCCTTTAATTTGATTGTTTGTATTTCTTCTGTTAGCCTGTCTGATTTTTCAAAGTGATTTAAGATCTTTCCTAAAAAATATTTCTTCATCTGAGCCCTTTTTGAAGAGCTTTTGTTGTTTGCCGAGCGGAATTTTCATTGTGTATTTCCTTTAACTTTTTATTAAAAATCACTTTTCTACAACCTGCCTTTTGTGAATCGCGATTCCGCAAAAGCTAATTCTAAAGTCATTTTCAAAAGCTCAATAAATCAATGATAGTTACCGCTTTTTCTAGGGTTTATTTACAGTAGGTAACCACATTTAACCATTTTTTTATGCGTTTTTCAATTCGGTTTGAATATGGACCTTAAACTTTCACCTTTTGACTGTTTAGTTGCTAAGTAATTAAGATATAAAATAATCATATAAACTCCTGACTTACTTTTCAATTGATGAAAACGATGTAAAATGCAAGGTATAATCCGAATGTTGGGAATTCTGATCTGGATTCTTCTAGTTTTCAGTCACTACAGTATAGGCCCTTGTCTTAAAAACCCGAATAAACCGCAAAATCGTTTTTTAGCTATTCCAAACATAGGAACGCCGTTTTTCTGGTTCTTTATCAATCTATACCGCTGCCATCAAACTTTGTTGTGGAACACCACTGAGTTACACTACTACTACTTTCTAGTTTAATTTCAAAAATGCGGTTGTCAAAGAAATTAAATATTAGATTGGATATCAAAATGATTCGAAATGAATAAAGCGTTACTGATGATATACGCACAATACTACAAGAACATCTAAATCACCCACTGCACCCAAAAGAAGAAGAATAAATTGCAGATCTATATCCGAAGAGTAAAATGCTCTAATCTGTCTCATACGTTGGTAATTACGGAAAATTTGCATATCGGATTGTGCTTGATGATTCAAAGGACGTTTAATGATTGCTATTAATCACTAGCTTTATAAGCACTAAAACATATTAATTGCAATTACAAATAAATTACAAGATATAGCCGACATCTTATGCAGTTTGTGAGAAACGTGACTAAATTGGTAATCACTGCTTGCCTGAAGTAGGCGGCCCCCCTTAAGAAAATCGGATATATAGCAGAGCTTTGATTTGAAGAAGTAATTACAACCTCAAGATGAAGGTATCGGTAAGTTCGAAAGCTCATTCCTTTTAGTAGTATTACATCAAATCTTTTTAGATAGTACTTGTGCTAGCGTTGGCCACCGTTGCGTACGGGTATAGATACTTTGATCCATTCGGATTTAATCAGTACCCATTTGGTCTTTCGGCACCGGCCACGTTTCAAAGGAGCGTAGGGTACTTTGTTCCAACGTTCAGTGACATCACCGGACCTGGTTATCCTGACAATAGGGTCGATAGTCCTAAGGACACGTCCAGCAAGAAACAGAAGTGGTAGAATAAAATGGCAACGCCGTACAATGCACATCTGTAACCACAATCGAAAGAACCAAATATACTGCATTAGTTTGGGAGTTGTAGTTTAAGTTTCGTATAGGGATTTCAATGCAAAACTGCTCCTTTTTTAGTTAAGACTCATTGAAGCGCGAAACTTCAGTTTAGAACCAAAAGGTAGATTTCACCAGAGCGCGACAACTGCTTACCGAAGTCGCAAGCTTTAAATTAATACCGAACTGTTTAATTTTTTTATAACTTCAATCAACCCTCCGGTTTGAAGTTTCTTTTGTGAAGATAGTTCAGCTCATGTATCCATTTTTAATGTTTAAGTTTTTGTCTGTCAAGCTGACGTGAAATTGGTCAAAGATTTCGGACTGATGGTAGGTTCAAAAGCTCCAGCTCTCATTGAATAACTCTAAATGTTAAATTATCGTGTTCTTTTTTTAAGTACCTACCTAAGCGAAGTTTAGACCTTGGTAAAAACAAACGCTTTATTCTAATGTGTAATTATGAAGGAGGTTGATTAGGCCAATCAAAGCTCTTAAAGTTTCACTTACACTTGTAATTAGTATAATTAGGGTGGTATTTAAATTTTACCTTTCAATTGCTGGTGTTGGCAGCTTTGCTGTTGAAACGAGTTCCATATTTTAATATATTATTGTGCCTTATGGCGTTTTTGTTTTACTTTTTTAAGTACTTAAATTGAAACAATAATTAAAAGTTATTAAGTGCTATTTGTCATTGCTAACATTTATCAATTTATTTGGTAGTGGTCTAGAATATACTCCAACCCATACGTATAAAGTTTCCACCTTTAAATAATCATTTGAAAGCTTGTTTTTTATTTTCAATTTTAAAGACTTTCCCATAAGACGTTCGAATGTCGCGCCGTGGGTGCTTTACACAATCCAAACGGCATGACTGTAAAATGCCGTAATCCCGATCCGATCGTAAATGTCGTCTTCTCCCGGTCCTCTGGAACCATTTTCACTTGCCAACGTTTTAAATCCAAAATCGAGAAAAACTTGGATTAGGATAGTGTGTCCAGGATGTTGTCAATTCATGGAGGTAGATAACTATATTTTTTAGTCACGTCATTGAGGCGACGATAATCCACACAGAATCGTGTAGACCCATACTTCTTTTTAACCAATACCACATTCCAAGCCCAAGAACTATTAGATGGCTTGATAACACCTTCAGATCCCATGTCTCTTTTCTGCTTTCGTCTGTTTTGATAGCAGAAGACGTCTAGATGATTGTCGAATGGGTTGTGCATTCATGAATTATTTCCTGAGATGCTGTTTTTGAAAGTAAATTGTGCATAACTTTTACATACGACACCAAATTGGTCTCCGATTTTCCATACGCCTGCCTTTAGTGGTGCCAAGTGAAACTTTTGAAAATGGGGGAGGGGGGAGCACGTTCTACCCCTCCTGGTATTCTAATGAAAGGCCTCATTGAAATAAATTGGTTTGTACAAACTACAACTTTCCCGCGTGACTCTTTTTTGAGATCAGAGGGTGCCAAAGTCGAGGGGGAGGGGGAGTTGAATTGGTTTTATCCTTCATGGTACTCTAATCAAAGGTCTCAACGAATGGAATTAATTTCTACCAACCATAGTCATCCTCCTCGACCCCTTATCTTGATCGGGTATACCTTATGTGTATAGCGCGATTGGGACGTCTAGAAGAAATATATTCATTGGTAACGTCAAAACTTTCAGAGCGAATATCTCCAAAACGGTTTGTCGGATGAAACTACACTCAAAGGCAACATAAATCGACTGAACGAGACATATTTGTTGGTAAAGTCGAAACAAATACCTTAACAAAGAAGTGTCGGAAGAAGGTACTCGTAAAAGGCAATCTGGTGATGTTAAAGCGCAATAAAGTGTCGAAGGATTTTGAATGTATGCCAGGCGGCCTTTAAATCTTTATGTGTAAATAGCTTCCTCCCCATTAGTCATCTACCAAGGAAGTAAACATCGTTGGCATGCTTACTACCTTCCATCCGACGATTTACTATAAGCTAATTCGGTTTTTAAAAAATGCGGTTTATCTGCACAAGAGTTGTGTACAATTTATATTTGTTTATGGCTTTAGTGTGTGCTGACTTTTTTGTAACACGTCTCCAGCTTTGAGTAATAAATGTCCCCTCCTCGACCTACCTGACTGCAGCTAACTAGTGCTGAGCTCTATGTCCTCTTCGCCTTCAGTCCAAAACTGGAGGCGTCGCGTGACGTTCCACTTTCAAGAGATCACTCCACTGAGCCGAGCAACCAGCCTGGAGTTACTCAAATTACACACATTTACAGCCATAATCGCCCGTGTGTCCTGGTTGAAAAACCAGAAGCAAACATGTCACTAATTTTGTAGAGAATTCCACTCCATGTTCTCCAAGGAGCATCATCAACAATGAGCTAGTTTAAAAATAAAACATTGTGCAACTTAAATTAATTTGATTATTTATGCACGTAATTTGTTGTTAATTTTAAATATAGTTTCGCTATTTTAATCCACATTAAGCATAAAATTAAAAACAATAAATACAATTAGGTCAACGTTTTATCAAATTGAAAGTAAAACTTTTTTTAATTGAGGCACCGTCTGCGTTCCCACTTGAAATTAAGAGAGTCGAGGAGAGGAAGTTTATGTATCTAATTTTTATAAACAAAGCAGAAAAGATCAAGTATAAATTTCTGGATGAGGTGAATTAAGAAAACCAATAAGCGATATTTCTTCTTAGGTAATTCAAGTCGTGCTGATTCCCAATTTTAAGGATAAAAATTCCTGCCGAAAATTCAACTACCTAAATTGTGATCGATCTTAACACTATAAAAGAAGTAATTAGCAATTAATTTTGTACTTCTTCCGACCATTACCAAACCGTTCACGTAACTCCAGAAGCAGGTAGGAGGGGGTAGCGTCATAAGTAACACAGGGATCTAAGCTTGATCATCTGCTTTTCTTTAATGACTTAATAGATCGCCGACCGTCCAATATTTGACTTAATTAGTCTACAGGTGACCATCAGTTTAAAAAAAAAACTGTTGTACCATGACCATCTTTCACCAAAAATGTATGCATAGTCCCGATATACCTAGTTCAGATTATGGGTTTTATTTACAAACATTAATTGTTCCTTGGCTTCTGCAGCCGATCCGGTGTTTTGTACTGGTATAGGATAACAGTTAGTAATGTCTGAAGACCTTGGAGCACCCTTAGAGAATTCCAAAGTCGGTTCTCAAAGTCGGAAGAGCAAACTGAAAAAATGTAACGTAGATCATCATATTGCATAATTTGATCGAATCCAACAACTCATTACGAATGGGGTGGAATTCGAATCCGTTAATTGAAAAAAAGACAAACTTTTGATGCTTCCTACCAGAGTTGCCTACTTTCCTCTGTGTTTTTTTGGAAGAATGCACTATGCATGCCTATTTTCCAAAATTAGACCGCCCACTTACAACAAAACCATAAATACTAGACACTTTTGGAGTGGGAGGGCACTTACAAAAATAACAGTAGTAAAATATTAAGATGACTAAGAAGTTTAGAAGATTTAATGTAGCTTAACCTACCTTTAAAAAACATCGTGATGAAGTTTGTGGGAACTGTGACCAAAGCGTAATTAATTATTAGTTGTAATATGCGATCAGTTGTGGGAGTGTATACATAAATTGAGTGAAAATGGAATATATAACTGTGATTTCAGCAGGTAGTTAGGTATAATTCACAATGCAGGCATCGGTAAGTTTAGCTTTGTTTTAAGCGAGCAATTAATAAAGGTTTTTTCATCCCTTCCAGATTATAGTTGTACTCGCCTTAGCTACGACAGTCTACTGTCAGGGGTATGGATACAATTTTGGCATACCAAACGGGATCAGTCAGCCAAATCCCAACATACTATCCCAGTATATAGTTGGCAGGCCGAAAGTGTACAGTTATAATACGCCACCTGCGTTCCCGCCGGCGATAGGAGGGTATAATGTAGGAGGACCACAATATCCTGGTCCGAATAACTACTACCCGCAGATTTTCGGCGGAGGAAGCAGTGACGCGGTTCCTGTCTTACGTTTTGGACCACCTCAGCCACAAAGAGAAACGTTACCGTTTCGATCCGTAATAAGGATAGTAAAAAACATTCCTAGAGGCCCCCTGCCTTTTTGAGTTGACCGAATAGTTTTTTTTATGGATTGTAATGTTGTGAATGACGTGAGGTGTACTAGTTGAATAAAAGGGCTCGTGGTGGAGTTTTAGTTTAACCGATTTGTTAATTGTAGATTTGGTGCTTTCAGATACCATATTTAATGTGAATAGTAGGGAAGGAACAAATACCCATATATGTTCATGTCTATTACGCATTGTTCATTTGGGTCACGGAAAAGAATTTACCCCCTCCCCCCCCCCTCTGCTACTGAATCTCTGCGAAATTCCCTAAAAAGTCCGTCTGGGGTGGCATGTGAAGGTAGAGCATTAGGAACGTTATTTATATTTAATCGTATCGTATCGTATCCAAAGACTATTATTCTCCTAATGGAGGAGGATAGTCTTTGGTATCGTATGGGTGACACTACGTTTTCAGGTCGCATCAGCATTATTAGTAATACCTATTACAACAAAACAACGGAACGTATCGTACGTATAAATTAATTAATTTAATGCCAAGTGCAATTATTCAACCATCTTGATCTAACCCAAGTCGCCTCTAGATGAAGCAGAGCAGAGCACCTCGGTGTGACCCCACGGAGTCATTGGATTTGACCCATTTTCAATTGGCTTGTTACATGTGGTACCTATATAAGTTAACTGTGCAAAGTTTGAAGTTTGAATAGGTTCAAGCGTTTGAAAGAGGCAGAGAGGCGTGACCCTACGGGGTCATTGGATTTGATCCATTTTTAATAGACTTGTTACATGTGGCATATAAGTCTATTTTTGGTTGCGGATATGGTGGGAAAAATCAAATGGGTGCTAAATGAACTGAGATACGATATTACATATAGTATTTCGCCAGTCTTAAATACCTCTTTTCTAACCCAAATCTTTTCAAAAAAGAAAAAAATCAGGTCTGCAATTTTCTTCCATTATTATATGGAAAAATTTTAACTGGCTAATCCATCTACTTGTGTTTAGTGTATAAAATACAAAATATATATAAAAATGATCTTCCCCAATTTGTACACAAAATTGTATAAGTTTTTGAGTATACACAAGGGCGCTAAGCGTTTAGCCGTCATTTAATTTTTCTAAATATTTCCGAAACAGAGGGGCAGAGACTGTGAGAGTGGAAGCACAATAGAAGTACCTACTATGCAGTGCCGTTGTTCCAGTGGGAAGGAGTTTAATGTTTGGGGAGGCTAAGGAGGGTTTACGTTTATTAGTGTATTATCCCGGAAGGATTATTTATAGATAAATGTTCTGCCTAAGAATATTTTATCGTGCCATAAAATTTTTCGGAAATTTACGTTTTAACACAAAATACAAGACATAGATAAATTCTTGTTTCGAAAAGTAGAGGAATTCTTTAAATCCTTTTTCTTTAATACCTGTTCAAAATAAAATCCGGATTAGCGGCTAACCCAAGTAATCAATGTGCAGACAATCGAGTTTCTACTGTAATAACAATAAGCATTGAATTAGGGCCCCCGGTGGTGTGGTCAACCCCCCCCCCCCCCCCCCCCCCCCGGGAAATCTCCCGGTATCCCTCCTGTCCAATCCGACTCTGTATACCTACATAATTAATTTTGAAGCTGTGTTCCTTGGTTGCTGCAGTTTGGACACCGACAAATTGTTTATTTATCATTAAATAATTAAATGTGTTGCAGTTTCGATATGTCAATTTATTACTGTTTCTTTACAGACTGCTTCATCTGGAGAGAGTTGCGTTAGATCAAGATGGTTGAATAATTGCGCTTAGTACCTATTGAATTAATTAATTGATACGTACTCACGTTTCGTTGTTTTGTTGTAATGTTAATTAACCTAAGGTTCGTTGTACTATTTATTTGAACCGGGTAATAACGAATATTCATATTTAGCAAGGTGTCTTGTTTTGAATATGTGATATAACCTATTTCATTTCGATAATCTCGCTTTGAAAGTTGCAGGTAAAAATAGCATAGTTCGCCTAACATACGCCAGAGATCTTGTTTTTATGTGTCTTAGCAAAGGGCCACCCGGTTGATGTGGCTAATCGATTATTTCAGTTGACCTTTGACATGCAGCGATTGGTTTCGTGTCAATCTTTCGCTAAGCCTGTGCACGTATGTCACCTCTTGAAGCCTATCGCTGCCAAGTATATATTTTATTTATGTTATGTAGGAATATGTTTATGGTTGCTTTGTGAATATTATTTTTTTATTTTATGATATGTTTTAATTTGTCTTTTTATCGAGTTGTGCGCTATGTTCTCGTTGTGAAATTAAAATTGGGCTGTTTTTCTGTACCGGATTATCCCCTATTTTGATTCCCCCCCCCCCCCCCTTCTAATCCATGTTCTATCAGGTTTTGCAAAAAATAAGTTTAACACCAAAGTTGTTTAGCCTAAGCACAATTTATCAAATTTGGTGGTATTATTTATACAGAGTGAAAATTCTAAACGGACACTCTGTATTTTATTCGATTTTTAATATCTATGTCAAGTTTATTAAGGATCCTCAGATCCTTTATAGTTTTGTATTGTCGTCCGTCCGTCCGTCCGTCCGTCCGTCCGTCCGTCCGTGTGCGCTCTAACTCTTTTTAAAAGTGGCCGATTGAGTTGAAATTTGGTGTACGGGTTCTTTGGACATTAAGGACGGACGCTATTGATTTTCAGGAAGCTGGTTCAATAGGAACAAAAGTTATAGGACTTCGAGTGAATCGGGAACAGGAAAAACTACGGGCTCAATATAATAGAAATCAACATATTTCATTCCCTAGGTCATGTATCGGGTTGGGACTTCCGCTAGATTATTCCCTATGACTCTTAGATGTGTAATACTTTAATATAACTCTTCTCTGTGGTATAGGTCGAAAGTTTTAGAGCAAAATGTAGCAAAAATTACACTTTATACATGAATTTAGAGTTTTAAAAGGTTTCAAACGCATTATCTTGATGCAGCAAGAGTACATCACGTGCACATTTGATAACCGCATGTGTGTGATTCAAAAATGTTAAATTATTGCCATATGGGTTTTGATCAAAATAATCAAAATCGTTATTTATGCACCAAGATCGTCGAGAAAAAGACTAGGGGCATTATCTCAATGCTCAAGACATAAATTTGATGCATTTCTGGCGACCACATGGATTTTGATCAAAACATGTCAAAGTCGTTATTTATGCACCAACATCGTTGGGAAAAAGACTAAGAGCATCATCTCAATGACCAAAACATGAATTTGATCTATTTTTGGCGACCACATGAATTTTGATCAAAACATGTCAAAATCGTTATTTATGCACCAAGAACGTTGGGAAAAAGACCAAGAGCATTATCTCAATGATCAAAACATGAATTTGATCTATTTTTGGCGACCACATGGATTTTGATCAAAACAAGATTAAGAGCATTATCTCAATGTCAATGTCAATAAATTATCGTTAAAAGTTATTGTAATACTGAGGATCCTTCGATATTTCGTTGTATCGGTTTATTTATTTATTACCCCTCTCTTGTTCTGGGCCTTCAACAGGCTTTCGCCCAATTACAGAAGGTTTGAACACCCGTTCTAAGATATAAGATTTAATTATTATAAGTTTTCCCTTCATTCTGCCCTTTTGTTATTGTTTTACATGAGGGAAACGATTTCAAATTTCTCTGCCTCACTGTATACCAACGTTAGTTGTATAACAAAATAAATAATCAAAATTGAGTATAATGTGACGTTTGACAGTAATAACGCATTTGTTTTTGCATCGCCAATTATATATTTTTATTATTGTTAAAAAAACTTTTCGCTCTTTCTGCTCTGACTGAAGATATAAAGCAACCTCTACTTGATATAGTTATCAAGATACAAAGCCTCAAATTTGGATTCTTTCCAAATTTAACAGCCTTTATCCCTGAAAATGGTCAAAAACTCCTATCTATATTTAGCTTATCCTCGACACAATTACTGTAACTCACTTGGTAAATTTACGAGACACTTTTATACAGCGTATGAGCACTGTAACTAAATGTTTAATTATGTGGCGTCCAAAGTGGGCGTTGTCATTACCATACGGTACCTATAAATTGCTGAAATTTGAAGAAGAATCTACACTACCAAAATGCAGCCATCGACGGTAAGTTTAAATTGTTCTATGATTGTAAATCAACCATTTTGTAGATTGTATTCGTGCTAACTGTAGCTTTCGCTGGATACCAGCACAGCTGTGGATATGAATTTGTACCACCATTCGGTCTTCCATTCATTAGTCCGCAAGATCTGCCGCCAAACGCATTTTCCCGGGTGGTAGTAGGCAATTATCCTGTTCCGATTATTCGATGGGGACCACCAAACTCCTATCAAGAAAAGCCACCACACCCTGATAATAGATAATGAAGCAGGTTACAATGTCGGTGAATTTTCAACTGAAATGCAATCAAAATGAAAATAAATACATTGGGTACGTTATAGTTTTTGTTAAAGCATCCTTATTGCTTTTGTTGTGGTGACAGCTTCAACGAAGGCGATTATAACGACTTCATGGAGTTGTACAAATTACTCGATGAAGATGACGTGTTGCTTTTTAACAAGCACGTTCATTATTATTGATGGCTGTAGGGTGACATATTGATCTTCGATTGTTTCTTGTACGATGAATCGACGAATACGCGCAAAGGTAGACACATAACAGGTGGGAATATATTCAGGGACAAGCAAACTGGTTATGTACAGGACGTATTAAAATATTTTCCTTGAAGGAAAAACTAAAGGATCATAATTCTAGTTTGGGGACGCAAAAAATTTTGCCGCATCTAACGAATTGCAGAACGCAAATGGGTCACGCACTATTATCAAATTACTGTCAATTTTAAGAAAATTTCCAAATCTACGAAAATATTCTGCCTGTAAGTTATTCATCGTGCAAAAGTATTTATGGAGTTTGTCTTCAGTTAGATTTAATTTTTGGGAAAATTGGCAAGGGCTCCTTTTCGAACCTTAATATCCTATCAAAGACTGTAGGGGCCTTTTAAAGGACTCAATGGAACTAATATCAGCAACATTTTAAATATAAGTTACTCATGTGGATAGATAGAATTGAAAATGATGCTGTAATACTGCATAATTTCATATGGTTGGTTATGTTGCTGTAAGTAAGTGTAATAACATGATTTGAGGCGGATCCCTGAGATACGTTTTCAAAACTGACAAACCCATATCATTAGTGCTTCAAGAACGAGCATCATCAAAAATGAGAAATTTTAGCCAGCTCTGTTTAAAAATAAAACATTGTGCAATTTAAATTAATTTCATTATTAATGCACGTCATTTGTTGTTAATTTTAAAAATAGTTTCGCTATTTTAATCCATATTAAGCATAACATTAAAAATAATAAATGCGATTTAGGTCAACGTTTTATTAAAATTGCAAGTAAAACTGTATCTTTCTAATTGATGCACTGCCTGTGTTCCCACTACATATACACTGTGTCCCAAATAAGGATGTCTATTATGGAGATTTCCGAAAACATAGAAGATACGACGATGGTCAAATTCGGAAAAACTTGCGCAATTAAAGGGTAATTATCATACTTTAAAGAAAACTACAAAATTCCGATTGCTTCCGAAGATATGCCGGAAAAACCTAAATTTTCCGATTTGATTCTGCTGTTATTTGAACAGATACAAAAAATAGAAAACACTTTCTCATTGCCACTTTTTGAGCTCTACAAGATACCCTTGAGAGGTTTTCAATACAACGTTTCGTTTCGAAGAAATCATTAACTTCATTTTGAATGAATTATCATTTTGTGTTTTTTTTAAATATGAAAATTAAAAAAGTACTTACTTCACAGATATTGCGGCACGTTAAAATGCTTTAAAATTTAAATAATATTTTTAATTATTTATTAACATCTGATAATGTTATGGTAATACCACGAAAAGGTATTGCCGATAAACCATATTGTGATAAACTTTTTGCCGCTACTGTATGTGTCTCAGTGGTAGAGGGTTGGGCTAGATCGCCGGAAGGGCGGGTGTTCGAACTGAGCCGAGGTAAGAATTTTTCATCTGCGGCAGAGATGGGAATTTCCTTAGATAGATTTCGACTTTTCGAGCATTCGGTCGGGTATTCCGAATTAGGTTTTCCTGCAGTTTTTGTGAGGTAAATACCGGAATAGTATAGAAAAACTTAATACATTCATTACATATTTTTTAAAAATTTAAAAAAAGGTAAATTACATATTAATCAAATTTAATAGAAAATCCCAAATTACGGAAAATGTTATGTTAATTAATTTTATAATTTTACTAGCTTGTGTTCTAAAAAACGCTAATCTTTTATTAGTATTGTCAAAGTAATGTATTGTATCACAAACTACTACAAATAAGCAACAAGTCTACGAACTTAAACATTATGAACAGTGGCGTGCATCTGTATTTAATTCAACCGCTATAGAAAAAAACATGTAAATAAAAAAAGAACACATATTTGCTATTACTGCAAAAAAAATTAAATAAAAAAGTTGTTAATCAATCAATTGGTCCTTTGACAATAGCCCAGTCACCAAATAAATAAATTCTGGACGCTACCAATTACGTCTGGAGTGATATTCTGTATCTCCCGCTGAATTTACTGTTTTAAATCTTTTTGTTAACGTGTGACTAGTGAAATTATAAAATTAATTATAAATCAACAATTTGAGCTTTTCTATTAAATGTTATGTAACATAATTTTTTTTGTGTTTCTATGTACCTATCCAAAAAGGTGTCACTTTAAGAACATGTATTAAAAAATGGTGGTTGTAATTAAAACATACGCCCCCCTTGGCACTGCAGACTGGCCACAATTTTAAAGTATATAGATGGGTAGCATACTTCTTATAATGTTGGATACCCTAAAAAGCTTTTTTTAATGGTTGTTTTGAAGATCTATTCAGTGTTCCAGGCAAAATTTCCATACGAATGCGAAGTATATGTACAGGGTGTAAATCGAAAAGTGGAACATAGGCGTTTAACATGGGAAATTACTTTTTCTCTGCGCAAACGTTTCCTAATTATTTTACGCAAAAATAGTTCAAATAAAAGTTACAGAGATATAAATTCTGCACCTAAATCATGTGAAACGATAATTCTACCTCTTCTTGTACGCGAAAAAATTAATTATAAAGATTCTGTGTTCACGAGCTTTTAGTCTAAGTAGCCATGGACTATGTTTTTCTTTTATCATAGTCCATGGCTACTTAGACTAAAAGCTCGTGAAAACAGAATCTTTATAATTAATTTTTTCGCATACAAGAAGAGGTTTCACATGATTTAGATGCAGAATTTATATCTCTATAACTTTTATTTGAAGTAGGTATTTTTGCGTAAAATAATTAGGAAACGTTTGCGCAAAGAAAAAGTAATTTCCCATGTTAAACGCCTATGTTCCACTTTTCGATTTACACCCTGTACATATAACCAATACCGTGCATTTCGCGTATCAAACTGCTGTAAAAAAAAGTATTCCTGAACTCCTCGGAACATTTCATTTTTTTGCGTCCAATAACAATAAAATATACAGGGTGTTACATTTAAAAACAAAACGTTAAAATCATTTCGGGCTAAAACAGTAATCGAAAAAAGACATTATCATTATTAAAGGAATGTTATATGACACCAATTATTAAAAAAATTGCTTCATAAATCACGGAGATAATCCTGTTCCGCGACGTTTTTACTTACCCTGTACATAGATAAGATTATCGTTACCGTACCTTTTTATTTGCGAATACACCACTAACGTTAATGACATGCACTGAAATCAATTAAAGTATATAATCGATGTAGAGACACTTTGAAGTGTCGTGGGAGCTGTAACCAATTATAATTAGACGATTTGCTTGTGGGTGTCTTAGGATATAAATCACTGGTCAGTTCAAGCGAGCATAGTGACATCATGCTGTCATCGGTAAGTTTGTAATGTTTGAAAACATTAATAGTGTATTGAATTTCTATAGGGTGTACTAGTCTTAGCTCTAGCTTTGCTGCTCAAAGCTATGGATATGGGTGGGAATTTCTATCCAGCGGTGGTTTAAATCCAGCTCATTTCGCCCAGTACCTATATAATGGACCGTATTCTGGCTCGCCTAATAATTGGGCTGGATATAATGCCGAATATTCCCGTTTGAGCTACGATCCACAAAATGAGGTGTATGGAGGTGCGGATGATGCAGTTCCTGCCTTGCGCAACTTTAGTCCCGACAATCTAGCAACGGTGATTGAGCAAATCGCCCAACTTTTTAGGAGTTAACTCCGATCACATATCACCAATTTTACTGTACAAATTGTAAACCTAAATACACATAATTTCTAATTAGACCATTGAGATACAATAGAAACGAATAGCTCGTAAAACTAAAGCAAACAATTTTGGAATTAGAACATCAACTATAAGTGTAAAAAAAAAGGGACCTTTTTTTGGTTTTTTATGCTTCAGCTAACTTTAGAGCCCTATAAATAGAAAACCATTTGTCTATCTGTTAGCTTTTTGAATTGATGAATTAGGTGGGAGGGGGTGAAATTGTTTTATCTTTTATGAAACCTTAAGGCGCCAACGAACGGAATTGTTTTCTATCTCCTCCCTTAACCCCCTATCGCGATCGTTTATATTGCCTAGAGAATGAAATATCGGAAAAGTCTTGCGAAATAAAGGGAAAAGGGAAGATTAAATGTGTTCATTACAAAAATGCTATAACTATACAGGCTGTTTCACGCAAACCATTACCTAAAAGTATTCAGGCCATTAATAATTTAAATCTGAAAATTTGCATACCAACTTGCTTATTTTAAACACGAAATCTACATGGAAATCTACGTCACATTTTCCTATACCCAGCATCAAAGGTTTTCAAGTTATTCCAGTTTTTTCAAAATTTTTGACGTCTCACTGCTTTTCTTTAGCGCCTCGTACCTATGGCTCCGTTGGCTTGAATTTCAAAAAGTCTTCCTGATCGCCCTTCTACAGGGTGTTTTAAAATTAATGGTTAAGTTTACAAATAAATGAAACCTGCTTTATTTTTGTTCACTTTCGTTTTATTTAAGATTTTCTGAAATTGTGAAGCGTTAGTGCATTATTTTCTTAGGAGGCCTTGAAATAAACCCGTTAGCAAATCTGTCTGACAAATCTTTTTGTGGGTACAATTGTTATCATTCGTTATTCCATCGTAGTTTATATCATGAAAAAATCCTATTTAGTTTAATGAATACAAAGTTAAATGAAATCAAAAACAGAGACAGGCCAATTGGGGTTTTGTTTTACGTGGCCACCGTTTTTTCAATTCATAATGGCATCCTCTGATTAACTCCGTTGGTAGTCGCCTCTCGAACTCCTACTCCATTTCATCAAAAGCTCTTCTGACCCTAACTTCCAGTTCTTCACGACAAACAACTGATGTAACTTTGTTTTTCATAAGACCCCACACATAAAAGTCCAGTGTCATTATATTTGAGTATCTAGAAGATCGAAACCGCGGATCTGTAAGCCTAATACACCAGTCTTCAAAAATGTTCAAAGACATAAATAAGCATCATGGGTAAAATGAGCCGGCGCTCCATTAAGTTGAAACCAGTAGTTTTCCCCACCCCAGGTAATGTTTCCAAGGATGGTACAATGACATTTACTAAGGCGTTTATTTCAAGGCATCCTAAGAAAATTATGTATATAATGGTCACAATTTTAGAAAATCTTAAATGAAATGAAAACGATAACAGATAGATATAGGGAAAAATCAGCTTTTTAAGGTTTGAAGTTATTAAACTTGACCATTAAATTTAAAACACCCTGTACAAAGGCGATCAAAATTTAAATCATTCGCATGTAGCATCTCGTCAATATTGTTGATTATCATCGGTTGAGATGATCGGGACAAAAAGTTATAGTCCAAAAACGATCTTGAGAATCGTTCGGTATTCAGTTGTATAGAATTTTTAGCGCATTTCCATAAAAATTTAAATAATGCGCTGTTGTGGCCCGTTTGTCCGTCCGCCTACCCGTCTATCCGTCCGTCCATCTGTCCGATTGCTACTAGTTTTTTATCTTAAGGGATATTGTTCTACCTTTTCGCTATTTTGTTCGTTATGGTGTGATGAAAATTTTCTGTGCCGCTTAAGTAGAAAGTCCCTGGTTCGAATCCGGGTGTGAGCATGAATATTTGTAAATGTATAGTGGGTTGGGTTGGTAGAGCAGCCTTGGCTGAAATCCCGCCCACTCAAAAATAAAGGGAAAAAATAAAAATAAAATAAATAAAAGTTATAGCAAAAATCTTTTTTTTTCGTGTACCATAATTGTACACTTTTGCCGTTTATTGACGATCCTCGAGATCGTTTATAAAATTGTATCGCCGTCTGCCCGTCCGTCTGTCCGGGTGCAGTTGTGCATGATAACTTTTGTATTTGCGCAATCCAATGTTCTTATTTGTGAAGCTATTTCACTGAAATTTTGTATTTGGGCACCTCGAATAAAGGGTAAAACTAATGTCAAATCAAATAAATTTGTTTTGCGCATGCGCAATCCGTTCCGACTAAAAATACGTAAAACAATTACTGCGCATGCCCAGACCCACATTCGTTATTTGTAAACTAATTCTTCTAAAATTGTAAGGTCAAAAATGGATTACACATATGCAAAGCTATCTTTTTAGCGCATTTCCACAAAAATTAAAAAAAATCCGCTATTGTGGCCACTTTGTTCATCCGTCTGTCCGTCCGCCCGTCCGTCCGTCCGTCCGTCCGTCCGGGCATTCGTTGGGACGCTACTAGTTCTTTATCTTAAGAGCTATTGTTCCACTTTTTTCGCTATTTGGTTCGTTATGGTGTCGAGGCTTGCACCGAGGAAGGAATTTTTTCTGGGTTTATTGCTAAAAAAGTTATTGTAAAAAAACAAAAAAAAACATTTTTTACATGTTCCATAATTTTACACTTTTGCCGTTTATTAACAATCTTAGAGATCGTTTATAATTTTGCGGTGTCTGTCCGTCCGTCCGTTAGCATGATAACTCATAAACGAATGGACCGATTACGATAAAATTTTTCAGGTGGATTCTTTATCAAATTTGTAGATCGGAATTTGTGTATTGGCAATGTAGACCAAAACAAAAAATAAAGTAGGCCCTTTTGACATATCCGTTACTTATGAACCGAATTGCATGAAATTCAATATGCGCATAGCTTTAGCCTACAATTCGAAAAGTTGAGCCTAATCGATTAGCATTCACAGTGCCCTTTGCGCATCTCGACCATTTACAGACCGAATTACAAACTTTCTTATTTATAGAAGCAATTAAATGAAATTTCATACATATACATTTTAAATAAATGCAAAACTAACATCCGGTTTAAAATTTGGTTTTGCACATGCTATAGCCATACACAGAAGCTCGTTTGCTATATTTGTTTAATTTATTTATAAAGAAAAACTTCAAATGAGATATTTGGAGAACAGAATGACAAAAGAAGGTACTTAAAAAAGAGTCAATAGAGAAAAACCAACGAAACTAACGGCACGAATCTAGTTTTTTGGTAGTAAAGGCTAGAAAAGTTTTGACCTGCTAATGATAGATACACAAGTTTAAAACTATCGCTGATGATTGTCATATTTGCATTTTGTCGCTATCAATACCAAAAGCTTCCCTACCAGAATTGGAAAAGGGGACTGAACTGCTCCCTATCAACCAAATTTCATTCCGTGTTACGGGTTTCGTGTTTTAACCAAACCCACAAAAAGAAGAAAACACTCATTCCAAGCTTTACATGGCTCTTTGATTGTGTTTGTATACAGTGCGTGCGATGAAACTTTTCTTTAATTGCTATGCACAGTATACAGGGTATTCGCTATATATCAAACGCTGATCTTCCACGAACACTTCCGAACGCTCTCGAATGGTCTAGAATATCGAACAAAGACGTCGTATTTCCCCGAAAGAATGCCTCACATTCGTTTTCGTTTCTTATGGCGGATGACTAATCTTTTATGCCGCCTCGGTGTCTATCGGGATTTCTAGAATATTTGCTCCATTATACTTAATAATAGAGATTTACAACGAAACACTGACATTTTCTACTAACTTCATAATTGAACTGGCAAGTTCCCCTACTTGCAATCAAAACATGGTCTCCAGAACCCATATCAACGAATGAAAGGGTGAATATTTCGGTGAATATTCAGTGAGATCCTGATCAGGAAACTGAAAACAGCAATGTGAAACAGTTTAAGGGCCCGAAAACAAAAGTTTCATTTTTAAGAAAGCATGAAAGAGATAGTAAATTGCTCAAGTAACAGAAAAATGATCACCAGAGAGCGAAAACGGAAAATTATTTTGGGACAGAACAATGATTTTGAAAGATTAATCATCGTACTATAGTATGAGAATTTTGAATCACCATTGAAGGATCTTGGGTTTTTGGTCCGAGACTGTACAGAATTATGTACTTAAATAGCAGTGAAAGTGCCAAGTCATAAATCGCAATATCAAATTTGCATTAACGTTGATTGTAATTCCAGAGGAAAAGTACCTCAACCTACGCTTAGTATGCATCTTGATGAAGTTTGTGGGAACTGTGACTAATTGGGTGAACAATTAATTATTACATATAATAGGTAATCATATGTGGGCGGGCACGCTTTATAAATATACAAAAGTAAATGCAGTGATTTACAAACACAAACCAAAACCCAAATGCATATATCGGTGAGTTAGCCCTATTTTAATTATATTTAATTGGTACTTTCTAGACTGTACTTATCTTAGCCTGTGCCGCTGCAGTGCACTGCCAAGGATTCGGGTACGATTTCGTTTTTCCAAACGGTCCTGATCAGCAAAATCAAGGTTTCCAGGCACAATACGTAGTTGGCACGAGGCAATTTTCAAACGGACCCGTGGTCGAAGGATTCGGAGGATATCAGGGAGGATATAATCCGGGATATTCAGGTGCGGGTTTCTACCCGCCAAATGGCCTGAATAGCGACGTTGGCACTTATTTCCGCGCGGGTCCACCTCAAGGCGTGCAAGCTGCAGAACAGGGTGCAACAAAAGGGCAGGGAGGAGGAGATTTTTTGCATAAGTTATTTAAACTTCCACTTGGCATTATGCAAGAGGTTATTAACGGTTAGGTATTTAGATGAATTGTAAATTTGTAGTTCTCATGCTCATCGCCCAGAATGAGCTCAGAATTATAGGCACCACAACATAATTTGTGTCTTTTGTCGTTTTTGTATAGTGATCCATAAATGTTTACAAGAATTTCCAATGAACTAATGCAACCCCCTCTATCCACATGTAGGGTTTTTACACTTGGTACATAATCAGTTTTACAAACCCCGTACATTTCTAAAGTAGGATGAAAATCGGTTGGCTAGAGATATTGCTCCATCTGTCTTTTGGAAGGTAACTCACATAGAAGAATATTACAACATAGGGTTGAAATCCAGCGATAACTAATAACAACTGAGAAACATCGGGGAATTGTGAGAAAAAACACCGAAAAAATCTCAGAACTTTTGTTAAAGGCAACACTATCATTAATTGTTTATTTATAAGGCGGCGCTGTTTATTGTTATTGTATAATGTAGAAGTTGCCAACTCAATAATTAAAACATATTTTTTATTGGACTCAAATATGTATAGTGAAATATTACAATAGTTCCAACTTGAGGTGTAGAAGAAATTGGTAATTTAGTGCAATTAACCAAAGATCCTTACATAATGACATCGTGCCGCAAAGAAAAGCTCAAGCATGTAATAAGGTATATTAAAAAGATCATGAATGTTCTCCTGATACGAATTTATCTTGCATTAAATTGTCGTAGCAGAACAAAAGACACAGACTTCTCTTTCAAAATTCTGATGTGAAAACCACAGTACAATTTCAAAAAACTTTACGGAAGTTTCAAACAATTGCTGAAGGTTTTCGAAACTTTTACGGCATTTCAATAGACATGAGCTTCAGCACGTATTACGCAATTTTACAAAATTGTTAACAGTATAACATTTCAGAGAGTTAAACGACTTTAATCTATTTCAGGGAGGTTCGTGGAGTAGAGAAGCTTAAAAGAAATTAGCAAGACAAAGTAATAAGCGCGCTTAGATGAGCTATTTCATTACAGATGTAAATTAATATTTATACTGTAGTACGTGTATATATTCGGGATGATGTAAATGAAGCGGGTCATTGTAATTAACATAAGAGCAAAAAGAGCCGAGTTAAATGCGTCTGTAGTTACCGAACGTTGAATGACAAAAACCTCATAATACCGCGAAGTAAGTATTTATATCAATCCATAGTTGTATGATAATGCGTTTAGTGGGTCAGATTTTGCAAGGGCGATGCCTATAAATAGTAGTGTAAATAGTAAGAGAGACGCATTCAATAAACGGTCGTGGACCAACATTTTCGCAGCATGTCCAAGAAATACAACAAAAAAGTTGAAGATCTTCACGGCGTAACTCAACGAGAAATCTATAGTCGGTCCGTGCAGAGTGCAACTGGAGGATTAATTTCACTTCCACATCGAAGAAACAATCAACCAGGATTAAACAGCTGGGCCGTGACCAGTGCGCATCGAGAACTACTGTATATTTGAATTTATATCTGGCAGAACGAAATTTTGGCATTCATAACTAGGATGGACAAGGGCAGTTATTACGTCTCATTGAAGAAATTAGGTTTTAAGTTTAGTTTTTTTTCTGTAATAATTGTTTGTTTTTCTTTTTGTATTATTTTTTTTCCGGGTCGATGTGAGACAATTTTTTTTTACCAAAAATCGACTACACCAAAATTTCTCAGGAAAACACTTTTTCTTATTAATTTGGGTGCGTAGAATCCAAATCAATTCGTACTTTTTCGATCAGACTTCTCAATCAAAAGTTATAGACTAGAAAACAATTTCGAAAAAAAATTCAAAGGGCTGTAACTTTTGAACTAGTAGCCCAATCTTGGAACTGTTTGAAATAATGGATTCTACAGGCCACATTCTATAAGAAAATTTTTTTTCCGGGTCGATCTGAGACAATTTTTTTTTCGGGGCTCAAAAAAAGGCAGTGTATAACCTTCCCTTTTTACCAAAAATCGACTACACCAAAATTTCTCGGGAAAACACTTTTTCTTATTAATTTTGGTGCGTAGAATCCAAAACAATTCGTACTTTTTCGATCAGACTCCTCAATCAAAAGTTATAGACTAGAAACCAATTTCGAAAGAAAATTCAAAGGGCTGTAACTTTTGAACTAGTAGCCCAATCTTGGAACTGTTTAAAATTATGGATTCTACAGGCCACATTCTATAAGAAAATTTTTTTCCGGGTCGATCTGAGACAATTTTTTTTTCGGGCTCAAAAAAAGGCAGTGTATAACCTTCCTTTTTTACCAAAAATCGACTGCACCAAAATTTCTCGGGAAAACACTTTTTCTTATTAATTTTGGTGCGTAGAATCCCAAACAATTCGTACTTTTTCGATCAGACTTCTCAATCAAAAGTTATAGACTAGAAACCAATTTCGAAAGAAAATTCACAGGGCTGTAACTTTTGAACTAGTAGCCCAATCTTGGAACTGTTTGAAATTATGGATTCTACAGGCCACATTCTATAAGAATTTTTTTCTTCCGGGTCGATCTGAGACAATTTTTTTTTCGGGGCTCAAAAAAACGCAGTATATAACCTTCCTTTTTTACCAAAAATCGACTACACCAAAATTTCTCGGAAAAACACTTTTTCTTATTAATTTGGGTGCGTAGAATCCAAATCAATTCGTACTTTTTCGATCAGACTTCTTAATCAAAAGTTATAGACTAGAAACCAATTTCGAAAGAAAATTCAAAGGGCTGTAACTTTTGAACTAGTAGCCCAATTTTGGAACTGTTTGAAATTATGGATTCTACAGGCCACATTCTATAAGAAAATTCTTTTTCCGGGTCGATCTGAGACAATTTTTTTTGCGGGCCTCAAAAAAAGGCAGTGTATAACCTTTCTTTTTTACCAAAAATCGACTGCACCAAAATTTCTCGGGAAAACACTTTTTCTTATTAATTTGGGTGCGTAGAATCCAAATCAATTTGTACTTTTTCGATCAGACTTCTCAATCAAAAGTTATAGACTAGAAACCAATTTCGAAAGAAAATTCAAAGGGCTGTAACTTTTGAACTAGTAGCCCAATCTTGGAAATGTTTGAAATTATGGATTCTACAGGCCACATTCTATAAGAAAATTGTTTTCCGGTCGATAACCTTCCTTTTTTACAAAAAATCGACTGCACCAAAGTTTCTCGGGAAAACACTTTTTCTTATTAATTTTGGTGCGTAAAATCCAAACCGATTCGTACTTTTTTGATTAGACCTCTCCATCAAAAGTGATGGACTAAATAAAAATTTCGACAATATTATATATATGCGGAAGCTTTTTTTTTACTATTCGTAATTGTTCCAAAACTCGGTACATCGGACCTATTGTATCGCCTGGTAACTTTGACGGCTCGTTGAAAGTGAATCTCGAAATCTCGGGAACAAACTGGGCTTCAGGTTTCTCTAACTTTAATAGTTCAAGTTTAGTTTATTCACTGGATCAACTGACCAATGGAAAGGGAAATATTAAAAAATATAACTTAGGGTGTAACAGGTAGCATAAGCACTAATTAATTGTCTTTTAACATTTTACCGGTTGCCGTTTAATGTAAAAATCTATGAACACCCTGTATACACCACAGAAGAAGTGTATAGTTTTGCCTATAAGATTTATCTTAATCGTTTAATCGCTCCAAATATGAACGCAATGAACGTTCTGCACCTTGGACCGCAACGATTTCGTAGAAATGCTAATTCGGTAATGCGCACAATATGTTCACGTGCGTATTAACAAAGTAGCATATTCGCACTGGATTTACGGTTGAATCTAAATCAGTCGTCAGTTAATTTCCACTACACGACGAAATTCCAATAAATTAAAGCCCCCACCACAATCACTTCCACTTTCACAATAAAATATTACGTACGACTATGCGGCTCACAAATCTTTATGGTCCTCAAAAATACGGTTTCGATCCGAACATAGTTTCGCCTTGAAGCTTGGCGAAAAATCAAAATTAGCCGATTTAAAAACGCTGCGCTTCACTCATAGTTTCACTGCGAAAGTTTGATAAAGGATTCCTTCTATACGATATAGAAATGGCGCACACAACTTACATGATTCGCCTTGACGAAGAATTTTGCTTTACGCGATCTCAAAATACCGCGTTTAAATTATTTGCATCGAAAGTTTGACTACGAATCCTCTTCTCCCACCCGATTTTTACTTACCTACTCACCGAATTAAAAATGTCTAAATGGAGTTGTTTATCGGAAATGTAGAAGGAGGTAGAGGAATCACAATTAATTAACAGTTTTCCGCTTAGTAGCGGATATTACCTGTTAATTTACGTTTAATGCAAACAATAAATAACATTATTCGTTAGCTTTATTACAATCGGAGAGATATTTGATTAACACTCCGCATCAGCTAATTTTCAAGAGGGGTCCAAAGAAACCCATAGCTTTTACCAGAATCTGGATCGTGGTAGACACTGTTGTGACCTTCAGGCCAAGTGGCTAGTATCTCTCTAAAAATATCTTCATCTGCAGACGAGGACGACCTGTAACCTATCGGCCGCATCCTATTGTTTCCAAATGGCGGCGGAAGATAATTCCCTCTAGGATCGTGTCCCAAGTAAGGGGGAACTTGCGCGGGAAATCGTCCTGGGGTTTGGGGTGGATTGTTCATGTAACCGAAGTTGTTGTATGGCGGGCGGAAGCTTTGATAGTCCCAGACGTTGTTGGGAGGTCTCGGGTCGACGTAGGGACGTTGCCAACTGGGTCGTGGTGGTTCTTCGAAGGGAGAGTCACCTAGGTTCCAATTAGGATATGCAAATGGGCGGCGTGCTTCCTTTTTTTCAGGCTCAGATTGGGGCGGTAGAGGCGATGTTGATGTGTTCTGAGGGCTAGAAGGGAGCCCAGGTTTTTTAGAAGGTTTAGGGGTTGAGTCCGAATTGCGTCCCGGTGCACAGTTCCTACGATAATTTTTACCCGATTGTCCACCAGCCTCCTCGTCCTCAGGTTCGTTTTCAGCTGCGGAAAGTGCCCATAATTTGTTAACCAGTACTGCCACGGCTAAGATGAAAGCCTACAAAAATTCCATGTAACATTGCTTAATTGCCCAAGTATTTTTACTTACCAATCGCCTCATTTTGGGAACTGCTCACCAACACCAAGCGCTGAGCTTATATAGCAGATAGGTGGAAGTTTGCCGTAAAAAAACTAATTAATTGATTATGTCCAATTTATCGATCGGAAATGTGTTTACTTTGTGAAAAATTGATTACAATTGTAATTGAACATTTATTTTTGACAGCTCATTAAATTGCAGATCGGTAGGCAATCGGATGCGAAACGGAAGATTTATGATACTAATTTTCCACTAATCAAACAACGATACCGTTCGAGGAAACTAAATCTCATTTATTTGTCTGGATATTGATGTTGCAATTTTTGGTAGGATATCATCATGGACTTTTTTGAGTCCTTTGTAGTAAGCGATTAAGGATATAGCGGTAACGATGAGAAGAGGTTCATTTTTAAAAGATGGGAAATGGAAATAGATTGGTATGATTAATCGCTTTGGTACGCATCCTATCGACCAAAGTCGAATAATAACATATTTTTCAGAAGTTTTTGATGCGCGTTACCAACAGAGAAATGATGGCCACGATGGATACATCCCATCTTGAGGTATGCATTTCTGTTGCGCAGACGTCAAAAAGTCCAGAGAAAATTACGGTGTGTTAGAAGAAATGAAGGGTCCGATTTGCCATTTACCCATCCAAATATGGAGATTTTTTGAGACACTTCCGGTGTCTGTGTTGCAATTATTATCGATAAGTGGTCAGTCATAATTTCCTTCCAAAACCACGCATATACAATAGACAACTTCCTTATTTGTGGAGCAATTTGAATTTCTGTTGTAGGGTCCTCTAATATATGCAAACAAAATAGAATTTGACTCATCACACCTTGGCACCTGACTCAGGACCGACTAGTACTGCCAATAACTGACACAAGACGGAAAAAGGATCGTCCTGTTTTTTATTGATCCTAAGATGAAATCGCCTATCAATTCCCGAAAAGTTAAGATTGGGATATGTCAAATTTGAGGATAAAACTGACAAGGAGGAACTCTTATACCAGTCTCTGTATTGTCCTTTCCATATTACCACATAATACAGGATACAACAAAGCGAGTATTTGGATCTGACATCTAGGTGTCGCCAGGCTGGCGACTTGACTTGGCAGTGCATCTAGTTGTTTGTTAAAGAGGAGGAAAGCGATATGGATAGTAGAGGAAACGTGAAGGGAACATGCATGGCGAATATAAAAGTGAGAAATCGATATTTTCAAACGAAGGCGTGAAAGGAAATGCACCAGACTTGCAAGAAGGGAGCGTAAAAACAGAATGCGTTACGAAAAATAACTAGTAGAAAGCGTGAAGCAGAAGTAATGGAGGCCCCTCGAAGACCACTAAAGAAAGGCTCCATGTAGGAAAGACGCGCAAAGAGAAGCATGAAAGGCACCTGTCACCTACTACACGCCAGTCCGTAGAAGGTATTTCAATTTGTACTTCAAGTGGAAGTGACCATGATGATGCTTTTGCTCTGGTATTTGCGGCTTTTAAGTTTTCACTAAGTGACGCGGTGCTGGACAAAGCTGCATACAACGCTTCCTGGTTTGGGACGCGTCGCTTCGCTTGGTAAAACTGCTTCATGAGACATGAGAACATTCAGAAGCACTTTACCGTTGTGCATCGGCAAGTTAGAATCGGACTTTAGCATACGGTAAGTGAAAGCAGATGTAGATAATAGAGGAAAAGGGGCGTATATACCTAGACCGTCCAAAGTAGCTCGCCACCTAGCGGTGGTTTGGGAAAGTAGATCAGGCTCTACCTGCAACCAAGCAATGTGGAAGTAACCTTGGAAAATAGGACAAGCTGAAGCTCAAACTACATTCACCCTCCGACCTTGAAAAGAGTGTAACCTTGGAAAGTCGATCAACGTAAAGGTTAACTTGCCCATTTTTTGTAATCTGATAATCCACTTTCAAGGCCAGCAAAGTCAATGACCAAATTTTTGTCGTCAGGTCGTCACCTTTCAATGAAGGTTCAATTAACATTAACGTGTTTGCATCCGATGCACGTTCACATTTGGATTCGATTGATATTCAATGACCTTGAAAATGAAATGTAACAACCAAAAGAGAAGTTAATTGACGCTTAACGACCTTGAAATTGAATTATGACGCTAGAAAGAATTAACCTCTGGGGGCGAGAGATCAATCTTTTTGATCGAAGGCCATTATACAAGAATGAGAGCGAGGGAGAATATCCTTTAAACTTTACCTTGATCTACTTTCCAAGCTCACCTCCACGTGTCAAGTCTCCCTTGAACTTCACCTTGATCTGCTTTCATGGTCACCAATGGGCGAACCACGTTTAACTGTCCAAGTACGCCCCTGTTACTCTACTGAAAATGAAGCATGAAACCGTCGTGAAGAGACGTCAAGAAGGCGTGCAACGAATATACTGGAAGGGCGAAGAAAGGAGCCGTAAGGAGGATGTAAAGAAGGCGTGAGATGAGAAACGTGTGAAATCCCGAGGCAGACATAATAATTGCTTCCAAAAGCCGCGAGAAAAGGTTAAAACAGACATCAGAGGAAGAAGACAAGAAGCAAAAGAGGTATAAAAAAGAACGCGTTAATAAAAGGATTCATAATAAAAAAGAACGGAACTAACAAGCGAGAGAATGAAGCGCCTATTAAGATAGGAAGCGAGTGTACCACGAGATAAGAGTCAAAACGCCACAATGTTTCCGGTTCTAAAAATCGTCCTAAAGGAGCATGAGGGATGCTTTACCTAAAAAACACCCGAGGATTGGTTTTCGTTGGGTCCGTTTTGAATTTTTAACTCAGCGAATACATGCAGTTGGAGAGATGCATTCTTGGGTAAACTTTCACTTTTGATCTATGTTCGAGCGCGGAATATTTTAGATCGCGTAAAATTTGATTCTCAATTAAAGGTTCGAGACGAAGCATTTTTAGCCACGTAAGCGTTCGTCATATTTTATTGCGAAATTTGATTACCGAATTTCAAGGGAAAACTGTGCCGCCATTTCAGCGGGATTATTGTTGTGGGTGCTTTAAATTCATTGTGAGTTACGAACAAATCTAATAAAAGTGGCGTATTTATGCAAAAAGGAAACTTCGTCGTATAGCGAATCGACCGGCCGGTTGATCTATGTATTTTCAACCGTAAATACCTATAGTGCGAGTACACCTAGTTACGATAAAAAAAATTGTGCACGTCTCTTGTGATAATAGATTTTGCATACGTGCGGAACATTGGTAAATTATTCCAGTGAGCAACCAAATTTCAACTACTAAACTACGGGAAACCTGAACCCCAGTTTGTTCCTTATTCAAATTCGCCAACCATCTTTAGAGATTCATCTTCAACGAGTAACAAAATTTGCCTGGCGATAAAATAGATCCGATTGCATTGCAGAAGGCATTCCACCATCCCATTTTCTGAATTGCGGCTACCATTCAAAAGGAGCGAATCAACTGTCATTTGGAGAAAACCTCGACGCATCGATAAAGGTACGTTAATTGAATTTTTTGCACTATGTAAAATTAGGAGTCGGCCGTTTTTAGCGCATTTCCACAAAAATAAAAAATAAATGCGCTATTGTGGCCACTTTGTCCGTCCGTCCGTCCGTCCGTCCGTCCGTCCGCTAACTTTGCGACGCTACTAGTTTTTTATCTTAAGAGCTATTGTTCTACTTTTTTCGCTATTTGGTTCGTTATGGTGTCGAGTCTTGTACCAAGGAAGGAATTTTTTCTGTACCGCTTACAAAAAAAGTTATTGTAAAAAAAACAAAAAACCGTTTTTTTACATGTTCCATAATTTTACACTTTTGCCGTTTATTAACGATCCTAGAGATCGTTTATAATTTTGCATTGCTATCTGTCGCCTGCCGGTTGGTCTCTCCGTCTGTTCCTTTGTCTGTCTGTCCATCTATCTGTCCGTGTGAACGATAACTTTGTTTAGAAATGTTCGATCGCTTTTACATCTCCGTTAGTTATGAACTGAATTGCATGAAATTCAATATGGGCATAGATTTAGCCATATAATACGCAATGCCAAAAGTTGGATCGAATCGATTCAAAATTCACAGTGCCCTTTTCGCATCTCGACCATTTATAAACCGAATTGCAAACTTTTTTACTTATAAAAGTATTTGAATGAAATTTGATACATAGGCACTTGGAATAAAGGAAAATCAAACGCCAATTTCAAAATTTGGTTTTGCGCATGCGCAGTGCCAACTTTTTTATTTATGGAAGAATTTAAACGAAATTTGATACATAGGCACTTCGAATAAAGGAAAATCAAACGCCAATTTCAAAATTTGGTTTTGCGCATGCGCAGTGCCAACTTTTTTATTTATGGAAGAATTTAAATGAAATGTGATACATAGGCACTTGGAATAAAGGAAAATCTAGCGCCAGTTTCAAAATTTTATTTTGCGCATGCGCCGTGCCAACTTTTTTATCTATGGAACTATTTAAGTGAAATTTTATACTTAGGCGCTTGGAACAAAGGAAAATCTTAGTTTATTAGTTAGTTATAGTAAATTAGTTTTAAAATTTAGGTTTGCGCATGCGCAGTTCCAACTTTCTTATTTAGAAAAGCATTGAAATGAAATTCTTCTCATAAACTGAAATTGAAGTAGCACGTCAACAATGGATTGCCCATGTGCAACGCTATCTTTCATATTTGTGGCCGGATTTTTACGATTTTACAGAAGTTGCATCTTACAAATGGGAAATGAATGCAAGTGGAAATGCGCTTTATGTAAATCGTTTACGATTACTTTTTAACTTGTTAGATCTTTGTCTATAAAAATTGTATGCTCAAAGTCGATTTAACATTCCTGAAGAGGTCTCTCCATGTGACAAAAACCTTGTAGAAGGAAAGAGAGGAGTGATAATGATGATCGTTAAGAGAAGCGAATTTAATTTGTTTGTGCGCCTAAAACATGGCCGCCTACAGTTCATTGGCGTAAGGTTAAAACAGCAACCGCAGGTACATAAATTATAACGTTATAAATTTATGCATATTTTTCCTGTTCATATTATAATAGTATACAATAAGTATAATGGAGGTACACCCCTGGTCTATATATGCAAACAACAAACGTTTTCAAAACTTGACATATTTTGATGGTCGCAATGTCGAATTACTGACATTAACTCCAATCCAAATCAGCCTTTCGGAGGCGGAGGAGGGCTTCACGAGACAAACATTTGAAGAACCTTCAAGGTAAAGGTTACCTTAGGAAATTCTTCAGTGGTTCTTAGAGAATCAGGGACTCGGACCGGACCGAAAAAGAACCGAAAACCGGACCAAAACCGGTATTTTTTTCTGCACCGAAAACCGAACCTTCGTTATTTCGTTATTCCTTCAGAAATGGAAACGTATTGAGAACCGGAACCCATGGCCTAATAAGAGTACTCTTATTAGGCCATGCCGGAACCCATATTACTTTTTTCGGTTCTTTTCGGTTTTTTAGGGTTCTTAACAGGTTATTGGAAGTTGAAGGACGCGCCGGCAACCATGTCCTGAAAATTGATAAAATATTCCTCTATGATTGCCATCGGTGGATTATAAATTTTTAATAAAGTGTCGAAATTGAAGGCATTACGGGTGTCAGTGCCGCTAATTTAGCCACTACTTTAAAAAAATAAAAAAGGAGAAAATAAAATATTCTATTTTTTAGTAATAAATTAAGTGTAAATACATATTTCCCTCTTTCTCCTTTATTCCCCTTGTTGTTATAAATTAGCTACATTGACGATACGTCACGTTTTGGTATTCATGATATTTTCTTCACACCTATTAATTCACAAATCACGTTGTTATAATGAATTTTTTGAATGCCATACTTTCTGAAAAACTAGAACCGAAAATAACCGTTATGGACCGAAAAAAATGCGCGGAACCGAATCGTTATTTCTTTTTAGACCCCAAACCGGATCGAAACCGTTATAAATATTTTCACTTAATGGGAATAGAGGATTCGTGAGAGATTCTTTACAAATTTGTAGAAGGTTCTTAGTACGTCCTTAAGAGATTCTTGGGATTCTCTTGAAGCGATCCTTTGAAAATCTGAGTTGACTGTTTCTTGGAAAACAATTGTCAAATTCTTGAGAAACCCATGGTAAACATTTTTGAGAAAGATTCTACAATTTTTTGGCGATTAATGAACTTTGAGCGATTTTTAAAAAATGGTTGGCTTTTTTCTTCCTAAAGCTCCTCTCGGCGGCAGGATGATCTTAAGACATAAACATTTGAATGCCCTTCAATGCAAAGATTTCAGAACTCTAACAGAAATACTGCCAAAAGCACAAGTGAGTCGGGGCGGACATACCTACAGCCGAACGAACAGACGGGCGGAAAAACAAAACACAATCAAGGGCATTTTTTAATTTTCAGGTGTAATCACTCAGTCTATTGATTTGAATAATATATATTTCGCGATCCAACAACAGAACAGTGGAAAACTAGGTACATATTTAGATCTCTATTTAAAACGTAGCGAAAATTGTACAAGAGGAAATCCCTTTCTTCGACTATCAGAGTCTATGGCTTCACCCTTAGGCGAGTCTTCTTCAGTGTTGTCAACGTAGTCAGGACCAGGCAAAGGTTTTTGCGCATTTAATTCGTTTCTACCGTGATACGCTTTTGTTAAAGTTCTTAAGGAAAATTCTGGTATGTCATTGTGAGTAGGGTTGAAATCGTACGCTCGGCCGCCCCAATCGTACCCGTCGAAATTTGATCGGAACGATGGAAAAGCGTTCCATTTCCCGTTCAGAAATGGCGACATGCGATAAAGGTTGCCCATTGGACGCGTGGTGACTTCGTCTTGTGTTTTCCATAGGGTCTGACACTTTTTGTCGTTTTCGTGATTCTTGCAAGGATCGAAAGTTGTGGTCTCGGGGTGTTCGTGGGTTCCATCCCCCAAACAAGTCACCACTAGAACTGATCCGAGTATCACAGCCTAGAAATGAGTAATTACAACGACGCACACTAGCGACAGAGTTACTTACCCCAGCGTTCATTCTAATTGAGCGATTGTGCTCGTTACCCTTTCGGGTTATATAGACATAAAGCGTTCCGACAAATTAGAAGGTTTATGCAAACGTTATTAATCTTAACGAAAGTGGAACGTAGTGAGTAATTAATTAAGTGTGCCTACGTAATTGCTATCAATCACCATGTTTGTAAATACTGTTATCGATTTGCGATTCTAATAATGTTCATTTGGCAAACGTGAAGAATTGCAATTACACCTACATAATTGACTCAATACGTTCAATTGTAAGATCAGGAGCTGTGCTTCAACTCATTGTGTGTAAATGACTCTTCTAAATGGTAAGCGGTTGGTCACCTCGTAGATAAATCACATCTTGAAGGATCCAATTTTATTAATCTCTCCCGAACTTCGAATCAAAAATGTGTACCCCACTAATAAAAGTTTATACAAAAATTCAGAAACCGGCCCATTTTATATCATGAAAAGTTTGTTATGATCTATTGAAAGAAAATGTTATCATCATCATCATCGTTTCACTTCCGGTTCTACCGTGGATTTTCTAATTTGAAATAAAACATCCAGTATTTTATTCCATTTTGGAAATCTACATGAAAATCTACGTCGTTTGATTCACATTATTCACAGGTTATCAAGATTTTTCAAAATTTTGACGTTTGGCTGCTTTTCTTTGAAGCCCTGTAACTTTTGCAAATGGAATTTTATGACTGCTCCCAACAAAACTATTCAACTATTTCCAAAAGTATTTTGGGAATTAATTCTATCAAATTCGGTCCGGTTTCTAGGCATAAGTTTAGGGAATTTAAATTTTCAGTTTTCGCCGATGCATTGAATACTGGCCACAATTTAGAGGTGCTATCTTCTTTCACTACGTGCCGATGCGCCAGATAGTGCCCTTCTTGATTGAGACTTTGAGTTCAATAATTCCTTCTTTGGACCATATCTTGCAAAATATTGTGACAGTCCAACAAGCGATGTAACTCTACAACTCTTTTTCTCGTGTCTCCTTTGATCTCTGACTTGCCACGTCCTTTATAACAGGCGATCAAAAATGAGTTGCTTTCGAGTCGCCTTTGGAAGTTTAAGTTAAGTACCATTTCCCATGTAAACAAAAATTCCAAAGGTGACTCGACGGCAACTCATTTTTGATCGCCTAGTACCAATACTATCTAGATCCCAAAAGTTGGCAATATCACGATCTTGAATTAACAAAGAAACCACATTTAAAGTTATATGATTTCGTTAGGAAGTAGTAACAGGCAATTTTCCCATGAACATTCATATAGTTTTTAGTGCTACTAGCCCATGTCAGCCCCAATGAAAATACTAATCGGTTCCACTGATGTGCCAAGGATAGAAAAATACATTGTTTTTTTAACACCTCCATGATCAACATAAACTTTACAGCGGGAATTTTATCACAAATTGACTTTTTGTTTCAAAAGTAACTACCATGGACGCTACGTAAATGTAGTTGGTACTAGCGGTGGGCGATTACAGGTTTAAATAATCGATAATCGGTTATTAAATAATCGATTATACCGATTAATCGGGTATAATCGATTATTTTTAATTATCGATTATTATTATCTGATTAATCGATTATTTGATTAATCAAATGATTGATTTAATCGATTAATCAATCATTTGATTAACCAAATAATCGATTAATCAAATAATCTATTAATCAAATAATCGATTAATAAAAAATCTATTCATCAAATGATCGGTTAATTAAATAATCGATTAATCAAATATTCTATTACCAAATAAGCGATTAAGATTAACCGTATAATCAATCGCCACATTTTGTTTTCTCTTGTGTTTGTTCTCTTTAATACGTTCATTACCTAATAATTCTTTTCATCAAATCGTCAAAATAGGCAAATCGATTAATCACTAATCACCGAACAGGAAATCATTATAGGCAGCTTACTGTATATTTAGGTGTGGGATAGCTTTGATGAACAGGTCTTAATTAAATTACTGGAAAGTTTAATTTATTTGTCAAAACTTATGTTAGTTTGGGTAGTGTGTACCTTGAGTTCAATACACGTCTAGTGCTTTAAATAATTTTTTATTTATTCATTGTTACTAAACAGTAAATTGTCCACATCTGTCACTGTTTATAATGATGATGATTTATTATTTGTTTTTTGTTAATTTTTTTAAGTTTTTCTTATATGTAATAGGTACCTACCATTATGCACTTATTGCATTTGTCTCGGAGCATTCATGTCTTACGACTACGATATGGTAAAATAAAAAGCTCATTTTGTTTATAATGTACCATAAAAATATATTGTTTATTGAATAACATATACACTTATTAGCACTTGATTAATCAAATAATCAATTAATCACATAATCGTTTAATCAGATAATCGATTAATCAAATAATCGATTAATTTAAAAGAATAATCAAACTCGATTATCGATTAACATTTGATTATAATCCATTGATCAATTATTTTGCCCAACGCTAGTTGGTAAACATGATGCTTTTGAGGCCGTATTAACCCCACCGAAAAGCGTGTAGGCGATTTCTTCCTCTCGTTCTGAATTATAACCTGTAGCAATCGCATCCGCAAAGTAAGAATTTTGGGACCCGGTGTCAATTACTGCGCGCACTACCTGCTTATGTTTACTTTGGAGAAGAGCATTAAAAAAAACATTAGAAAAAATTAGCTCAATTCTGTTCTACTCTGCTAGGCTTCTCCTTCTTCTCAGTTTTCAGAGTTTGATCTGTCGATTTATCATTCGCTTACGCTGGACATTGCACTGTCGATAACCATGGCCTCGTTTCAAACAATTAAAGCAGCTGTTCTTGTCTCAAGCATCTCGGTTAATTCCCCGTTTGGCATTTTGCAAAGCTAACGTTAAAAGTTCGCAAATATACAGTTCCACTAACAAATCTTCACGTCCAAAGCGATCTATTAAACTGTCTACAGCTTTTACGTAATTATCGCCAATAGGTGCAAAGCGTGCGATTAACTCAGCAGCTCGCGAACCGGGAAACACCGCTGCAATTAAATATTCGAATTTGTCGGTTGAATTATATCCATCCAGAAGAGCCTCTAACGCGTTGTACGCTTTCGTAAACGCCTGCCGGGAAGTAAATACGAAGTTTTTTTAACGGTTCCACATCCAGTTGTTCCATTTTCCACAAACGTTTTCCCAGGACAAAACTCACGAACAAAAGTCCTGTCACGGTCGCCAAATGTTATAATGAGCGCTCAATAATGTGAATCTTTGTACCGGGATACACAAACACCTTTTAAATAGTGGAAATAAAGGCAATTTTAAGGATGTCTTTCTATGTTCACAATTTTTACAAACTTAATGAATACATCTGTTTCCTAAACAATATGTCAATCCAACTACATTACTATATAAAATGCGTGGCGAGATATGAAACTAATATCCCATTTTACCTTCGGTAAACACATCGCAATTTTAACCAATATAATTTCGACTCAGTTAGAAGATTTTCAATAATCAGTATTAAATTCAAAAGTAGAAACTGGATTGAACATTATATACATCGAGAAAATGGGCATTCATAAACAAAACTGAAACAAGTAAAACGTGAACCCACTGTTTGAGGAATAATTTCTCTTTGCTAATTTATACGACAAAATTCTGAACCAGCAATATACCTACCTAAAGAAATCGGTCTGTATTAACTGCGATGGCAAGAAAGACTTTATTTATGTAGCACTAAACTACCCTTCGTTTCGTTCATCCTTCAAATGCTGGATCACCTTCCCAAAACAATGAAAAAAAGAACGGTGGGTTTGAAATTTGGATGGCCTCCAAGATTTCGAAGTTCCACAGAAGAACTATGTAATCAAACAGTGATAGTCGTTTTTTTTTAAATAGTAATTATTTGCGTACAAATTTGTAATACAGCAGGTGAACGATACAGCTGAATACGTCCATTTGCTGCCGGAAGGCGCAATTAGTTTACTTTGTAGGTGTAAGACTTCCGGTACCTATTGTTTGTGCTACGCGAGGATTTTTTTTGTTCGTGCGAGTTGTTTATTTGATATTCTTCTTTGCCACTCCAGAAAATTCTTTCCTTAAATGAACGTACCGTAACACGGCTGATACTCTGATTCGACACAAATTTTTGTAACACAAACTTGTCCGTGATTTAATTCGCTTTTCTCGCCGCGATTTCCGTCCAGACCAGCGCGTAATTGATAATTTTTTTCATTCGTATCGCACCCATCATCTGATTCGGTTATTTGAGTCACGTAAAAGCTATTAATCTCTCGTTATCTCGCGCCAGACAGTCGCTAGTAACTTTTCCCATGCGATTAACCGGTCACGACGCATACGGTAACCATTCACTCACAAATCTAGATCGCCAAATTCATTAAGAAATTTGAAAATAATAATGGAACCACCCTGTATCTCTCGTAATACTCAATACTTAAAACTGAGTTCACCTAACAAAATTCACCTATTGACCTATTTGACAAACACCTCAACCAAATCCATAATTCCATATTAACCTTAAAACAAGCCAGAAATGCTTTTTCTTTAAATTTTGGATCAAGATGCCAGACCTGCCATCTGTTCGCATGCCCATTGAAACCTAGGGTTCAATTTCGGGGTTTAAACAATTTGAAAGTTGGTCCCTACACAAAAGCATGCACTGCATCTGCTGCGTGCTGGTAGTAAATTATCTATACGAACGAAAAACCAAAACGGGTCTTAGAATTTGCATTTTATGTGGAAAGTAACCACCTTTGAAGTCCCAACAATCTTAGCAACTCGTGATGCCAAATAAGCTTCGTTTATAGACCACGAAAGTAAATTTGAACAATTTTGAAATCTATGAAATGGCCTCCTGCGAAAGCGAAAAAGGAAAAACCCACACTCCAATGTGATTAACTCATGCGGATCATTTTCCAGCGTCAACTTGTTACCCGTCCAAGTTCTCTTCTCCACTGACAAAAGGCAGTTATAGTCGTTATCTCACTGTATTTATTAATAATGTTAACATTAAGTTCTGTTAAAGAAAATCACATTTAAATTTGCAGAATAATTTATTGTTCTACTAACCTACACTATATGATGAACGGTTAGTGTAAATTGTTCGTTTGTATGTTATTCGGCACTTCTTTTCGAGATAACTGACGATCTAAAAGAGGAAATGAGAGGGCTGGTATAGCTGCTGCCACCAAGTTGGAAACCAGATGGATCAACACCAGAAGGAAACACGCCTCCACCACCGTATCCCAACTGACCAAGTCCACCTAAATGCTGAGGTATGCTAGATCCGTATCCGTAGCTTCCTCCAAGGAGAGGGTTTGGGTAGAGACTGCTGCCGAAGGAGTTCAGTCCACTGCCACCGTAAGGGCTTAGTCCACCTCCGAAGAATGAGCGGCTAACGCCACCATCAGGTACACCCCATGACCCATATCCTGGACCGCCGTATCCACCAACATCGGGAAGTCCAAATTGACTTACTCCCCCAATTCCGCCAATTCCCCCAATTCCTCCATATTGCGGGAATGGACTGCTTTCGTATCCTCCAAGTCCCAAGTGATTCTGAGCCCCCCACGGACTGATTCCTCCGTTTCCATATCCTCCCAAAAATCCGCCACTCTCGCCCAAGATCGGGCTAATTCCTCCTCCGTACGGGCTAAATCCACCGTCGGACAAACCACCACCCCACTGACTGATTCCTCCAAGTCCGCCTCCAAATCCGCTAAGTGCGCCACTATCGGGCGATCCCCACGAACTTATACCTCCAGCGCCCCCATAAAGCGAAGAGGGTAGGAAAGACGAAGCGGTTCGTGGGAGGAAGGTGCATGCGAGTGTAATGAGGGCAATCTAAAAAAAAAGGTTACTGTCATGTCTTGAGATGCGATTAAAGGAGTTGTACTTACGAACGGCTTCATCTTCACGTACCTAACTGCCTTATGGTACTTTTCACCATGATTATATACCTGAGCGTTACCAACAACGCGCTTGTAATATCCCACGTCCCTGAAAGTCAATTAATTGTTTATCTCCGATGTATAAACAAATTAACCACGATAATAAAATGGAATGGAAAATGCATTATTATTTTCGATTTCGCTTACAATTTAAATTGTCATTGTAAAATTGGACATTTTGCAACGTTAATTGGGTTGTTGAGTGAAGCGTAACAATAATGATAACATTTATTAGGCGTATAATTACTAATCTTGTGTATGTTAAGAGAATTGATTCCTTCATCATTTCCATGTCACAAAGCTAATGAATTACGTCGTGGACGTTTTTCAAGCGTGTAAAATTCAGAATTCAACACCATTTCCCCCACCCATCATCTACGTTTATCGTATCTTTGAAAGCTTCTCCAGACTGAAGATTTATCTAATGGGTTGTTTTCGCAAAGAAACAGTCACAATCAAACGAGCGTGGTAATCAAATTTTCTGATGTAATTCCGTTTCATGAGATGTTTACATTGTAATGAAATTGATAGTAATTTTTACGGTACGCGGCGGAACTCAATGAATATGTGATTTATTCATTATTTGAGTCCATAAGTCGAAAAACATTAAGACGAACTACATTTTTAGAAAGAGAAAGTGTGTCCATGAATTCATCTCATAATTTCGACTTCACTTCTAGGCTGATCCAAAGCTGTGATCCCATTTCGAGAAAAAACATCCCATCTTTTCAAACAAACTAGTACAGAACATTCCCTAGTCAGCATACCATTATAATGATGAGAGTACCATTGTCTTTTAGGTGGATTTTCTCAAATATTCACTTGGTATGTGTTTACTAAGTAAAGGGTTTGCAATCAAAGCAAACAATTATCTTGTCAATGAGATTCTGATTTGTCTTTCCCAAATCAGAATCTCATTTACTACATCCCAAATACCAGAACATGGATCAACCGCTTAATCATCTTGTCCTTATGAGTTTATCATGTCAAGGACCAATACCGCATGTTTTTCATTTGAACAAAAAAAAACGTAATTGGGTTCTTACAACATGAAACAAATTACGTTTAATTTTCACGTCTTTTTTGATAAACGCAAAGGTGTTTATTTTTTATTAAATTAATTCTATAAATTCCTTCACAGTTTAATTTGATTCGAATTGAGAATAATTTTATACGTCCCCCATGTATAAAGTTTACGAAGTATTTATTTACTAACATATAAAATGTGTGAAAATTTTGCAATGAATACGATTACCGTTGTTCGTGTAGAAATCAAAAACAACCAGGAAATCTATTTTTGGTTCATTTACTCATCCCTTTTCTTTTGTGAGGAAGAACTATCTTATGTGACTAATAATGCATTGGAAGAAAATCGCCTTGTCAATCTTAATGCAAAACGTCCGATTTTGACACGATTGTAACGATTGTTATAAAGGTGGGGGAGGGGGGCAATCTAGCCATGAAAGATGTTTAATTTACAGTGCGATTTTTGTGAGAAAATCTAATTATTTGATCTTAATAACGTAAATTGGAGGTAAAAGCGCAATATGGAATAAATTGCAATTTGTCAATTAGTAAAGCATTAATCAATAATTAAAATTTTAATTATTTTGCTCAAGATGTGATCGGATGATGTGACGGTCGTCGCTACTTTACAGCTTACATTATTGCATTCAATTTCGTTTTCATTTCGTCAATTGCCTACATACCCCCTATATAATTTTGAGTAGGTACGTATAGATGATGTAGCAATTATCTCTGAATCAACATTCGACAGAAATAAAGCATGCGATCAGTAGGAACGCTAATTTGAAAGGATTAAATTTCTCCCCGGAGAAAACAGCGTGTGTTCACTTCTGCCCATTGGGAAAAGAAACGAAACCTGCAGTATCAGGACAAGGTTAAGTTTTTGGGAGTGGTGTGGAACTCGAAGATTAATTGGAAGGCCCACGTTCAGGAAATCTGCAAAAAGTCTCTAGGTAATAAGAATCATAGCACATCATCATAGGGTGCGGATTTTGAAAGCAGACGAAGAATAAGTGCTGCAACACTAATGGCCAAGGTAAAAAATGGAAGTCAAAATATATGGTTCGACGCGACGAACAACTCTTATGCAGGGCCGTAGCCGGCCCCGGGCACTGCCTGGGACATTTTCTGCTCTTCCTGGCGATTTTATGAAAAATATCCATTTCGTTTCGACCTAAGCCATAGATATGTCTCGTCCAGACGATGACGAATCATTTTGTTTCTGTGAGCACCTTCTTCTGATACTCCGCTTTTGAGATATGAGGAATGGGCAGGTCTCATACTTTCTGTTTTATACTTATAATTCGGAAGGCTCATTAACACGAGGCGCAAATAAAACAAGTAAAAAGGTTTTCGCCCTAAGGCGAGTAATTTCAGCGCATTTCCCATGAATGATCAGTGTACTTCCCAAAAAGCCATAGCTATGTGCTCTGTGATTTTCTTTACTAGAGGTATATATGGTTAAAACTAAAAGAAATATCTCCATAAATAAAAAAGTTTCCGCTTCGAATCACTTCAATTTCACTTCAAGCCGTTTTCAAGTCGCTTTAAACCGCTGCAAGGCGTTTCCTGGTCCTTTAAAGCTGCTTCAAACCGTTTTAAATCGCTTTAGTTTGCAAAGATAATTCCATTCGTTTCAAGAGCCGTTCACAAGTCACTTCAAAACGCGTCAAACCGTTTCCAGGTCGCTTAAAGCCGTTTCCAAATTGTTTCAAGTCACTTTACCACATTTCGAGACGTTTCAATTACTTCAAGCAGTTTCCCAATCGCTCAAGCTGCTTCATAGTGTTTTAAGTCCTCTCACGCTATGGCTAGTCGCTTCAAGTCACCCCAACCTACTTTAATCCGCTTCCAGGTGTTTTCAAGTTGCCTCAAACTGTTTTTCAAGTCGATTCAAGCAGATTCAAGTCATTTCAAAACACTTGAAGCTACTTCAATTCGCTACCAGGTCCTCAAGTCGACGGTTTACGCGTTTCAAGTCACTCCAATCCGTTTCTAACTTGTTCTAAGCGGATTCAAGCAGCTGTTTTAACATGTTTCGGATTGATTCAAGTCACCTCAAGGCGTTTCAAGTCACTGCGAATGCCTTCAAGTTGGTTCAAGATTTTTAAGTTGGTTTATGCTGTTTTAGCCTATTTCAAATTGATTCAAGACGTTTCAAGTCGCTTTCAAGTCCATTCAAGATGTTGAAGTTGGTTTATGCATTTCAAGTCACTCCAACCCGGTTTTTAACTTGTTTTAAGCAAGATGTTTTAAGCAGATACCACTTGTCTTAAGCCGATTCAAGCGGTTGTATTGAGATATCTTAAGTTGTTTAAGGTCACTTGAAGTCGATTTAAATAAGTTCAAGTTATTTCAAAACTTTTTCAAGTTGATTCTTCGTTATCATGTCACTTCAAGCCGATTCCAAGTCGTTTCCAGCTGCTTTAATTCAAAGCGTCTCAAGCTACGTCTACAGGTAGCTCTTCAAAATCGTTTCAAGGGACTTCATATCCCGCCAGTCGATTGTAACTAGTTTTAAACCGATTCAAGTGGCTGTGTTGGAATATTTCAAGTTGTTTAACGCCGCTTGAATCTCTTTCCAAGTCGATTTAAATAAGTTCAATTTATTTCAAAGTTTTTCAAGTTGACTCAATTCGTGATCATGTCACTTCAAGCCGTTTCCAACTCGTTCCAAGCTACTTTACCATTTTTCAGTGTCTCAATCCGATTCTAACTTATTTTCAGCCGATTCAAACGGTTGATTGAGTCGCTTGAATCTCTTTCCAAGTCGATTTAAATAAGTTCAATTTATTTCAAAGTTGTTCAAGTTGATTCAATTCGTGATCATGTCACTTCAAGCCGTTTCCAACTCGTTCCAAGCTACTTTACCATTTTTCACAGTGTCTCAATCCGATTCTAACTTATTTTCAGCCGATTCAAACGGTTGATCGAGTCGCTTGAATCACTCTCCAAGTCGATTTAAATAAGTTCAAGTTACTTCAGCAGTCTGCGCATGCGCACATCTGATTTTTACTATATGCGATGTGTTTGCCTTCACCAGAAATATCTGTGGTAAAAATTTCAACAAAATATATTAATAAATAAGGAAGTTGATATTGCGCAGTTTAATTGTCAAGATTTTTATTGGCTCAGGTGCTAGAGCTATACGCTACCGAATGCAGTCCGATGTTTCCCGGGAAATTTAGTGCGAAAGCACACTGATGAGTATGTTACAAATTGTGTAATAATAATAATAATAACAACCTCAAGAACAAAGAATCACCATAAATATAAGTAACGCAACATGCACTACAAAGACAGGTCCACCCAATAAAGTTACACGTCCTAGCACAGTTAAAAAACACAAAACACCTTCTTTACATAAACACGCCACCTTATCACAACCCACTCGTATTCAACCCAAACGCAAAGCCAAAGAAACACTTGCACAATAAACTCTATTTAATAAAATTACAGGAATTATTATAATGATATTTTTGTTTTGTTTCCTTCTTTCCTGATAGCGTTGACTATTGTGGCCATTAATAGCTATGTTGGTAAGTATGAATTACATACTATCCCTAGATTTCCAATGTGAGTGTGTGAATATTTATTTTATTTTTATTTTTTATTTTTTTTTAGAACCCTACATAACTTCACCAGACACAGACACAGACACTAATCGTTACTTGATTTTAATCCGTGCGATTAGTTAATCAGGCTAGACCTGAGTTCTCACAAGAAACACCGACCATGATAATAATAATAATAAAAAGAACGAACTTAATGTCTTGAAAACTGTGGCTTTGGATAGACGGACAGACGGACGGGCAGAAAAAATTGCTGCAATAGCGCACCCAACTTCGTTGGAAAATGCGCTAAAAATCGAAAAAAATTAATTGTGTGGGTAATGGGCGAAATCATTGAATAAGTAATTACAAATCATTTCGTGGTTTGAACGAGTCTAGAAAATGATACCTCGAGTCGTGACGTCAGCTGCCCGCTAAACTCAGGCAAGTTCTCGATTTTTATTTTTGACTTCTTTAAAAATGCATCGATTTTGATTAAATTTTTATGAGACGTTTTTAAAGAAAATACGCATCGATTCGGAGAAAATGACTTCTGGGGAGTTCTCCTAAGCGTCCGCGGGCCGGGGAACGTGGCCGTCATCAAGGTGCCCGCGCCAGTTTAAAAAATTCGCACCCGCCGAGACGGTTCGATGTAGGATGTCGAGGCTCCCTGGGGTGGGTAGGGATAGTTGGCGCCACGCGCCACTTTTTACCAGGTTGAAGACATTCATCTGGCGACCTCAGAAAAAATCGAAATATTTCACCACACACCTGATCAAAACGACGAGGACTGCCATGTTGGGGCTGTGGTAAAAACGGGCACATTAGAAGAAATTGCCCTGACACTACAACGACCAATAACCAGGAAACTGGAACAAGTCGATGAGAAGGGGCGGGCATCGACCTACCTGAGTTATGCCCCGGAGATAAACAACCAAATAGTTTGTACATAGATCATCGTAAGACCTGACCTAGTCCGAACGAAAAAGCTACAATCGTCAAGACTGAAGCTAAAGACAGCAACTGGTTCGTGTCCTGGGGGAGCTGACGGTTGATATTGGTATTGGATTCAAGAAAGGTGCGCATCAAGTGCTGGTAGCACAGATCGTAGATGATGTGATTTTGGGAATGGATTTGATGAGAAAGTTCCGTTTACGATCGACCTGAACAATGAAGCACTTCGAGTGGACTATGCAGAAGTTCTTATTCACAGAGAAGAAAACGGGCTGCTACGTATCCGGGTAAACTGTTTGGGAATGATGGAACCCAATTATACCAATTAGGGGAATTTAATGACAGAACCAAAACATCCGGCGGTAATTTATAATACAAAATATGTAGACGGTGACGGCGGCGACCGTCGGCGGAACGGCAAAGCTTCGGGAGCCACCAAAACGTTTTTGGAAACCCTGCTTCAGGTCTGGATACGGAACGGTGGTGTCGGGTCCAGGTAACTCGAACGGAGAACGGCATTCCCAGGAATCGGACGTGTTCGATGGCGGCGGTCACTGCGGAAAAACTAAAACAAAATTACGGCAAACTCTCTAATGAAAGCAACAAAACGCAAACCGGCGGAGAAGCAAATGCGGGAACGCGCACAAAGAAATGCAACTGGCAAAAGTGCAAAAAGGCAAAAAATTTAAATACGGTTAAAACACCCAAAAAGCAAAAGCTGATGATTTAAATAAGGTACAGTTCCAAAAATAAATTTTACCCAAAAGCTCAAAAATGATGATACTTTTTAATTATACCTATCCAATTAGTCGAAATTAAATCTTCAGAGTTCCAGAATCGGTTAATTAACACCGATTGTTAAATGGAATTCACAAGATCAACCGAGTCGGCGCTATCTGGATGATAACGGCTAAACTTACACGACCTTGCAGTTCCAATGCTCGATGGTGGACGTACCATCAGGGAGCCCGTATAACACATCCATCACCTTGGTTATCCTGCGGATTTCAGCCCCCCCCCCCTCCATCCCGTCAAAAACTGCATGCAATCCACCCATAGTGCACCTCGGCTGAGGCTCAGTGATGTCCACCTCCGGGTGCGAGACAGATAACCCTGAGCTCCCCGCAGCGACTTACCCTTACCCATAGCCATATGTTCGTGGTGCATCCGCAACTTTAGGTGCTCCAGCACCTCTAGGCTGAAGTGCTTTCCTCCAATCTGAGACGCTTGATCTCTGACGTCGGATTGCCCACCTGAGCCGACGACCCAGACACTGCCTTAGGCCTTGGCGCACGGCCTGCTTGACCCAAGGTTTTACCCTCGAGCCGGTACGGCGCTTCCGGACCATCGCCAATCCTCTTCTTCCTGCAAATAGGAGGTAGCTCACCGCCTCGTACTTAAGGCCCTGCGTCCCCTCTTTCGAGGAGTCTGCCCCGTTACCGGACCCCTTTTGAGAGACCGAACTAATTAAAAACGAGTCATTGTTTATATGGAATAAATGTTATATTACGCGCACTCGCGGAAATCTTGAAGAATGGTCAAGGGCAGACTTCTGATGAACCCGAAGCAGGGTTGCCACTCATTCCATAATTTTAAATTGAACGCTGGGTCGAGTGACACGTGATTGCACTCATCATTTCAATGGTTTACGTCCTTTTACGAGTTATTTACAAAAGACTAAAAAAAGCGTTCTCTCCCGGTAGCTCCGCCCCCAACGGCATCACTACTTTTAGTCAGGGATGTGGACTTATTGAAAATAACGGTTCCGGTTCTGACACTATTATCGAAAAAAATTTTTATAACGGTTCCGGTCCGGGTTCCGGTTCTAAATTAATTGCGGTTCCGGTTTCGATTTTAATTTTAGAAGACTCGCGTGTCTATGCGTTTAAGTTGGTGGCTAGTTAGTTGCCTTCAGTCTCGTTAAGCAAATTCGTGTTTTTGTCGAAGTGAATTCATCAGTACGTGCTGGGAATAGCAGTTTTCTCATTGAAATAATCGCCTGCGTTAAAACGGGTGGGCGTTCAAGTCATCGGTGGCGTATCTTTAGGTTCAGTCAATGTTTCTACAACCTGTCTGAGAAGGAGATTAAGAAACCCAAAGTTTTGTGCGTCTGTCCGTTCGAAATGAGTGTTTTTTTTGTGTGCCCGGATTTTATTCGGATTTGTAACTCGAAAACTAAATAATATTAAGGTTTCTTGATGTTCGTTTAATTTGTAATCGAACTCATATGTGGGGTTGGTTTATTCGGACGCTGTGATCCAAGTTTGTCGTCGTGTGTTTTTAGTGTTTATTCGATCCCTTTAACGATTCAGAGAGATGTCTCATGCTCAATTATGTTTAATTTTGATGATCCGCACCCAAAGTTCATTTCAAGTGTTTTCAAAATTTGGTAAAAGACTTTTTTGGAGTTTAAGAAGTTTGATATTGACCATTGTTTGCTTGGAATCAGGAAGGTTTGAGGTGTTTTGTTTGTGTATGGTTTTTTTTGGTCGGGCATTGCAGTTATTTTTGTATTGGCCGTTCAAGGATCACAGCAATATGCACTGCAATTGAAAATCTAAAAACGTGTATTACATAAATAAGTTTTTCTCCAACCACCTGAATAAGACGCTATTTTGTGACAGTGTTCGGTACGTAAAGTTGGCGTTTTCAGGATTAATCGCTATCACTATGGCAACTGTACAAAAAGTGGATACTTTTGGTCCTAGTACCAAAAAGAAATTGACCTTGAAAGTTGGCCAATTAAAAAATTACAATCACGGAGATATGTCACATTGACATCGTTTTACACTGCAAGTTGTAAGATATTTCTATACATACATATCAAATATTTTTGCATATTCAATGCAAATAATGATGTTACCTCTACGTATGTACATGTATTGAAAATGATTTACGCTCGCTATTTTTATTTAAACCATGTGTAACGTAATTTACATATTCCGTGAACGTAATTTTAATACGTATACAACATACAACCCGCCGTCGCGCGTAACGCCATCTACTTCAGACCCATTGCACTATTATCTGTCATTTTGAATTCAAAATTTGAAAAAGTTAATTGCAATTAATTTTAATTAAAAAACTGTATGGTAAGTTTTTTTTATTTCAATACAAAATATAACAATGTTAATTTTGTATGCCTACAATAGAAATGACTGAAACTGATAGCGACATGGATTGCACTCCGCCAGAGATTATAGAAACGGCAGAACATGCTACTTTAGATTTGCTCCCTACAAAGTCGCGAGAGGTGAGAAGTAAGAACAAATAGGTTATAAGTTAACCTAAAAACTAGAGTGGCATGACACGTGAGGACAAGAAAGCAGAAGTTCTGAAACTAGTAGTGAAATTGTGAACTGAATCTAAACTCGAATATAATTTAAAGTAAAGAGGGTTGGAGAAAAAATTTTATGTTTTATTCGTACAAAAAATGCGTTTTCGGGACTCGGAAGGTTGCTGGACTCCGCTGACGCGTCGTCCAGCAACTATCTTCCTCGTCCCGAAAACTGACATTTTTTGTACTAATGAAACAAATAACTATTTCGCGATATTTTTTGATCCGGTCGGGGTCCCTACTGATTTTAGTATGTTTTTTTACACGAATTATTTCCCCTATTTTTCATTCGTTGAGTGGACTAAAGAAAAACAAAAATCGAATATTGTACTTCAAAAATGACTGACGAATCGTGATGTGTTTTTGTTTTTAAAAAATTGAAATTCTACACTTAAACAAATTTCTTTTCTTTAAGTTTCCACTTTAACAACAAGCACAGCGTACCTAAAACAAAGTGTCATTTCGGGCAATATTCAATTATTTAAAGAATGATTCAATAATATAATGCACACTTGGCGTATAATCATTGAATTTATTATAAATTCTTTATTATAAATTCGATGGTATAATTTACTAATTCCCATAGTAGATATTTAACTGTAAAGTAGACACGGCGCACTGTTTTTGACCTCTCCCGCCCTTGCCTTCTAACCGTTACTTTAACCACTGCAGTTTTAACCCTCGCTAATCTTTTATCAGCTGTATTTTTGTTATTAACTATTAAGATGAGCAATTTAAACATAGAATATTGTTGCACATGCTTAAAAGTGTGTTCCGAGCAAGACAAGTTCTTAAGTTTAGGTTTCTTTTCATCACAGCAGGTTACGTACAGGAAAAAGTTAAAATTTTGTGTACCAGAAATGGTAAACGTCCCGAAAGATATCTCGCTAGCTATTATTAAAATGTTTACTTTTAGGGGCCCGAAATCGACGTCGACTCGTACATGTGTAAACCCTGCTCGATTGCGCTCGAACAGGCGTATACTTTTCGATGTATGTGCATACGTACGGAGGGTATGCTGAATTCGTTTCGAGTTAAAGGCAATTTGAAGGACGGGAACGGTATTAAAAAGGATCTCATACAGCTTTTGCTGACGCAGAACAATACAGATTTGTTGCCCAAATTAAATAGGTCGTTGAGTAATTCGCATTCTGTGGTTAACATAGGTAAGGGTGCTATGGATTTCGTTGTGTATGAGGTTAGCAACCAAACTAGGAAATATTGTTGAATGAAAGTGATATGTAGTTTCTTGTAAGTATATTCTCACACTTTTGTGTAGTTCATAAATGGTCATCAATGTCATTGGGAGCAGGGTCACCATCTAGAAAATACTATTTCTAGTAAACCGTGGGATTAGTAATTTTTTCTCCTGCTTCTTAACTTCCGGGTAACTATCCATCAGTGCCTTTAGCACTGCCTCACTGTCAGTATAAGTATATGTTCCTGTTACAGAAACCTCGTTTCTTGCTTTCTGTTGCACATCTAGTAATCTCATACAGTTTGACCGGAAAGATCTTGCAATGCCTTTTTATGTTCGCTGGTTCCCAATTTGGGTCTGGTATGTTGAATGAGATTTTCGTTAGGTCTGATTTCAATACCAGGATTAGAACTATATCACAGATTTGTCCATTCACCATCCATAGGGTCGTGTATGAGTGTGACGTCTATGTCGTCAGCAAGCAGTTTTTTTACTATATTCATTTTAAGAAGGTACCGGTAGAAAGCATTGTGATTTGATTGGTTAAACCATGAGTCTGTATTACACCGACAAATAAAATGTGTGACCAATTTTGTATATTAGTAGTTTCGGTTACGAACTAAACTGTCAAACTGGCATTAGCTGTCAATTTTAATGATCCAAACGTGAAATCTTTTCATTTATATTCATATTGTTCAATTTTGATGCCTTTTTATATTTATCCTGTGTATGTGTCTATCGTTAAACACAGCGCCATCTACTACCTTCTTATAATGAATGCAGTATAGATCCTTTTTTTGTTACAATTTATAAAATTGAAGAAACCATAGCTTTGTCCAAGGTCTCAATGCTAAGATCTAAACCCTTGAGACGGTCAAAAGGGCTAAGGACCGGGTATTTATGAATTTTAATTAATGAATTAATTTCCATTAATTTGTTGCCGTATTTAACGCACATGTGACATGAATTACTGATTTATTTACATTTAATTATTAATGAATTTATAACAGATTTGTACACAAATTTATAACATCAAATTTTATTACATCAATCCTAGCCTAAACTTAATTTATGTTGCATTATAATTGTTTCAAATTTGATCAATTATTTTGCAGAATCTCTAGGAGAAAGTATCTAAATAGTTTGTCGTATACAGGGTGTTAGATTTTCTTTGCCACCCTGTATAAGGGAAACAATGTCCGTTAGGCGTTAGACCACCCATATATTTGCATTTTTTTCATATTTTAACGAGTACTATCGGCCCCTGAAATATCTGCATGACATTAATTAACACCCTGTATAGGCGGCAGCACCTTTTTCCCTTCGATATAGGACTATCGCATTCCTTCTTACCTATTTTTTTTTCTTATCGTTGTCATTATCTTTATTCGAATGTTCAAGAGTGTATGCCTGAAGGGGAGGTCATGCTGTCCTCGACAATAGTACACTCTGTCTAACTAAGATCATGACAACCATATCTATATCAAGGGGAAAAAAGAGATGAGCCTACATAGGTGGCACCGAGAGTGGTACCTAAATATGATGTACAGGGTGGCCAACTAAGAATGCGAGGTACTGTATCTGGGAATCTATCCATCGTAGAGGCTTGCGGTAAAAAAATTTAATACTAAAACGGCCACGAGCAAAACCTGGAAAATATTTTTAAGTTTCTGAAATGACCGCTAGGGGGCGTACCTGCAATCTGGAATCTAAAAAAGTGATTTTTCTGTGAATTCCGCTATATTAACCTAACAAAAAAATGTCCGGTCTTTGAAGTTGACGATAATCTGACCAATTTTTGTTTGGCAATTTTTCCTGTATCTCTAAAAATGAAGTGGTGGGGGATATTCAAAGGTTTCCGTAAAGAACACCCTGTATCTTTGAAACGGCTCAGCCGATTTAAATAAACTCGGGTTAGTTCAAAAGAGCTATTTTTCAGCTACAAATATTACACTATTTGAAGTTTTGTTAGTTTCACATATCACCGCTTGAGGGCTTTTTTCGACATTCCGGCAGAAATGGTTAATTTTCTCAAAAAAATTAAATGCATTGGTACGATTTTTTTTTCATGAAAAAGTAGCTAAAAGATACCTAAACAAACTCGCGAAAACAGCATCTCGATATCTTGAGATATATATATATATTTTTTTTTATATGATGGCCAGCATTTCGAGCATTTACGGCGGCATTAAAAGCTTCCTTTTTTAAATCGATCCACCTTAGGGCCACAAATTATATAATAAAAATAATTCCGGAAAAATTATCTTAACAAAATAAATTTTTTTTCTTTGGCCTAAATTTTAGGTTAGGAACAAGATATCGAGATGCGGTTTTCGCGAGCTTGTTTAGGCATCATTTAGCTACTTTTTCATTTAAAAAAATCGAACCAACGCATTTAATTTTTTTGAGAAAATTAACCACTACTGTCGGAATCTCGAAAAAAGCCCTCAAGCGGCAATATGTGAAACTAACAAAACTTCAAATAGCATAATATTTGTAGCCGAAGAATAACTATTGTCGGAATTCGAAAAAAGCCCTCAAGCGGCGATGTGTTTGTTAAAATTCGGCTCAGTCGTTTCGAAGATACAGGGTGTTCTTTACGGAAACCTTTGAATACCCCCCACCACTTCATTTTTAGAGATACAGGAAAAATTGTCAAACAAAAAAGGTTCAGATTATCGTCGTCTTCAAAGACCGGACATTTTTTTGTTAGGTTAATATAGCGGAATGCACAGAAAAATCACTTTTTAGATTCCAGATTGCAGTTACGCCCCCTAGCGGCCATTTCAGAAACTTAAAAATATTTTCGTGGCGGTTTTAGTAATAAATTTTTTTACCGCAAGACAGGTTCCCAGATACAGTACTTCGCATTCTTATTTGGCCACCCTGTACATACGGAAGGAACTAATTCTTTGTTAATGACTAAAAGTTCACATAAACATAGGTCCGCAAACAGTTCGTTGCCGATTTACAGGGTATTCTTTTCAAAGCCGACTGTCAAAACTTATAAAAACAAGAGAGTATCCTATGCGGACCTGTGTGTACTCTTTTGGTTGAGACTGCAGTGTATCTCAGCAGTTTTTAAAGATAGAGACATGCGTTTCGCGTGACCCTCTGCCGCTTTTTTGTGAAACTTTTAATATCACAAACAAAATAAATCTAGCTACGTTTGTTTCTGAGATACAGGGTGAAAACGAAAAGTTTGACTTTTTGGGATGTTATCATATCTTACTACACATGTAAGATAGAACAAAAGTAAAAACTGTCTACTTTAGAATCCAGTGGCGTAGTTAAAAAAAATTTAGACTAACGTTTCTGAGATTTGACAGAAAGTTTGTATTTTTTAATGCAACACCCTGTATATCTTAACGTCAATTTTTTACATTCTTTTTCCTGGTTACATTGATGTATCACAACCTCTTTTTTTTTAATTTTAGCCGTGAATCAAAATGAAAACCTTATTTTTTTACTGTGTTTAAATAGTAGACCATGGATTCATCGAGATTTGGTTTTGTTTATTCTATTCATGGTAACAGACGAATCAATAAAAATCGACGGTAGAAGCATGTTATTTTAAAATTTTGAAAAATGTGAAATAATATAATATAGATTCATACGAGGATTCATATGAAAAAAGTATAGGTTGAAATACAATTGATATACAATTTGAAATATAAGTTACACTGAAGGGCTTACATCATCAGTCATGGCAATGGTATCTAAAGGGTGTTATTTTTCAGGGGTCATGTTCCATTTTCTACCCCTGAAATTTTTTTCGGTGCGCCACTGGTAGATTGTAAAATGTGAATTTGATTTTCTGGTTTGGTTGGAAACTTTTTGATCTCTCGTAATTTTGTCGTATCTGCGACCGTTATCGAGAAAAAAAAATAAAAATCAATTTTCTGTCCAGTAGGCCCTGACTTTATTTGTAATTGTTAGCATATGTTTATAAACGTTTAATTTGTCAAGTGTACGGTAACACCCTGTAGATGGGTAACGAAGCATTTACGGACCTATGTTCATATGAACTTTTAGTCATAAAATAAGCCAAAGAATTAGCCCCTTCTGTATTTTCATCATGTTTAGGAACACCCTGTATGCCCTCCAGAACTTTTTTGAAATTTAGTTTTCTACAGTTTCTCTGTGTTTGAAAACCACGAAATTGATTGACAATTAAGGAAGCAGTTCATACACCTCTACCTATTTTACACCGTGCATACAACTATTATAACGATTACCGCCTTCCCTTTAGCAATTTCATAGTCTGGCCGCTAACTTCAAGTACTGAATTTCAAACTTTATATCGCTGTGAACATTTTCAGATGAGCATAATAGTGTCGAAATTATACGCGAGCTTGGAAGTTTGTTGTCGGAAAGTCTCTCCAACACTAAGAATGAAATAGAAATATCACGCCTCTCCCGCCCTAAGAACGAAATAGATTTGTCACGGCTCTCCAACAGTAAGAAAGAAATAGAATTATTAAGCCTCTCTGAGACTAAGAAGAAAATAGAAAGTCCAAATCTGTCAGACATTGAGCAGAATATAGAATCGACAAGCCTCCCCAGCACTAGGTCAAGAACAGAAACGTCGAGCGTTTCCGACACTAAGAAGAAAATAGAAACGCCAAGCGTCTCCGACACTAAGAAGCAAATAGGAACGTCAAGCCTTTCCGGCACTAGGGGAAGAAGAGAAACATCAAGCCTTCCTGACGTTAAGAGGAGATTAGAAACGTCAAGTCCTTACAACACGAGACGAAACATAGAAAGCCCCTCCGTCATCACCAAGAGGGAAACGGAAACGTCGAAAATTAAGGTGAAAAAGAGACCCGCCTCCCCTCCGCTTCCTCAGGCGAAACGGCGATGTTTAACGGATGACGAAATAATAACGCTGTCGTGCAAGACGGATCCCGAATTGCGGAACGTGTCCCCTCAAGAATTGAAGTGTCAGGTGACGCTAGAAAAGTTAACCATTACCGAATTACCGGTGATCATACCCAGCAGGCCTTCGAACACCCGGGCGAGCAAACAGCAAAAGGAATTCCCTTGTAATAAATGCGGCAAAGTGCTTAAGAAGAAGGAGTATTACTATTCGCACATACTCAAACATTCGAATATACGGGCTTTCAGGTGTAAGGTACGTAATGTCTGTCTCGCTTTAATCAATTGATCTTCATTACATTGAAGTATGTAAGAAAGGAGCAATAGTGCTTGGTCTGCAATTGATTGGATTTGTCATTCTTTCAGCAAAAACACATTATAAAGTAGTCGTCTTGATTTGCAGAGGAGAGGGGGTGTATTACTCGCACGCGCTTAGGTTTTATATTCTGACCCATTGTACTGTCTCCATGTAACTAGAATCATCTGCCCCTTACCTCACTCAAGCTTCCCCACACGCGAGGCTTTTGGGCAAGCGCCGTCTATATCTACAGATACTTTCTGAATGAACTGTTTAGGGTTCAGTGACCTTCCGGGTAAGTATTTCTGACATAGACTTTCAAGAGTCTTAACAGAAAATACCGTAGGTAGCCATACAGACAGTACTGCATTGTAGGTATATGATACCCATTATTTCAACGACTTCTATTAAAACCGATTACTAAAAAAATGTTTCTGCAGTTATTTGTAACAGGTTGTCTGCGAGAAGCGACTGCAATCTTGACATACTCAATACTCACGAGCACAGCCACCGTTACGACGGACGTTTTGCGGCTCTTTGGAATCTGCGTCGGGTGTTAAAACTGACGGTTTTTTTTTATACACAAATGGAAAAGGAAAATTAATATAAACTCATAATTTTGTGCGTAAGAAAAGACGAGAACATATAAAATATATTACGCCACGATCAGGCGATGTCAGGGAAACCTTCTTCGGGACAAAAACCCTGGGATAGTCCACACTAATACACGAACTAAATTAACAAAAGCACAAGAAACTCCACAAAACACTTGAAGTTGCGTTACATTAAATATATCACGAATTTCAAGATTCCAAAAGCATCAACCTGCATCTTTTCAGGTGGTTGTTGAACGTCGCAAGGGCGACAAACTCACCGATCTTCTTGTTTTCGTCCTGTTAAAAATCGAACCACAGCCTTTTTACGGAAGACGCGTTCCTTTTGGATCTCTATGAATTTTAAAAACAGGCATTTTTTTAGGTTTAATAATAATAATAATAAAGTTTATTATCCCAACAGTGATAACACCAATTATAGGGCAATATTAAGTGACAGATGGCTAAAGACAGTAAAGAGCACGTCCTTAGTTGTTAAAGTGGTTAATTACATTCTTCTTTACATTCTTATGTATATGAATAAACCGGAAAACATTAATGTGTCGGTTATAATGCTGTTTAATCTACGTAAGGGAATGCCGGCGAGTTGTTGTACCGCGTGTACTAGTTCTGCAAAAATCTATTGAGAATGTCTTATAGGCCAGGCCTATGAGGTCCCTTTCCCTTTATGTAGAAATTATTCCCTAAAAGGAGAAACTTTGCATATGTGTAGTACTACTAGCCAGTAACAACAGATCAAAAGTGAACATTCGTGCATGCTTTGCTACGGTCGCCATCTGGAAAATGGCGGCAGATTTTAACTTTTTTAACCATATTTCATTACCCGTTGGTAATACGAAATTTTTAATAACAAAAGGTGAAGAACATAAAAAATACATCTTTTCATTTTTGTAAAGGTTAATGAGAAATCGAAAAACGACGACTGTCTACAATGTTTACCGCATTTCCGTCCGTCTGTCTGTTTTCAATGCAACGTTTCGTTTCGGAGAAATCATGATCAACTTTTTTTTATATGACCCGTAAAAAAAGTACATACTGTATTGAGTAGCATTTTCATTACGAATACAATGATGTACCACACACAAAACAAAAGTTGCAAACTGTTGGTTTCAACATGATGGTGCATCCGCGCACAACGCCCTAATCGTACGATAATAACAATCAGACAGATTTCTTCGGAAAGTGAAAACTCTGACGTACTTTTTCGTAATTGTAATTTTTTTCGGTTCGCGGACGACGAACTCGAAATTTCCCCTTTACTCGTGCGCCACCATGGCATTACGATCTTGCCCCTGGTCAAGAATGCGGAACGCTTACAGGACGGCTAATTTAATTAGCTACTGTTAATTACATTAATTGGCAGGATTGAAATTTGGTAGTGCAGTGATATACAGAGTGGCCCAACGAGAAGTATACAGAGGGCTTTTAGGGTATTAAATTTTGAAATTTCGAAAAATCCTCGAACATGTCATATTTGTAGGGGGACAACTTTTGGAATACAAATCACGAACCCAAGTCTTCACCCCTCTATGTAGGGAGCTTAACCCCTAAAATTTTAAATGGAATCCTATGGCAAATGGCACATTATTTGAAAGCCAATTTAATCGTGATTACTAATCTGCTTTGCTTTTTAAATTCTATTGATTCGTTTCGTGAAGACTTGGGTTCGTGATTTGTATTCCAAAAGTTGTCCCCCTCGAATACAAAATTGACGTGTTCGAGGATATTTCGAAATTTCTAAATTTAATACCCTAAAAGCCCTCTGTATACTTCTCGTTGGGCCACTCTGTATATTGTTACTTGGAATTGGAAAGTGCAGTTTTGTTCCCCTCACGTCTCCCGTCGTCCCGCGAGCAAATTTCGACCTTGCACTTCGGGAGCGGCATCAAGTTGCGAATTTTTATGACGAAATGCCCGGGGGGGGGGGGCGAACAATTGCGCTTTAGCATATTCTCATCTACTATACGCGACTATCGTGCAGATTTCAAAAGCAATCGGTCCCCAGGTGGAAAAGTTTACTTATTCACTTATTTATTATTATTATTACGTCTTCTAGTATAAGAACTGTCGCAGGTAGCCGCCCATTCTAAAACATGTCTTTTTCTTCGCATGGGCTAGATAGAGATGAAAATATAATAGCATAATTTGTGTACAAATCGCCGGCGACCAGTTTTGCAGTGGGCGGCTACCCAGCGATGATTGACGTGACTGTTTTTATACTGGAAGAGCAGTCGACACTTTTATTTCCAAAATTTCACTTTTGTGGCTGCTAGAGCTAGAGATCATGTTCATTGGAGTTGCACCTCCCGCTTATTGCTCCTTTTCAGCAGAAACGCATTTTTGCACGATAATAAGTAACATTGGTATGCCCCTGCAGCTATGTCCCTCGGCTTACTTTTCGGCCGATGCTTTGCGTACGCACAAACGGAGGCAACATCCCAATAACGTGCCGCCGACGACGACGGCAAATGAAGTAAAACCGAAAATCGAAAGCGCTCAGAAGACCGTCCCGAAACCGAAACCAGTGACGCCGCGTTCCAACAAAAACGCTCGCGGCAAAACGGACGAAGGTCAAGAGGTGTTTAATTGTCTTTATTGCGCGTTTCAGACATCATCAAAGCCCATATTCACTCAACATGTCACTCTACATACGGTTAGGGGAAAATACCCATGTCCGCATTGTCGGAAGAATTTCATCCCGTTTTGGGGTTTGAGCAAGCATGTACGCGAAATGCACGCTAAGACGAACTCTTCTCCACCAAAAAAACAGATTACGAAAGCGTTACCGATCATTATTAAATCGGAGCCCGTCACCGAACCGGAACCACAGTGCGAGGAGCCTCCAAAACTACCCGCGTGTGTCAAACAAGAATCTAAAAATATCGAAACAAACCACGACGCTAGCGTACCGCCCGTAAAAAAGAGGAAAAAATACTTTTGTCCGCAGTGTAACAGCGAATTTTCCAGTCGCGATCACGCGAACATTCACACCGGCGAAAAACCGTACACTTGCGCCATCTGCTTGAAAAAGTTCGGCGCGTACACAACGCTACGAGTGCATAGGAAAATACACGCGAAGAACAGTAGTGCCAACGACGTCCCTACGCCCCCCGTCGTGCACAAATGCGACATTTGCAAACAAACATTTAACAATTCGTACGACGCAACGTCGCATACCTGCCAGACGTCGACCGGCGAGTCGGTCTACAGGTGTCAGATTTGTAAGAATGCGTATTTAGGTAGGAACGCTTTGGTGGATCATATGCGTATGCATTTGGAGGAAACCGACTAACTGTTTCGATATTGTATTAGTTATCGTAGTTGTAAGTCAGTAGATATTGTGAACGTCATTGTAGTTTTAAATAAGACGATTATTTTCTCTGAGAGATCTGCTTTGCACTGTGACATACCTTACTTCTATTAAGTTGCTTGTTATCTGACTGAAAATGCTCTTGTTAATTAAGATGACCGGTGATATTCGTTTTTAACGTATTGGGGTCTGCAGGTGGACATTTTTTTAAAAATTGACATTGTGACATAGTGTTTAATCAATGTTTGTGATTAAATTTTAAATTTTCTTTTCAAATTTTTTTTGTAAGAACTTGTATTTTTAGTTTTACAGCTCTCTGTATAGGTAGTTTAATTATATTATATTACTGATTTCAGTGTTTAATATGTTTTTTTAATCTATTATAGGAAATCATTATACCTACTTGTATTAAAATTAAAATAATTTTTTGTATTTTCATACCTCATTTTTAATTACTTCTTTATGCATGTGCTAATCCATATACGCTAGACCGTCCACTGTAAAAAACATAGGATTGGACATGCCCGGGGTTTTCAGTTGGGGACGGCCACTTTCTAACTAACGCTTGTGGGCGAGATAAGGGCCTCTCCACAGCATTAAGACCCCTCCGTGATGTAAATCGAAAAAAGTATTTATGATGTGAAAATGTGAAGTAAAGGAACAACAAATATCAAACTGATTGCAAGATAAAGGAGGAGCTAGAAGCGGCTATGGAAACAAGGACGAACTGTGGAGACATTCAGGCGATTGCGACCCTCATTTACAAACGATAATTTGCGCCTTAGAAACTATTACGTTAAATACGAACAATAGTGGAAATTTTAACTCGTAAAGAACTAAAATCGGGTAACCTGAAATACAGTTGAATTACGAAACTTGTTGCGAATACGGACTACAGCATAAATTTAAACGCGTGGTAATAAAACTTCTATTATAGCTAGTAATATTTCGAGGAAATGGACTTAGGTACAACCTCGGGTAGGTACAACAATCCTTCCATGACGTAATTCTCCGAACGTCTGAACTGCACATAATATCTTAAAGACGACATTGACGCTTGCCGCGGATCATCTAATGTTTCAGTGTTTCAACTTCAAGTCACAGAAGCCATTCATTTTACGAGGCATAGGATTTCCTGTTCAATCATTTAATCATATAATAATAAGAACTATAATGTACAATGGCATGCGGTCACTACTTCAAACAAATCACAATTGAAACGGAATTGTAATTATTTTCCTTGTAGACCTTTACCACAAATTCGCGTAAACAAATGTATACACTCTTCAACCGTCGCAAAACCAGCAAACTCGTCTCCAGTATTTAAGGAAACTTGGACAATATTTGCGAGTCAGATTAACAGTGAGACCTCTGGTGGCAGCACATTGTAATTACTATTGGTGGGTTAAGATTCCGATTTTGTTTATTTACAATGGCCAAAAGTAATCAATATTGGAGTTTTTACGGCTTTACTTACTTCAAGAATTTTAAATGCGTGATCAGTGCAATTATACAAGGATGTAATGTCCAATCTGCGCCATTAGACATGTCGCACATAGTAAAACAAGTAAAGTTTAAATCGTCATTTATTAAAGCACAACATATGAAAGAATAGGTAGTGTTTGAATTGTGGTTAGTGCAATTGTGCACGTTAGTCATAGTCCAAATACAGGTCTATGACGTAGTGCAAGTAAGGCTGTTTTAAAGCAAAATCAACAACAATTGAATAAAAAAAAGCAGGTGAATTTATTAAAAAGCTGTAAAAAACAATACAAAGAATAAATATTTCTTTAAAGATCAACATCACTTCTTCTCATTTTCATCATCACTAATACCTAACTCTAGTTCTTCTTCAGGGGTGAGATAATTCTGATTGACTTTGTTATAATCAGTATTGAAATGACACATATTATCACCACGTCCTTCAAAGTGCTTCGAATAATCGTCTTGTTCTAAATCGTCATCGGACTGGTTTGTGAAAATACCATCGCGTATACTTCTTTTCGTGACCTTTTCCTTCTTCTCGTTTCCAGTAGGCATCACCGATAGATCCCCTTCGTAATCGAGAATATTATTTTGCGCCAGACGCCATTCTAACACGTCCGTTGTGAAATCGTCCGTATTCCCCAGAGAAGTAAATCCCACAACTTTGTCGATCATGATACTTTTTTGAATGCATACTAAAGTCGGAATGGTTTTAATTTGCAAGCGTGCGGCGAGAAACGGGCATTTTTCCGCATTCAATGACACGAATTTTGTCTCGACGTGTTTCGGTGCGAGTATCTTCAAGTGTTTGTCTAAAATAGGGGAACGAGTATTCGTCGGGGTGAAAAAGTGTATTACGACGTTGTCGGATTTTTTAATAATATCGAAAAACATTTTCTCCTCATACAACTGCTCGTAGGAACCGTGCCCGCTTTGCAACCAGTGCTGCCGTTTGCCCTGTTGAGCTTTGTATTCCTGGATACGCTGTTTCCGTAACTGCTCCAAATCGTTTATGTCAAGGTTGTCAATTTGATCAATAGCAGCATCGACCTCTTTTTCCAATCTTTTGGAGACCTCCAGCACCTTCTGCTCGATTATTTGGTTTTTATCCATAGTTTACGTGCTTAAACACTGCAGCAAGTGGTAGTGAGTGACGAGAAATATTTAAATTACACAGATACGCTGTTGTTCACTATTAAAACCGGTACTTTGAAGGAAACAAATCCAAAATTACTCACAAGTTCCAGCGAAAAGAAAATTAAAATTTCACATTAAATGTCAGATGTCACATGGGTGGGGTGGATCAATTTAGCGTAACCATAGCCACAGTCTGGCTGTGCCCAAGTGTGCGCGACTCACCACCGGCGATTACAAATGGCAACACTGTGACAGTAAACATTCATCATCTTTACAATTTAGTTACAGACAGTAACTAGCCGCCGACGATGTTGCAAAGCTACGGTACAGGTTTGGGAGGCTAAAAGGTTATGCAAGGCCTCCGAGGTTGTTCTAGTTCTAGTAATTTCCAGAGCATCTGAAGTGCTTAAAACGTCTCCGGTAAGAACCGTGGCCGTAATTATTCTCGTATGTTCATGTTATGTATTTTCATATTCGAAGACTTTCCAGTGTTACCAAAGAGCTTTCCGGAGATTTCTATCTTCGTAACGCACGTGGACGAGTGTCTCAGATGCTTCACACTGAAAACTGTATCAAGTAGGTACCTATAAAAAGGAACCTAAAAGATATGAAAAGCACTATCTAAAAAGTTGCAGAAAAAGGTCAGCTCTTTAAGAACACTAGAATATAGAAGACTTTATATATATATATATTTATAAAGATCGTAAATATGCTAGATTAAACGTTTTGATATCTCTGGAAAGTACTAGAAGGTTTTTAAGAGAATTTTAGCATTTTATAAAAAATGTAATGTGATATTTCAGGTATATTATAGTTTTTTGAGATAATCTTTTGAGCACGCTCCTACAAAGTTGTAACGCTGCATATAGGAAGCGCTAGAAAAGCCTCGGAAACCCTAAGAAGTTTGCAAGGGGCCTAGAACGTTCTAGGACCATATACAGGGTGTTAGTAAATTCAATGTAGATATTTTAAGGTTTGATTGAGGGTGCAAATACAAGCATTCAACGCGCAGCATTGCCCTTGATAGTATATTAATTATTATCACTTATCAGTTCCCTTTCTTTCATACTGTAAGGACCTAAGGACTAGACATTCTAGATTGCGGTGTCTCCGTCAACGCTACCGGAAATGACGACTTGAAATTCAAAATCATAACATAACCCCGATGATGATGTTTGTGACATAACCTTAAAATCTTTTCACGATTAAGAATAATTTAATTTTCGACGTCCACGGTCTACATTAGAGATTTTTCATACATGGAAATAATGTTATGATTATTACGCATGCCGCCAATACAGGGAGGAACCTAAAATTTTTATTTTGTTTATTTTTTCTTATCAGTAATTAACTTTTGTACTTAGATAGTGAATTTCATCACTTTTTTCTTGTTCGATGTTCCAAAATGAGGGCTCTCTCATTTTTTCCCAAAACTTTAAATTTGAATATAATTAGGCGAACATTTGCAACACCAGTGCAACAGGTACAACAAGTGCAAGATGTGGACCTTAGCCATCTATGTGAGAAGGATACAGGAATCTCTGTGCTCAGTTTGAATTGCATACAAAACAGAAACACAATTACTTCCAGTTTAGTCGATAATCTTAATCGTGTATTTGATACCGTTGGTAAATTGGACACTAAAGTTTTAATAATCAAAAGTAATGTTCCGAAAATCTTTTGCACTGGAGCAGACTTGAAAGAGAGACTTAAAATGTCTGAACGAGACGTTGCAAGTTTTGTGAATTACATTCGATCAACCCTTCATCGACTACACCTACTACCAATGCCAGTCATTGCCGCTTTGGATGGATCAGCGTTGGGTACGTCACTAAACTGTAAGCAATGAATCCAATGGTTCTTGTAGGAGGCGGTTTGGAAATGGCACTCGCGTGCGACATTCGTGTGGCCGCTAGTAGTATAAAACTGGGACTGGTTGAAACAAGGCTGGCAATTATTCCGGGTGCGGGCGGTTCAGTTCGATTGCCACGTTTAATCAATCCGGCATTGGCAAAAGAGCTGATTTACACTGCGAAGGTGTTCGATGGATCCGAAGCCAAAGCTATGGGTAACGTATCGGTAACGTCTAATATGGATGAAATCTCAAATAACTGTATAGGTGTCGTCAATCACGTGGTGGAACAGAACGATGATGGGAATGCTGCATATTTAAGATCTTTAGGTATCGCTCGAGAAATTTTACCTAACGGACCAATAGCCTTACGCATGGCAAAGTTTGCAATAAACAAAGGTGTCGAAGTAGATATCAATACGGCACTTTCGTTTGAAGAAGCAGCTTATTCACAAGTTATACCCACAAGGGACAGAATTGAGGGACTGCGAGCATTTGTAGAGAAAAGGCGCCCAAGTTATACAGGAGAATAAAAAATTTGTTTATAATGGAAATGCGTAATTGTAATAAACTGTTGGAAAGTGAGCATGAAATTTATATTTTGACCAAAATCGTAGAGTAAATAATTTATTACCCTATGCTAAGGGAGGCGCTTGCTTTCATACACTCTTCAACACTGATATAGTGGAGAATGTTATATATTATGCTATATTGTTAAGTCAAAAATAAATACGAATTCGTTTATAGTTGTCCCGGACAGACGGGCGGAAAGTGGCCACAATAGCGTATTTTCTTTATTGCTGTGGAAATGCCTTAAAAATTTCCATTTATGGGATTGGGTGGCTACCCCCAAGGTGAAAGCGCCCTTTGGCATCGTAATAATAATAATTTATTGTCTGGTGATCAACAAAAACATTGACATAGACATTGTCCAGTTGTATCTAAATGAATATTGTCAAATATATCACAAAAGAAAACATACATACATACAAACAAACAGTCAAATAAATTTATCACCGAGTACAATTGACTATACTAGAGTTGTCATACATTAGAATTGAAATCACATATTTTGTAAAAGCACTCGGCTATCAGATACCTTTTGAGGGCGGCTTTAAATTGAGCACTGTTTTTGTAACTTTGGAATTTTGTTTCAAGGTATATGTTATGTGTTATTTTCTGGGATTATATATCACAAACCTGCATTTGGGATCAGTGCAACTAATTCCAAGACCATCCTGGCCATAATACAATATACACAAAAGTAGCAAACCAAATTACCGCCATATATACCCATAGAACAAACCAACAAAATCCTAAATGTTTAAAACAAAAGACTTCACATTTTAAACATCAAGATCAGGATAACATTATTAGTTTTATGCATTTTGTTTTAAACATGCCAACTCTGACAAAAAAATATTAGTCAAGAAGAGTTATCTAGTTACAATTCGTAGAATGAAATTTGGTTGTATCCGAGTTGAATTTTTAGATTTTTTTTGTTTGTTTTTTTCTTGAATAGTTAACGGCTCGCAATAACTTTAATATTTCTTTTTTAGATATTGTCCTGTTATAGAGTATTTACTTATTTGGACAATAAATATTATTATTATTATTATTAATAGGTAAACGAAATAAAAAAATTCTTTATAAAGAAAATAATTTTATTAATTGCTCTTTCGTATCATCCGGATTAAGTACTTTGTGCCCGATCGTTCTACCATCCTTAAATATTTCATGGTCGTTGCCCCCAAAATCGGTTTTGTCACCGAAAAAGTGAATCTCACGATATCCCTCATTCTCGACATGCTGTAAGCAGTAGGTCTTATCCCACCCGATCGGGAAGACGTCGAAACTTATTTGTCCACCAATGCTGTATTTAAATCCGATGTCTGGAAATTTGGCATCTACCGCTTCTATCATATCTTTCCTTATGTGGTGAGCCTTGTCGTATTTTTCAAAATCATCACGTTCCTTCTGCGAGCACGAGCGACCGATGGGACAAATATTGATCAAACCAGTTCGAAACTCGACAAATGTGCCCCGTTTTAAAGGTAACGTAACATTCGATAAGTACTTTAAGACGAAATTAATAAATTCCTGCAGCTTTTCCTCGCCTACAAACTCCTGTATGCTCTGTTTGTGAGTCAACACTCCTCCCTTATACGCGATCAGTCCATTTTCCGGAAAAATATATTTGTAACTGCCAACAACATCCTCACACATTTGCTCCTGGATTTTACTCAAGTCGGAACCACCAACAAGCCCGATGTGGGCTAACGGTTTAATTTTTTCCAAAAGGAACTGTTCGAAATTTCTGTCAATCTTCTGTCTGGACTTCGTCAAGGTGCCATCTACGTCAAATAAACAAAGGATATCTTTGCTCCCCATTACTGGACCTAAAAACATAAATTATGTATGTGAGTCAAAAGGAAAGTGCAATTGAAAGTAGGTTATTTAGGTACAACTGCAAAAGATGAAAGGGTGCGGTTGCGTCTGTCTGTGTTTGTTATTAATTATAAAATTAAGTGCAGCTAATGTGAATAAAAAAGTAAATGCATTGCTCATACTTGGTAAGAAACGCTAATAAATAAATTTCAACCAAATCCACGTGGGCTCAAATTACAGAGTGCATACGACAGCATGCTTTTGTTTGATTTCCATTTAAATATTGACACAGTTACAACCAATTAGAGATCCGCACGCAAATCATGATAGTTTAGATTTTTTTTAATTATCAAGGACGTTGTGAATGGCCTTGAGATACAGATGGAAGCATTGGCACGGTTGCCATGGTTTTTCATAAGCAGGAAGAAAGTACATTTGAACTACTACAAATTAATTGTACCTACAGACGTTCCAATCGCCTCCTTGAGGATTTTAACCAATCCCGATGGAGGATTGTGATTATTTGTAGATATTAGCTGGCGAGAGGGAGGGGAGTGGGTTTGAAGGTGTAATATTATCACCTTGGAGATTCCGCACGTTATCTAAATTTTTAGAATAACAATAATCGGTCTTTATTCTTTTGAATGCCTGAATGGTTTCCCATTATACAGTGATATTCATGTAGAAGTAGACATAGGGATTTCCTATTTCTACTTCAAATGATACTCTTGTGAAAGACGCCTAATTTTATGCAACCAAAATCACTTCTTGAAACAAATATAAGGATCTGGCTGCCATATTAATTAATTTGAATATTGTTACTTTGGCCTCACACAGGAATTGGAAATGGCAACTTTTTCTTTAGTTGAATACATCGCACATGAACGAAAATTAGAATAGGGAAGTCAAAGCGATAATATTCAAATTAATTAATATGACAGATCTTCATTTGTTGTAGGTAGTTATTTTGGTTGCATAAGGTTAGGCGTCCTTTAGAAGACTTTTTATCATTTAAAAGTACACATAGGAAATTCCTATAGGAAATCCCTATGTCTACTTCTACATGAATATCACTGTAGAACATGTCAGTGTAAAACATTACAATCTATCTCTATCATAGCCTTGTAAGTACAATAGCTAAATTGACCGATCTAGTAATCAGACACCAACAATCTTGTTTCAAGAAAGAACATTCTTATCCAGAATCCAGAAACGTAGCGAAACAAACGATTTCAAATTTCTGTCATATTTTAGCTGATGATGGAGGTTTCGAAATGGGCGCCTACTTGAACAGAATATCTCAAACGCCGAATCTGAATAAATTAGCAAAGAACAGTTTAATCTTTAACAATGCATACACTTCGGTCAGTAGCTGCTCCCCCAGGTAATAAAATTAGATTACTGGCGATTGCCATTTTATGAAATTTTTGCAGCCGATCGGCGCTTCTCACTGGAATGCCCTCCCACCAAAACGGCATGTACGGATTACATCAGGGAGTGCACCATTTTAATTCGTTCGATCACGTTAACAGTTTGCCGAAGATACTAAAACGAAGTGGAATTCGCACAGGTATATTAGTGTGGTGAAATGTGCCGCAAGGTTAAAATTGGGCCAATTTAGGAATCATTGGCAAAAAGCATGTGGGGCCCAACTCGGTGTACCCATTTGACTATTCCCAAACGGAGGAAAACAACTCCATTTTACAAGTGGGACGTAACATAACGCATATAAAGTTATTGGCGCGGGAATTCTTCAGAAACGGCTCAGAGTAAGTTATTATGATGTTCATAATTCAACTTTGTAGGCCTTTCTTTCTCTATGTCGCCTTTCACGATCCGCACCGTTGTGGCCACACCAATCCAGAGTATGGAGAATTTTGTGAGAAGTTTGGGAACGGAGACATTGGAATGGGTACCATCCCTGATTGGCATCCAATCTATTATCAAGCCGACCAAATAGACTTGCCCTATTTTATTCCCGACACACCTGCAGCACGCCAAGATGTTGCTGCGCAGTACACTACAATTTCTAGATTGGATCAAGGTAACTCAATGAGATAGGGCCAAACTGATCCTAATAACTGCAGGAGTCGGACTATTGCTCGAAGAGCTAAAGAACGCTGGCCATCTTGATGACACGCTCATCATTTACAGCTCAGATAATGGAGTACCATTTCCGAATGGTCGTACGAATGTCTACGATTCAGGATTGGCGGAACCGATGTTCATCTCCTCTCCTGTACACACTGATCGTCATAATCAAGTTACCTACTCGCTCGCAAGTCTGCTGGATATCGCGCCGACATTGCTCGATTGGTTTGGTGTGTCCTACGAAGAAAGCTCTAACGAATTAAAACCTGCATTGACTGGCAAATCGTTACTGCCGTTGCTAACTAAAGGTACCTACGAACCAACTTTGACCTCACTAATTAAGGTGCTGTTTCAGAACCTACGAACGTTACCGATGAAGCCGTGTACGCGAGTCATACACTACACGAGGCCACAATGTACTACCCAATGCGCGCGGTGCGAACTCACCGATATAAATTAATACACAACTTAAACTACTACGCGCCTTTTCCTATCGACCAGGACTTCTACTTATCGCTCACATTTCAAGATATGCTAAATCGCACTCGCGCCCACCACCCATTAAACTGGTTCAAGACGCTGCAATCGTACTACATCAGACCGGAATGGGAGCTGTACGACTTGAAGATGGACGCCAGCGAGTTAAACAATTTAGCCGGTAAAAAGTCGTACAAGAAGATCCTACAGGAGTTACAGGTGAAACTCTCGAATTGGCAGAAAGTGACCAACGATCCTTGGTTGTGCGCTCCGCATTCCGTTCTTGAAAATGTAGGAGAGTTTAGAAGTAGCCCACAGTGTATGGGATTGGATAATTTGTATTAGGTGAAAAATCGCACTGCAATAAATCTCTTAACATTTGTCTTGCATATTGTTTGGCCTGATTAGAAGAAAATCTGTAACGGCTTAGGTATATTTACCCCACTTAAATAAAATTGAACGTCTACAGCAGTAGCAAAAACTCAATTTTTTATCCACGGCTAGCGCAGTAATAACAAATCTTCTTATATCCCTTACCTTGCGGACCTCTTTACTCCTTTCTCCGACATCGGAAAAATTTGGGACCCATGTGAAACTTCACGTTTTTTTAAAAGAGCGCTTCCTCTTAAAATCCTACATTAAAATTCTAATGCTCTGGTTTGATTGAACTCTGAAACTGAAATACGCATGACCTTTTTAACCTCACCAATAAATTGGGAGGTTATTGAAATCAATCCAAATTTCTCCCACTTTTCGCTATTTGAAACTCGCCCACCCGAAAAAGCGACTTCTCTGAACGCAACGGCCTCGACTAACGTACATGCATTTTCGTCTCTTGCTCGGCTTTAAACAGAACTAACGAAACTTTTAAACCAACCAAGAGATCATGGTATAACTGCGCTTTTTTACCCAATACGTTTCTTGTTATCGCTTTTTCGTTCACGTTCGCTATGGAGCGGTATATCCGTAAATGTTAATACAAGTTCTGAACCAAATTTGTGAAACATTAAAGAGGCCACCTGTTACAAATCTCAACTCTTTCTGCTATTTCATGCGGCGATAAAATCGCTATAATATACTGCATCAAACCTACATTAAAGACTAACATACTTAATTCACAAAAATATGCGAAAGCCTCGCCTCAATATTTAATAAGTTTAAATCTGACCGTCCAACTGGTGTAAAATAAGTTTACGTTACTCACAATTCGCAGTAGTTGACGCACAGGAGATGCAATTAGCAAACAATGCCCCACTCCTCAAAAATGCACCAACAAGTTGTTTCAATTGATCCTGAAACACGTTTATATATAACAGAGCAATATCTCAGACTTTTAGAAAAAAAAGATACAAAATCCTAGCCCTACCTATTACCCATGTAAGATAGAAAAATAGGTAAAAACTGCCAATTTTAGATCTTTTTACGTAGAATCCAGTGGCGTAGTAAAAAAATTTTTGGTCCACCACATCGGAGATTTGACCCAAAGTTATGCAACACTCTGTATATCATAACGGCAACAGTTTTTTTTTATTCAATCTCGTGATTACATCGATGTATCACACCTATTTTTTTGTTTTATTTTTTTTTAATTTTTTTTATTGCCTTTATTTTATAGTGGGCGGAGTGTTAGCAATTTGCTACTCTTCCCCCTCAACCCACTCTATACAATCACAGCCATGCCTTACCTGGGATCCGAATCCAGGACCCTCGTAGCCAAAGGTAAGTTTTAGCCATGAAAATCAATAACACTCTTATTTTTTGCTGTTTTTAAATAGTAGGCATGGATTCATGGATATTTTATTTATTTTTATTTTATCCATAGTAACCAAGGCAGCCGATACCAAACAATAAGAATGGCAGACGGTAGAAATATCTCATTTCAAAATTTTAAAAAATATGATATATACTTAATTATACAATAAAAAAATATAGGTTGTGACACATCAATGCAATTAGGAAAAAGAATGGAAACAATTGACGTTAAAATATGCAGAGTGCTGAATTTAAAAATACCAGTTTTGGGTCAAATCTCAGAAACGGTGGTCCAACAATTTTTTTACACCATTGGATTGTATGTAAAAATATCTAAATATAGGTACACCTTTAACCTTTTTTCTATCTTACATGGGTAGTAAGATATATGATAACATCTCAAAAAGTCAAACTTTTAGTTTTCACCCTGTATTTCAGAAACAAACGTAAAATCTGTTTCACAAAAAAGTGGTTACAAAACAGCCGAGTGGCTAGCTTTGGTTTTAAGTTAAAAAAAAACGAGTTATACAATAACATTTATTAAAATCTGTCAGTTAAATACATTTTTAACTACATAAATATATTAAGATAGATAAATACAATATTTTCCTGCTTTGGAAGCAATTAATAACAAAGTATTTTTGATAAACGTATCTACAATACACTGGTAAGACAAATCAATTGGCAATAAATAACAAGCACTTGAATAGATTGTAGACATTAGCATTATCGATGTTTTATTTATTGGAAATATTGGGGAAAGTTATTGAGCTTCGTGAACTAGTCCGTTAAAATTCGTTTGGCATATGTTGTGTTTGTGACTGCACTTGCATGTTACCTATGGTAACAGTGCACATGACTTGGTCCGATACATTTGTGTAGGTGTGTGTGTTTAGGCCGTTCACAAAACGGATCCAGTTATTGTGCAATCCTCATCTTGAACCATTCTATAAATAAGCTAACTGCTCCGCAATTACGTAATGCACTACTGTGTTCACTAACTTTTATATATTAATACTAGGATAATTGAACACTATAAACAAATCTAAGAAAGTAACAAAAACAACCATAATAACAACATTCTGTACAAATCAACGCATACATTAGGCAATTTTTAATTAATTTCAGTTTGCCCAACATATAGCAATATGTGTCTAATGGTTCCTGTTCCATTGCCTAATTTATCCTCGGGCACATTTTCCATAATTCACACCGCACAGTATTCTCAATGAAAGAAAAATATATTGTATCTATAACAGCAAAAGTTCGTGCAATGGTTGCTGATAATAATTATTGACTTGATCTAATGGCTTTGACAGGGCGGTCATTTTGGTTTGAAAACAAAAAATTTACTTCCAAAAATCTCCCTAATTTTCCACAGTACATGGTTTTGCAAATTTGTAGGTACCAATTCTTACATTATGCACTGTGAACACCCTGCAGGAACTCTAGCACAGCTGCCACTTTCTTGCACCTGGCACCTCTTTTTGGTACCATCTACACCCACAGGAATGCTTGAGAACTTTCATCAAATTTTAGATTTACTTTTGTTATCAACATTTAAATGGGCGTCCTGCAGAGTCCAAACTAAAATGGGAGTGTTAACACTATACACTTCCCACTTTACGGAGGACGGAAACACAATCAATGGTATTATGCCACTACGTTCTCACTGCAGATATTGAAATAAGTACACTTTTTTTTGCATAAATTATCACATTACACTTAAGAAAATTGGTTGGTCACAGTAAGACATAAGTGCGTGGACATTCCTTGTGCTTTTTATATGGTGTGCAAGTTGTTAAACAAATCAAGTAAATGACTCAAAACGTTAGTACAATTGTGCGAAAGTTTGAAATAGTTGAAGGATTAATTGTTAGATACGAACTACACGTACTAATACAAAAATCATACAATTTTACTTGCAGCTAACAAAATTCTTTGTCATCTCGGTTTGAGTGCGAAATTATTTTGAGGCGCTTTGTGATTCGATACTACCTTCTGTAATTTGCGTAGCAAAACTGTAGTGCTATTCGCCACTTTTTCCAATACTTTCATGTTCTCATACATTGCGTTCATCTTAAATAGACGCATGCGTTAGACGAATTAAAAAAACATGCCGTGCTTCGACTTACCTGGACTTTGTACTCTTCGATTCGTTGCTGCTTTTGATAGGTCGAATACAACATGTTTAGATAAATAAATAGAGTTATTGCAAACATGAAGCTACACGTTACAAACACCGGCCCTGACTGGCTTGCGCGATTTCGGATGCACAGCATTAGGAATATTTGGCAACATTCTGCAAACAGCGAAGAGCGGTAGGGATTAGTTAGAAAAAAAAAGAGACATACCTAAATACCAAATAATTCTATGGGCAAGTGATTCATAAATTGAAAAAGATAAAGGCGCACTTTTAAGTAAATTATGCAATTGTTTTTATGCTGCACAAAAACAGCTGATCGCTCATATGTGAAGTTAATCACAGTTGGCAGTGGATACGGTGACGCTCATTTGAAATGCGAAGACTTATCAACGTGTACACGCCCACCGCGCGAATCGGCAACGTTGAAACAAAATATGCCAAAGTAAAGCTACAGCTCCTATTATAGACCTGTGAATATAGAATGTTATTATCAAAGTCTGCTCTATCTGTGATAGATTGGCGTCGATTTCCTTAGCGTAAGCTACCGGCAGGACTACAGAGACATCACGTGCTCATTCCCTCGAGAAGTAGGATATGTGGCGCGTAGGTAGGCTCAAGAGTCTTCCATGTTCCAGGGTGTTACTGAAGAGATCCTGGTAGCGGTTGAGGATGACATCAAACTGCTGCTAGATCCACAATTTAAATATATACACAAATTTAAAGAAATGACTACCATTTCGGTACAACGTTTTGTGTCGCTCAACGCATAGACTTATAAAAATAAGCGGAATAAGCTCATACATCTATGAATATGAGATAGAACAGCTCTCATTTTATCTACTTTTTACCTTACATGCTGTAACGTGTTTTTCCATTGTTAACCCATGCCACTGATATTCAATGTCATTTGTCAATACCAAATTTTAGAAGAACCGTAATTAAGGCGCTTAAACGAAGAGGAAAGACAGTCTTGGAAAACTCTGTTTAAGTTTTAGAAAGCTTTCAGAGCCCACTAGTCCTTGAGGCTCTTTAGATTTTTTCTATGACTTTTGAGAGCTTTTCTGGAGTGAGAGTTCATTCTGAGTTACTGTCGACAGGTACTATGCGATCAAAAAAGAGTCACCTTTGCAATTTTTGTTTACATGGGAAATCATATTTAGCTTGAACTTCCAAAGGCGACTCGACGTGAATTCTTTTTTGAACACCCGATACAAAAAAGTTTCTTACAACATAGCAGCAGCCACTGCCACTGGCGATTATCGGTGGCTACGCTTGCGCACTGTTTACAATTCGCATACAAAACATGTTTAACCTCAAAAAATATTTATTATGGCATTTATAAGTAACTCAAAAATCTTTCCAGCGAACCACAAAACCATATTTGTATTAGATCACACGCCATACTTTGGAATATCCTGCGAAAGTCCCATCGAATTTGAATTTTTAAAGTCCCGGGCGCCCGGTTTCATACCGTTCAATCCGATCTCAAAGTCACTGTGGACATGCAGCGTGGAATCGGCAATAGAGTACTGTCGTATTGTGTGGGATTTATTTCCGCAGGGAAAATTGGTACGATTAAGCTTTAACGTAAATACCTACCACTCATCTTTTTCAACTTTAGATACGTTTCTTTGCGAGCGACACCGTTGCACATATTATGAATACATGGAGCCCCTCTCAACAGAATTTAAATCATGTAAGGCCTGCTTATCGTAACCTTCGTTAAGATAATCGTTTAGGTAATGAATGGCATGTCGTTAATGGGCGTACCTCCTCCTATAAGACAGACGCAACAATCTAAAGACTACTCTGTAGTGCACGGACTAAGGGCGGCGATTGAAGCGCTTGGCGAATGTACGGATTTGCAATTTGAGAAAAGAAAAGCCGACGTGAATGCCAAATTGATTAACAAGTGCAGAATTATATGTATCACATCTGCGAGAGATAACGACAGCATGAAAAGGTTGCAAGAAATATTCAACAACTGCTTGCACGCCCATAATAAAGCCGCACTTAATTCCGATACATATTTGCCAATCGACCATTGCCATTTAGTTATTATTCACACGTTTCCTGTTAATATCGAGTCACAAGTAACACAGCAACCCGCTAGAAATGTAAGCAATTTATTCTAGCAATTGTCAGTTTGACCGAGTGTTTTAGATATCGTCGCTTCTAACGACAGAAGTTTACCCGATAAAAGCACCGCAAATCTCAAACAAGTTGTCATCTTTGATACTGCAGCACTACGAATTGGCCAGTACGACTGTTACCGGTATACCGATGAAAGAGGAACAAAATGCCAGTTCGTCCGCCAACTATGATGTAGAGATTTTCCATTCGAAAGAGGCACACACTGCGATACTGAAAGGGAATACGGCCGATTCTTTAGCTATTCGGACTGTTAAAGAGGGGTTGGAATACGAAACGGTTGGTGGGGTAAAGAGTGACATTGAGGGGTAAACTGCAGGAACAAAATGTGTGCAATGTTAGTCCATTTATTCCACTAGATCTCTTAAAAATCTGGATAGGCTATTCGCAATTCAGATTAGCTGTGAGACCTCTGGTGGCAGCACTTTGTAATTACTATTGGTGGTATAACACCGACATTTTGTTAATTTACAATGGGTAATACTATAGTTTTTGCGGGTGTAAATGTAAATACACTTGCAAAAATTTCATTGCAATCAATGTAATTACACCTCAAAGAGCAAATATAATCTAAAACGCCAAATTTTATCAAGTTACTTTCAAGAATTTTAAATGTGATCAGTGCAATTATGCAACCAACAATAACGGTAATTAAACAAATCGTCGTCTAACGCATAATATTTCCCAAGTCTTGAATTGTGAACAGTGCAATTACACACAAACTAAAAATAGGAGATATATACGTCATTCTTTGACGCACTCGGCTTTGAATCACTGCTATCAGTGTAATTACGCTACAATTAAGCGTCGCCTATTAACACCACTGATCTAAATATTGAGGTCAGTGATTCACACAACCTTCGCAAACATTTAATTTGTGAACAGTGTGATTGCGCTACTCACGAGAAGCAAATCTTAAGTGGCATATTCACATTGAAGGATGTTACATGCACAACAAAATATTTTTTTAGCGGAAGCATAATTACTATTATAAATTTGATAAAAACTTAAATAATTAAAACGCATGAATTGCTGCGAAGAACTAATGAGGTGAATAAAAGAAAGACCAAATGTATTGCTGATGGCCAGTTCGGCTGAAAAACCCCGCCGGTCACGTGTTGTCTCGTTCGGCCAATCAGAGCGCACAGCGCCAGGGAGCCTTGCCACATTTGAACTTTCGTTATAAAATATGCAGAACTTCCGCACTTGCGGAAGCAGAAGTCTGCTGCATCACTATAGAATCTTTAATAAAGCGTGGAGGGAGAAGCAACGTACCTCTTTAATAATTTGGTAACTAACTTTTCCTTAAAAACAATTACATTGTACTGTTACTCGAGACTATGCACACTAAATTGTTCTATCAGATTATCCCTCGGATGACGCAATTTCTTATATTTCACATATTTAGGTGACATTAAAGTGGTGCACTCCTAGAGGTTGCGCCTCCTCAGAGCTACAAAACTGCACCAGCATGTACAGAATTACACCAGTCGAGGTTAATTCGCGTCCCTCCCTGTGTTTAATAAATTTCTTATTAAACGGCCGATCGGTTATGCTGGAGATGCCTCGTAAGGCGGGCGGTAAAATTACAAGTCACCTTCTAGCATCGCACGGTGGCGAGATCTTCATCCACACTTTGTGTACGGCCAGGTATTATTCGTAGAATTGACGATTCGGTGGAGCTAACCGAATTGTCAGGTCTGTTTTAGAGGATCCGCCGTCGATTTCGGAAGGATGCGGTGGACGCGTTACCGATTATCGTATCACCGATTTCGGTCTGTTAATACAGCAAAATCGACTGTTGCCCATTAAGAGTAACTACGTCGGCGGATTACCGAGCTCGATACCGAAGGTGAAGGCGCGCTTGGGGCGGCATACGAAATATTGGCCGCTGACGATTAGTTCAACTTTAATTTTTAATTTGAAAAATGTAAGTATCGTATAGCACCACGAAAATGGTTTAAGAAGCCCATTATGAGCAATTTTTCCGAGAACAGGTGGTATTTTGAAATTTTAAAATAGAATTATCTTTTTAGTTTTTCTTTTGAATGTTTCATAAAAGAAAATATGTTACCACGTCCTGAACATAACCATTTTGCTTGTCCCTGTATATATTCGCACTTGATACGTGCGGCACATGAACCGCCGAAGCTAGAATTGCACTGCATTTGCACATCCATTTTCGATCAGCAATTCATCGAACAACAATCGAAAATCAAGATGTTGTCAGTCATCAATAATAATGAACGTGCTTGTTAAAAAGCAACATGTTAATAATTCCTGTTTATATTCTTTCATCCCTCTCGTACAAAGGCATAGTAAGCAATTACATTTTATATACAGTGGATTTTACATTATAAATATCGAAGCTACTTCATTTGTACGCTCCATGCTTTAATATGAAAAACATACCATTGTAGACCGGGAACAGGTGTTCTGTGACCGGCATTCTCTCCTGGCAAACATTAGCTACTGTTTGACATAACGGAACTATTGGGAAACGTTTCACATTCTCGGCCCACTTTTCCAACAAACAGGGTACAACAGCGCAATTTCGAAAAATGATCTAATTTGTTTTTCCAAGATATCTCGCTCATTTTTAAAAAAAGGCAAACAAATTTGTTAATGAGTAGTGAAGTGTAGGATTCATTTTATAAATCAGAAGGCATGGCTTTAGTAAAATTGTAATTTGGTTTGCGTTTGGTTATTAATCAATTCAGAACCGATAAATTACATTACATACACTCATAGCATATGTACGCTAGAATGCCAGGATGTCAACTCAAAAAAACGCAGTAGCCATCCATATTATATCTAGGCAAGTTAGTAATAGAAGGAAAAAGGCGATATAAGGACTTCGGGCATGCGGGCGACATTCCCACATAAACGTTTCATTGTAGTATATACCGTTTCCATCACTGCTTTCATTTTCATCTTCCTGATGAACATATGTAACATAGGCACAAACTTGTTTACGGTTCCAATTTAATGGTCTGCACATAATTTCGATATAGGAAAACGTTTTCTTGATTCTCGTCCACAAATTTTTGACATTAGATAAAACTGACACAACCTTTGATCATTTCAGTTAGGTACTAAGAGCGTTTTGGAAACGACATGCAATGTGTATGTTGAGGGCCCAAGGATCGTTTTTGTTGCATTTATATGCTCGAAAACATTTTTTTTGTGTCTTAAGGTTTTTGAAAAATGATCCACAAAAACTAGAAGTAGTTCCTGGATCTAGCGCTCTTAGTAGAGACAGTGCAAAACGCATGCTCGCACTACTTTCTTATAGTTTTGCGTGGGTTTACTCTTTATTTTTTAGTACATCGATCCTCTACCTTCAATTATAACGAAAGAAAAAATCACAGACGAAGAAATGGTGCAATGCAAGCAAGTAATCTACAATTTAATAGCGTTAGAATCGAAACATGAACCTCTTCACTTAGCGAACATGGGTCAGCGTAGCAAAGGGCAAAAACGCGAGGAGCAATATAAAATAATGTGGAACGAATTGGAGACGTTACTGAAAAACAACTGCCACTCGGAAACGCACAAAATGGTCTACAACTGTCTCATCGAATGCCACAAATTTAACTCGGACGAGTCGGACAAGGTCGAATTGGACCAGGCGTTGCGCGAACTAGATCAAATGGGTATGTTAATTATTCCATCTAATTGTTCCGACTGTTAAGGTGTCTAATTCTAGCAAAATCTGACTCAGATGTACGAGCGTCCGTTATTCGAGCGACTACCGACTCGCCGATGTCTCCTCCTCCTTTGGCGAGCATCGCGTCGCCGATGGCGAGAAATAATCAAAATCGAGCTGGCGGCATTTACGCGACGAAACGGTCGTTGTACGATATCTTTATGGCGCAAGATAAAAGTAAGACTAGGCTCGACTTCGCGGGCCGCACAGGCGATAATGTGGCGAAATTGTATCCCAATTTAAAAATCGAAAATGATCGTGGCCCGAGGGAAATGGAAACGGAATGATGTATTTTCTAAATATAGTTTTACAGTACAAATGGCTCATTTCTTTCTTGGCTTCGCGCGGGTTTGTTACATGTGATCGAATTTTTCTCCTCGTCTCGCACGTATACGCCATAGAGGGTAACATTGTCCCTCCTGCTACGTTGAGAAACTAGCTCTGTATAACTCGCACAAATTATGTGTAGCAAGTGTCCCTCCACCTTTTGAGGGAGTGTTGGGGGAAAATGCAATCACCACATGCGATTTAAACAGTTCAATTGAATAAAATACAGAATTTTCTGCGAAAAGGGAATAACAAAATATATTACGCACACAACAAGGCCACAGATAAATATTTTATCTGTGACAAGGTGATACCAGGGAAACCTTCTTCTGGAGAAAAACCCCAGTATAGCTCACACAAATACATTAAATAGATCAACTACGGCAAGAGAAAATACACAAATTAAAAATCTCAAATTGTACGATAAAAATGAGGTAAGTATTGGTTGCCTAAATTTTGTTTAAATAATGGCGTAGTATTTTGATTTTATTTTATTGTTCATTTAAAAAGAGTAGTGACATTTGGAAATAATCTTTTATCATTTATATTTCCTGTTGTTGCGATAAGAATTTTGTTATCGCTGCGTAAGCTAATTAAGTTAGGTAAGCAGATGTTTCTCGCCGACGTAAAGAGAGCTGTTAGTGATTCGACGACGCAGCTAGGAAAAGCTAGACGGTATGAAAAGTTGAAGAGAAAGGAGAATTGTTTTAAATAGCAGAGGAACACGTGAATCGAAGCTTGTTTGGTGGTGGACGTTAATCGTTGCTTTTTGGTAGCCGCTTATTGTCTTGGTTGGAAATTTTGCCTTATTTAAGCGTGGATCTAATTGCAAGACGTCTAAATTGAGATTCAAGTGAAGTTCCTAAGTATCATCATTTGGTACTTGTGATTGTGCGTTATTTAAAGAGAATCGCAGTTACAACCGGATATTTGATTCATATTTCGTTAATTGTTTCAATCGATCGCTTGTTGCATGATATTGTACTCTGGTCCTGAGTGCCTATTTTGATTTTCAGTTTTATTGCTTTTAAAATTTGTAATGTAATTCTTTGGAATTGTGAAGGCGGTTAAGACTGCTGAGTTTCTCAATTTAATAATATTTAGGTTTTATCGAAATTTTTAGTTGTGGCGGATGCTGAACGTGGCCTGGAAAAATTATAATCATTACGTATAAAAATGTTACTACGTGCTTAATTGAGTTAGTTTGGACCAGTGCTTGTGGGTGGTTTAATGACCGCTTGCCATATCAGAGCCCTTATCTGTGCAAACGTGATATTACGGCAATATAGTTTAGTTGTATAACATCAAGGGCAAACCTAACCTAGTGGTCGCATACGTTTATCCCTCAGGAGATTCTGTTAAACCACACCTCCCAATAATAATCAGAAGATAGAGCACAATTTGAGAGAAACCACACCTGATTATAGAGTGCAGGGGTTGGAATTAAGCTATATGAAAGCTAATAGGGCCTTCCGCCAATGTCCCCGCGCGATTTAAGTACTATAGGGTCATTCCCGAAGACTATTGTGTGGCTGTACATTGCCTTGGTCTTAGACATGTGCTTATGCGGCAATTGTCTGATGGTGACCTATAGAACCGTACAGAGTTGCTATCACCAATGCACTTTTGGATTATGTCCATAGACTAATGCGCCTTGAGTGCACGGGTGCCATGTGGACCAACGCCACCCCTCGGTCTGCCTCCTTTTAATTGCCACGTGCAGGATCGCCCATCAGGCCTTGCGACTGCGAACAAAGGGAAGATTGAATAACAGATGGAGCGACTAGCGAGGTAGGCTCCTGGTAGGCAAACGATAACTGTCGAATTCTAGTAGAGGCAGTCAAGCGGCCGCGTATATACTGAATGGTAAAGTGAGCTACATTGTTCCTCAAGTTCCATAGGGAAGAGCTACCGTATATGCCAACTGATGAGAGACTCCATGTTGCAGGAATGATGGTTGCTTGCAGGTGTCCTCAAGCGTGGGTGACGCTTGGGGTGGACGACTTTAATCATGGCGGAAAGATGAATGAAGGTCTATGTGTGTGTGTACCTAAGTTCACTCTACGCTCCAGATTCTAGCCATCGCATGTAAATATAGTTAACTGCCAAATAAAATTTCACAAGGAAATGATCCTGTGTTCCGCAGAAGACCGCTAGATGGTGCCAGCTGTACGACAACAGCATTATATATCGATAAACTATTTGTTTGCAATGATAAAAGGGGCCACTACGTCATCGCTATTTCATAACCGTAAAGAGCAAGAGGTTGTGATATAAGATTTAAATCGACCAAGCAACATTGTCAACACATTTTATAGCATTGGTAAGTACCCACATGTACTCTCTAATCACACGTGTTCGACAATGCAAAACGCGACGGCGTCGATTGTTACGTTATGTATAAAATTAATGATATCTTTAAATTATAACTGCGCATGGTTTTTTTTCTGCTGTAAATGTCAGGGAATCTAAATACATTTTTTAAGTCAGGATTTTCTTCAACGTCTCTCATTTTTTTGAACATTAACAAAAATCGCCCGAATCCGATTGGGTAATATAAATTAGAGCCGTCCGGGGTTATTGACTGAAAAATAATGATTTTAGCAGGGCGTCGGAAAAAATACGAAAAAAAAGTTTCGGTTTGAATTTATTCATTCGGGGGAAATTTATATATATTAAGCGTATGCGCCGTTAGGTTTATGATAAAAGAATCGTAAGTAGCAACAAGTGGCGAATAATGTGGTTATTCTTGAAATCCCATAACAATAACGGGAATGCGTTCCACTTAGCAGACTATACGGCGCCTAAACCACTTGATAAAGAGAAATGCGACAAAAACTCCGGTCTTTAATAGGTCATAAACTTTCTAATGTTTTAGAAATTTTTCTCGAGCGCTAGTTTAGTGATTCATTCGTCTTTTTTTTTAAAATTAATCTCGAGTCGAGTACACTCATTATTCTTGGATAAACCGTTGGTAATCGACAAGGATCCCCTTTGGTATTGCGTAGTCAGTCTTTCAACAATGCTAACTTGATATACGTCACGCTGTCATGGTTAATGCAACAAAATATCGAGTGGGCGGGGCTTGTGCGTGTGACGTCAATATGTCGCCGCGTTTGAAGCACAACGGGGTCAACTCTGTACAGAAACTCTCATTGTTTTAATCCAAAACATGAAAAATTTCGTTAACGAAATTTAATCCATAAAGTTTCGAATTCGTTGAAAAAGCAAGTGGGTCGGATTAGATTCTGTTGAACGGCGAGCGATCGTTGAATTCTCAGGAAAACCGTCAAGTGTGCCATGACTTTCAACCAAGCTTACACAATACGAAAGGTTGACTCGCTCATTTACAGTTACGCTTTTAGCCTTTTTAATCCATTTGAAAACGTCGACCCAGCCGAAAGGCGACTTATTCCCTAAATTTCGACCTTTCATAACGAACGCCTGCAGGTGCTTGCCCTTTATTGTGTACACTCGACACCTGCTCACGGCGTACTTGAAACGTCAAGTTTAATTATAAAATTTCCCCAATGCCCCTATGCATCATTTAAATTCATGAACTTTTCTACTTCGACCCACACTGTATATATCACATTCTAAATACGTTTTATGATTCATTTTACGAGCGCGGAATAAATGCTAGGAAATCTTCAATTTCGAGTGAATGAGTGAACATAAACAACTCGTTTTATAACATGGTCACAACAGGTCTAAACGGACACGGATGATAATTTTGTAAATTATCAAGCGGCTCTTTAAAGGGGCAGAGCCCCGTTGAGTACACAGGAAATGTAAAAGCGAAGTTGCCAAATTGCGCGAGGGCTTTTTTTTTTGTTGAACCACAGCTGCGCCACAAGATTTTGGCTCCTCTCCTAAAGATTTTCCAAACCCGTTGCGTTGACCTCAAACCGGATTTCTAATCATATTTTGAAGCCGAAGGTTTTCGGAAATAAAATAGAAAAGTGGTTTACAGTTCCGCCTTGTCGAAAACGACCTAATTTACACACGGAGTTCTTTACGGAAATTACGATTCAAATGATATGGCAAAGTGGGTAGGTCTACAGACGAACGTCCGGTATATTAATTTCTACATGCTCGCGTTTTGTGATGCGACTCGCTCACGAATCGATGCCTTGCGCGTTTAATTTCACTGGTAAAATTCAAATAAGCTAATCGAATCCTTTGCATTGCGCAATTCTGAAAGCAGTGTTTTCGAAAAATAAAGGGCTGGAAGCAATTTTTATAGCACCAAGCATTTTTTTTAAACGAATCGGACGAAATTTCAGCAATTAAATATTAGCACAAACCATATTCCAAACGGTCAGATGCATTTTAGACAATCGGACGAGTGTGGCGGTTTTAAGGGCCCTCCCTGGTGACTCTTCAGGTGTGTATCTGGAACTTAAGTCAAAATGTAGAAGCGTATACAATTTGTAAAATTTTGGAAAATTTAAACAATCAGAAAAAGAAGATTTATGAAATTAGGAAAAAATAGAATTGTAAATTAATGAAAATTTCAAAAAATTTGGAAAAGTTAAAGAAATACCAAGATTTTGTATAATTAGGAAGAAAGAAAGAAAGATATTAAACAAATCAGAAGATCGAAACACATTAAAAAAGTCATAAATTTAGCAAATTCAAAAAGATAATTGAAAATGTATAAGAATATGGAATATATAAAAACAATGGGTGTATATAAATAGTAAAATTGAGAAAATTTGAAAAATATTAAACTTTAAAAAACAAATTCAGAAAAATTAAATACATTTTAAAAATCAGAAAATAATGTCGAGGAAGAGAATTGTAAATTAAAGAATAGTAAAAATTCCAAGAATTGAAAGTTAAGAAAATTCAGAAAAATTGTGAAAATTGAATTAAACTAAAATCAAGATAAATTCATGAAATTCTTGAAAAATTTATCAATTTATTTACAAAAATTCCTTTAAAAAAATAACGAAAAATTCACAAAATTTAATAATATGGAAAAACTTAAAAAACCAGGTAATTAAAAAGAATCAAGGAGATTTATACAAGTAGAAAATTTCGAAAAATTATAAAAAATGAAATAGAAAAAGATTTGAATTCGGAAATATGTCCAAAATCATATAAATACAAAATATTTCAACAAACTCCAGGACGTGTACACAAAAATTGAGCGTCGAAAGACAAAATTCGAAAAATTAAAACAACACAAAAAAAGAATTGCAACATTTAAGAAAAATTCTAAGAATTGAGAAATTTATAATATCGAAAAGCTACAAAAATCAAGAGAATTTAATCTTAATTTAAAAAAATTAAAACATTCCAACAAATATGAAATATTTCATATTTTTATTATGTATTTTTTTATTTCTGTGAAAAAATTTAAATATTCCAACAAATATGAAATATTTCAGAAATGCCAAAAATTATAAAATGCATATCGGACAATGTTAAAAATCGAAGAAAATTTGGAATAACATAAAAAGGTAAAAAACAAAGTGATGAAGAGAAATGCATGTTCGTAAAATTGAAAAAATCTGAAATTCTATAATTACAAAACTTGCGCCAACATTTGAAGAGAATTGAACATTCATTCAATTTTAAAAGAATTCAAACAACTTAAAAAAATTCGAAGATTTAAAAAGTATACAAATCAAAGAAATGGTATAAAGAGATTAAAAAAACTAAGAATTCGTAAGGTTTAAAAAATCCGTAGAAGACAAATTAAGAAAACGCAAAAATTAGGTAACTGAAACTCAAAAATTCAAATTCGGAAAAATTACTTAATTTGAGATTATTCGATAGGTTTAAGAAATACGAAAAATTAAAAAAATAATTGAAAATGAATACCTATCCATTCAAAAAAATGCAGCGCGTGTTCAAAAAAATTTTAATTTCTGTTATATCCGAGGTGGAATTTATAATAACATTGACGAATAAAAAATTCAGGAATTCAAAAAACACTTCATTTTAAAAATAATTGAAAATATATAGAAATTTAAGACAAAGTAAATAATTCTAGCAATTCATACGAAAATTTAAATTGGAACAACTGAAACCAGTATGTACTCAAGAATCCAATCTAAAAAACTTGAGGAAAGAAAAAAAAACAGAATCATTTCAAAAAATTACAACTAGCGTTTGTTATTTTCTCAGATTAGAAGAGGGTTTTTAAACAAGAAAATTTCACGGAAAGTAATTAAAAAAGTTATTCTAGATTGTTCTTTTCGTGGAGTTTTACAATTTTTCTAAATGTTTAATTCCCTTATGTTTGTGTGGGCCTTTTTTTTGCAATTTTATTTCAGTTTAATTTTTCGAAATTTTCCTGATTTTTTATTAATTTCCTTTTTTTGGACTGCAATTTTTTGATTCTTCGAATTTTTTTTAATGTTCCTAATTTTTAGTTGTTTTTCATTTTTGTGTATTTTCTTGCTAGAATTATAGCATTTTCTTAAATGCTTCGATCTTTACATTTTTTCGTGAATTTCATTTTTTTAAATCATTAATTCCAAATTTCTTAATGATTCGATTTTTTAAATTTTTCTCTCAAAAACTGGCACCAGTTTTTTTTTCTTTTCGTATTAAAATGTGTATGAACATTCCTCATATGCCAACTTTGAATTTTTGAGCGAGTTCGGAATGTTTAAAATTTTTCAAATGTGCCGCCGTATCTACACAAATTTTGTTAACATTCATTATTCATACTGTTAATCTTATAGGACACATTTATTTATTTTAAAAACCTACGTCGGTACGTGTTTGGGCAGGTGAGATAATATACCTACACCAAAATTTATTGTTGGAATGGAATTACAAAAACAGAACAATTCCATGGGCGCGTAGCGTTTTTCGAAAATTGAAATCGTTAATAATGCGGTTATAACAAATTTGACCGCAATGTGAAAGCTGAAGGTTAAAATACTAGAAAATGTGAATATGCGCTGAAGATCGTTCATTATCAAACAGCGGCGATCGTTCGTTACGTGGATATCAATCGCGTAGGGTAAATTATTGAAAAAAAATGAGCTATGGGAAAGTTTCCGATAACGCTATCGAAGCAGTGGGCAGCTCGAGTAATGCGATTAGGGGTGGCGGTTGTGGTGGTGTTGTCTTAACCGCACTCGGTAAATAAAGTAATTGAATGTTGAGCTTGAGGAGCGAACGAAATTTTACCTTTTTGCTGTTATTATCTTGCAGGAAGGGCGAGAGGAAAAATAACGTAGCGAGTACATCTGGCAGCGTTGCGGGGGAATGGGGAATGTCAGACGTTGTTAGGCTAAGCTAGGGGAAACATCGAGGCCACGGTAGTGCTGCCGCAAGGAGCGCAGACGGCAATCGAGCGTACTACCGTACAGCACGCCAGCGGAGCAGTGCCAGTCGCGATCAGTCATGGCCTCCGCAAAAGATACGGCTACGTTTTTTCAGCACGGTACTTCGTCGCAGTTCGAGCAAGTTTTAAAGCTTTACCCCCAAGCCTTAAAGCTCAAGTCAGAGCAGAAGACAAATAAGAAGCCCGAGGAACTAATCAAACTAGATAATTGGTAAGTATTTGAGTGTGTCATTGAACCCGCATTCATATGTGTCCGCTGACGGCCGCTGAATGAGTACACCCTCACGATATCTTAGCGGGCGGTCATTAAAATCACGCTTGTCACGTGGTAATCGATGACAATTGCACTCGCTCTCCCGATTTTCGTTTGTTTACCGGCCTTTTTCTAATCATAACTACGATATCGTCAATGGCTGTACTTCGTTTATCATCATGGCTACGTGAGTTTTCCCTTCAATTTCGAGCCCGTTGCAAAATTCATTTTCTAAAAACGCGTTTGGCCCTTTAATTGTTCATTAAACGCGCGCGTTATTGGAAAAACCTAACGTCGTTCGCGGAAAATTAATAAAACATCAAACTTATCGGGACTGCCTTTCAAAATGGTGCCTGTTCAAACAAAGCCAACTTTGGTTTGGGAAAGGCATTAATGTTTTATTATATTCGATATTTGGGGGTTGTTTTAAATGAAAACTGGGAAATGTTCAAATATTCGCGCATTCGATCTAGTGCTAAAAGTAATTGGCGGTTTGTCCTTTTATTGATATGAGGGAATTTTACACGCACGCCTCCTGATGCATTAAATGGATTCGATTTATTGCATAATCAATTAAGGGATCATTACTGTACAAAAAATCTGAGACAGCTTGTTCCACTATTCTCGGCGAGCCTAGCTTGGCCACCGGCCAATCTTTTTTTATAGGTAGCTTATTTACACACACCGATGTCTGTAGGTATCAAAACGAACTGCCGAAGAAAATCAAGAGTCGAGGCAAGGAGGCCCACATGATCCACGAGGAGCTCGTACAGACGATGAAATGGAAACAGATTAGGGGGAAATTTTATCCGCAACTTTCGTACCTCGTTAAAGTGAACACGCCGCGCGCAGTAATCCAGGAAACCAAGAAGGCCTTCAAGAAATTGCCCAATCTAGAGCAGGCGATTACTGCACTGTCGAACCTTAAAGGTGTTGGAACTACGATGGCATCAGGTGAGTTGGGCAATTTTTAATGCCGAGGTGTGAGGTATTCGCAACCGTGACCGTTGTGCAATTTTAGTGGTGACACAAATTTTTAAAAAAAGTGCACCTAGTCTTATATTGAACCCTGTGTCGTTCCACTTATGACTGGAAAAAATACATAATGCATCAAGAGGTCAAAAATATGAGGCAGAAAATGTCCAGGGATTCCCATACTGTGAATACTTTAGTAAATTTCCAAGTTTATGCCTGGATTTTTTCCCAATTATTCCCAGGCATTTCTAGGTATTCCGTGATTATTATAAGTATTCCTACATATTTAAACTGTATTACCATGTTATTTTTATTAAACGAACAGGAAAAGTAACTTTTAGCACAATTTGAGAAATGGTTACTTCAAAAATCTCTCTTGCAGTTAAAAAAACCATTGTACAGATCCAAAATTTGAGCTGCCTCATCACTGAAGACCTTATAAGGCTTATGAGATAGGGGGTCATTCAAGTTAAAGCAAGGTGTACCCAACAACATGGTGTTTCACAAATTGAAAATTTTGAATATTTCAGGGTACAAAAAAAATTTTTTTTTTTCAATTTTCTAAAAATCGATAAAAAAGACAAAACCTTTATCAATATAACAAAATGTTTAATTGACAATATCTTAGTTCTGACTAACCGCCTAAAAGAGGGTAGACGTATAGTATAGAATGTAATAACTAATAAGCAATGATAAATGTGGCAAAAAATAAAGTTGATGATGGCCGCGAGAAGAAAAAGCGTTTGATTACATTGTTACTTTTAGCATTTTGTATTGATGTGATATTTATTTTGCAATATCTCTATGAATACATCCAGGAAATAAGAAAATCTATTTCCCAAAATTGTTTTTTTTTTGCAAAATTATATTGTAAATTAAACATAAGAAAAAGGGAAAAATTAATAAATAACTAATAAATAAAAGAAGGAAATAAGTGTATTAAAACTAGGTTTTTACGTTACTGTCTAGCTAAAAAACAATTCATCATCAGGAATTTTTTTTAATACGATGGCCAACCGTAAACTAACGTTTTGAAATAAAAAATTAAGAAAGTATAAGAAAAAGCTTATTATATACAGGGTGAACATTTTCTTTATTTTAACTAAGGAAAAATGGATCTAGGTGTCTGGAGCGCAATTTTAAATTCAGCTAGCCGCTAGGGGGCATTTCTCTAATTTTGTTGATTTCCTTAAATCTCCCATGACTTTCTTATTATTAAAGATAATTGATTTTGGCAAAATCTTTCCTAGAGCACTTTTTTTAGACATAGGCATTAATAGATAGATTCATAATATGCATTCTGATATCGAATGTACAGTGTGTCCTATTTTGGTTGAGACTGCAGTGTTTTTCAGCTGTTAGATAGAGACTTGCGGTTTGCGCGACCCTGGGTCCCTTTTTTTTGTGAAACTTTACGTTACGTTTGATTCTAAGATACAGGCTGAAAACGAAAAATGTGACCTTTTGAGATTGTTAGCATATCTTACTACCCATGTAAGATGGAAAAAAGGTAAAAACTGTCCATTTTAGATATTTTTACATAGAATCCAGCCAGTGGAGTTGTAAACAAATTTTTTGGACCACCGTTTCCGAGATTTAGCCCGAAGTTGATATTTTTTAAATACAACATCCTGTATATCGTAACGTGATTTTTTTTCGCATTATTTTTCCTCATTACATTGATGTATCGGAATCTTTATTTTTTTTTAATTTTAGCCTTAAACCAAAAATAAAAACCTTATTTTTACGATTTTGAAATAGTAGGCCATGGATGGGTTTATGGAGATTTTGTTTCGTTTATTTTATCCATGGTAACTAAGGCAGTCGATACCAATAAATAAAAATGGCTGGAGGTCATTTCAAATTTCACATTTGAAAAATATGATGTATAATATACAGGGTAGTTATTACTATTAAAGATGAAATCCATGCTCTCAGTTCAATCCGTTTGATACATGGCATGAAATTAGTACGCTTCCATTTGACATTATTTCACATATAATGAGGTTTACAAAAAATTTTTTGATACGGGGTTTTTCAGTGCGACCGCCATCTTGAAAATTTTTTTTAATGGCCACATAGGCCATATGTATGATAGGTCATTAGGAAGCTTATACCTTGAACATTTATGGGGTTCAATTACAAATTTAGATTTAGATTGTATGAATTTTGCATGACCTTTTTTAATAGGACACCCTGCACTACTCTGAAAAACTATTACACTGGAGTGAGGAGGCCAGGAAACATCTCCGAATCTTGAGATTAAGTGACCCGGAAACAAGTTTCGCAACAGGGCCATTGACGCCCTGGCAGTGTGGGCGGTGGCCCCCATCTTGCTGTAGGTTCAGTCTACAGATTTGGCAAAAAAAGTGGGTTGATCATGTCTGTGTATCGTTGAAGTGACCGCAATCCCGTTCTCAAAAAAGAGGGACCCAAAGACTCGAGATCGCGCACCACGCGGATACTTTGCGGGGAGTGAAGGGGTCTCTCAGGAAGTTTCCTCGGATTTGTTTTTGCCCAGCAGCAGCAATTCTGCTGATTGACAAATCCATTGAGGTGAAAATGAGCCTCGTCACTTTTGAACAATAAATTTAGATACTTTTAAATTATTATTAACAGAACGTCAAAAAAGAAACAAAGAGCAGGCGTTTAATAAATGACAAAACAGAAATAGATCTTAATTTTGTGAAAAATGGCAACGGTTTTTCAAATTTTTCTGCATTATTTTCTAATTTAACACCATACATGATTAAAGTAGTAAGAAACAGAAAAAATAAACTTTCTAATGACGTGTCACATGATCTATGTTGCCATTTAAAAAAATTCAAGATGGCGGTCGCTTCCGTTCCATCTTTTATAGCGACCCTGTATATACATTTCGAACGTTTACTGTAGACATTAAAATTATTAGTTTCTTCAAAGATGATATAACTTCTAGTATTTTTTGTTTGAATTTTTGTATCTTTTTGCATAAAACAAAAACCTTTGTTATAGCATTTATGTAATTTTTTTTTAGTCTGCTTTCGATAACAATAACATATACAGGATGTCTCATGTAAAAACAAAAAGTAAAGGTCATTTCCTTTCCGACTAAACAGGAGTATAAAAAAAAGACATTACAATTATTGAAAGCAATTGCAAACTTTCCTATTTATGAAAGCATTTAAATGAAATTTGATACATAGCCTTTTGGAATAAAAGCAAATATAACGCCAGTTTCAAAATTTAGTTTTGCGCATGCGCAGTGCCAACTTTCTTATTTATGGAGGAATGTAAATGAAATTTGATACATAGCCACTGGAATAAAAGCCAATGTAGCGCCAGTTTCCAAATTTGGTTTTGTGCATGAAGTGCAGTGCCAATTTTCTTATTTATGGAAGCAATTAAAAGAAATTTCATACATATGCACTTTAAATAAAAGCAATACTAACACCAGGTTCAAAATTTGGTTTTGCACATGCTATAGCCATATCCACATTTTCTATATTTGTTTACACGTTTGTTAGTATTACATATTGATCATGATCATATACATATTTTTTTTTTCTTATGCAAAATCGTTGTTATTTTCGGACAAATTCCCAAAGGTTTAACTTCTACACTTAGATTACTTTTCATTGGAATTGATCTGAAATTTTGATAAAAGGCTCCTAATTTTTAGACGTTCAGTATAATGAAAACCAGGGTTCGAAGGATATATATCAAGTGATATATATCCGATATATATCGCGATATATATCACTTGATATATATCAGATATATTCAATAATAAACTGTATAGTATCGATCCGTTCAGCTGCCGCGTGAGCTTCGCCGATCGGGTACTCCCTTATTGCAGATCAGGTGAATCACCGGCGCAACGATTTGTTTAATGTTTTATTTGCTTTTTCAGTCTTTCCCTGACTGTTGTGTTGTGTGAATAAGAATAGTAATTTTTATTTAATTAATATGCCAAAACCAAAGCAGAGAGAGAGAGAGAGAGAGCATTTATTTCAACCACGAATGTGGTGTAACTGTCACACAATAACAACAAAAATAAAAAACACAATAAAGTACAATAAATAATATAAATATATCTATAAAAAAGAAATGTAAATAGGTGTATATATTAAAATTTATTTATTTATTTATTTTATTTTTTTTTTAATATGATTAGCATTTTTTGATATTCGTAAAGAAATCATCCAGTGTGTATAGCACCATTGATTGAAGAATTTTTCTAATTTGGTTTTTAAAAGGAGCCAACATTGTAATACATGTGCCGGAAGGACATTATAAAATCTCACCCCCATCTGTAGGTAGGACCAGTTATGCACCTTACTTTTTGATCTCATAGAAAAGTTATTTTTCGTTCCAGTTCGCATCCAGTTTGGCGATACTTTGAATGTATAATTAAAAAGGACAGTACTGACTTTTTTTATTGAATAAAAAGTTTTGGAAATGAAATATAGTCAAGGATTTATTTGATATATATCCGATATATATCTGATATATATCCGATATATATCATGTGATATGATATTTATATAAATATGATATTTTCGATCGCTAATGAAAACGTCATGGCTTGGATGAAAAAATAACGTCATGGTTCCATTTGAAAAAATCGATTTTCATTTTCAGTTTTCCACATTAAACTATACCTTTTTTATGAAGATACAATCAATATGTTCGTTCCGCATCAAACCTATATGTTGTTTGAATACAAAAAGAATTTTGTTATGATATGAAGTATGGGTTAAAGATATAATTTTTTTGTTCATTTTTGATTGAAAAAAAACTATACGTAGCCCTTTTACGCTATTGTAAAACAAATGACGATGTTGCGCGCTCTTAATGTTGATAGTCACTGTGTATGTGTGTCATTAAAAGATGGTCATTCATAAAATTTATATTCTTACAGCTCTACTGGCAGCAGCATGTCCGGAAAGTGCACCGTTTATGGCAGACGAATGTTTAATGGCGATACCAGAAATTGAAGGCATAGATTATACCACCAAGGAGTACCTGAAGTTTGTAAACCACATTAAAGCCGTAGTAGACAGATTAAAACGTGAGGATCACAAAATGTCGTGGTCGCCCCACAAAGTCGAATTGGCAATTTGGACCCATTACATAGTGACAAAATTGAAACCAGAATTGCTCTCTAGTAGGTTCTTCTCGTATTATTAATGTGCTCGTAATGACCTCCAATTTTCCTCAGGCGTCGGCATTGAAAATGGAAACTCGCTCGTCCACTCGAACGGCGATCTGTTGGACGCGACAACGTCCGATGAAAGCAATCAGGGTCCTATGAACGGCAAGTCGGCGGTCCTCGATGACGATACGACCACGTCGTTCACCGAAGACAGCATGGACAAGCCGAGCTCTCCGATTATGGCCAACGACGAGACGAACGACAGTATCGTGTCGGATTCGACTAACGATTCGAATGAGGGCGACTTAAAGAGATCGCACGACGACGATTCAAATTCAGACGAGAAACCGAGCAAGAAAAGTAGGGGTAATATAGGGAAAAAGTGACAAATGCGATCTTTAACGAAGCTTTTTTAACTGTATGAGTAAAAATAGGTATCGTCTCGTTTAATTAAAGTTTTTATTTCACTTTTGTCCGTTTTTTGGGTGCGCGTCCGTCATACTATGTACTTATTTCGCACGAAAATGCTGTATTACAGGGTGTTCAACCGAATGTTGTGTGTGTTACAAGGTTGTCTTCCCGGAGCTCGAGTCAAACACCTCCCCAGAACTCTTCCATATTGCTACTGATCTTAAACAAAGTCTTCTTTTCTCCCATTTTTCTCAAAGACCATCAGGACGTGCGAGTTTACGAACTGCCTGTAATTGGAAATCGTGGCACCCAAAAAACCGACCGCGTTAATTTCAATTTTTTATAATTTCGGAATGGTTAATTTTACAATCCAATCTCACAACCGTCGCCGTCAAGTTCATTCTTGTATTTTGATAAATGGGTATTTTCTTTTCGATCGGTTTACGAGTAACGGCCACTTTGTACGAAGCAGTAGGCCCTTTACACCTGCAAAATGTGAATTTGCCGATTTGTATAGGAAATTTTTTTTATATAAGAATCGCGCGCGAGGGGTGGATTATGAGACTGTAAAAAAAAACAAATCATACGAGCGTAATATTACCGACCACCTGCGAGCGGAACTATCCTTAGCTAATTTAGTATTCTAATGGAGTGCGTTGCGTCCGATACGTAACCTATGGGAGTGATTCTCGTTCTTGTTTAACTCATAGGTTTGCTATCGGATGCGTTAAACAATAAAGTGAATGCTTATTTATCAACTTACGTAGTTACCATTTCGTTTATCCTCCCATTTTATAGGTCTATAATTTAAATTATTATTTGTAAAAAAAATCGTCGTATTTTCGCATTGTCATTGGTTAGTTTTTACGTAGATTAATAATTTAACAAAGAAAAGTTATTTTGATACTGTCTTAAATCGCTAACATAATTTTCTTACTGTTGTAGAGTAGTTGAAAATACATATTAAGTAATTTATTTCATTCATTGTGTTAATATTCCTTAGTAGGCATTCGTTTTAAAATGCGCTATGATGGTACATTCCACTTAAATGTTTTTATGTTTCGTTTTTTTGTCTGAATTTTTACATTTGGAGAGGAATTTAGCATTTTGTGTTTATTTCTTGATAATACGCTAAACAAAAAATGGCATTGCATTCATTTGTGTGTGCAACTTCAAGTGTGAACATTCAAACTTTGAGGTTATAAAATTGTGCACGGACGGAGTACAAAAACTTAATCGACGATTTTATAACTTCGAAGGCAGATGCTCCATTATTATAAATATATTTATATATAGAAATACAACAAATAACTGAATGCCTTTACGAATAATATTGTAGTACGTATACACTTTTACAAAACAGATAGTTAGTCACTTTATTATTTAACATAGTGAGGTGTTAATTTTAATGCCGCGATTGTGAATGTCTCCCGTCGTACAGTTCTTATTACAAATATATATAATTAAATAAATGATTCATATTTTTGATTCCTGCTTCTCTATTACTACATGCCGCTTTTTTCGAATGGAGATGTTCATTATTGCTAATTATGTAATGTAAAAAATATCAGTTAGTAGACAAAATGAGTTTGAGGTTTTTGTAGGATATTTTCATAAATATAAATCTTTCACGGCTCTTTTTTAATAATGCTAGATTCTACAGGGTAATAAATTTTTTCTGTATAACTAAACAAGCGTTATCAGAATTTATTTAACAATAGTCGACAATTACAACATTATTGTATCAATCCCACAACGGTGGGAGGTTGCCACCACACCTTTTCCGTGTTCTCGTTTGAGATCGTCAATACCCCAACAACAACAGGTGCTGGTGAAGATTCTTGCCAAAGTGATTTTGCAGTGTCTGGCTGGTTTGCTGTTAGCCTACTCTGTAAATTGTATTAATAATAGCTGTGTTTCGAGTTCCTGCCGTTGATTATGGGTCTGATTGCTTTATCGTTTGAGGCATCGTTTTTTTCACATTTAGGTGCTTTCCAGGAGTTGCTCTTTAAATGGAGGTAGCGCTAGTAGATGTAGGTTCAGTTCAGAGGGTGGTGTTGCGCTTACACTGGTTTATTGCGGTTCTGGAACTTGCAACGGCATAGTTTGAAGGGTATCCTGAGACGCGCTCTGTATTTTTTAAAGTTTTAATCGTGCTAGAAAGAATATCCTAACTTCCCACCCGGCCCGGGGTCACAGGAGGGTGAGAGGTTTCACCCTGTATGTTCAACCTACAATGATGTACAACTTTTTGACGGCGCGACTTATTAGAAATGGAAAGCTGTATGCGTAACGTTGGTTACATTTGGCAGCTTGGTCTTAGCGGCGGGAAAGCTACGTTTGGTTTACGTTTTTTGTTTATTTGTGTCTTGAATACAACTTTTTATAATTTTCCGTGTTTTTCAAATTGACTTGATTTAACCTCAATGCAGAATCACGTGTTTGGCACCGTTAACTTTTATTTTGTTTGAAATCGCCTTTATTTTTGGTATCGATGTTTTCCAACAGTTGGTAACGTTTAGGCAGTGTTATTTTATTGCTATTTTTCTGCAAAAGCATGTGTTACTATAAAAAAAAGGTGTGCGTTCCAGGGCCCCATATTGAAATATCGGTAAGTTGTAACAATTGTTTCTATGTATAAGAATGAACAGTATTCTATCTTATTTCGTTTAGTTTACTGAAAAATCACGTTGAGGCATTTTTAAAGTATGTATTTAAGTGATTGCGTTTGAGGTAATTCCGGCCACCAGTGTGTAGGCAATACCGACATTGCCCCATATGGATAATTATGCTCAAATTTTCAGATAGGTACCGCGTGGGCTTATAAACGAACAACTACAAGAGCCTCTTGGACCTCCGATGCGCGGATCGTGATTAGTTAGAGGGATTTATTAAGGTGGGTTCATAGTTCTCCGTTCATACGTTTTCGTTTGTCCGTTAGCCAATCAGAAGACCGTAAACTTACAAATCTCACGTCGTCCGTTTACAACGGAAAAGTTGGTTGAAGTACGTTTCCGTTAAATTATGTTTGGTACATTAACAATGTTCGCATATTACGTTCTTCACGTTGATAATAGCAAACTTTCATACATTTCTACAACGTATTTGTTTCTACGTACTGAAGATTACAATGGGTAGGTACACATACAGTACAAAATGAAATTTAGGTTATGGTTATACCTTGTAAACGTACGATGTGGAAACTTGACTGTATCGAAAGCCAATTTGCTCAAACGTCATATCGAGGAGTCGATGAAAATAAAAATATTACTTTGAACTCTGTTCGTAACGGCCGTCTGAATTCAGAAGGGCGCTTTTCTGCCTTATCTGTAACAGATAAAAACACAAATAAAAAATTCACAGATTTCGCAATCCTTGCAACCATCGGAGACATTGGGAATGATATCCGTATAACGCAATATGTAAAACACAAATAACCCTTTCTCACCCGGGATCACTTGCTCCACTCGTTCGTGTCGCAAACGTACACTTTCTGAATAATAAGCCTCATAACATGCTCGTAATCTTATTAAAGGAGATAAGCGAGAATTTTAGATTGGAATTAACAAAACAATTGAGCACTATTAAATTAACCCACCGATCACGGTACAATTGTTACTTGATGCGACACTGCTGTCTTCTCTCCTTGAGCAAGAAACTGGTAACATACACCCATACACCAGACCCGTATCTAGGCGGTGGCGAGATGGGCCCCCGCCAAGGGCGCAACTACTGGGGGGCGCAAAATTGGCCATGAAAAAATTTCTTTTTACATTAGTGTATTAGGAAAAAAATTCAGGTTATTTAAACAAATGTTATTCCAGATTGTTAATACTGTACGTACTGTGACGGTGAATAGCTGGGTCGTTACAAAGTGATATTACCTTCATCTCTGCCCTTCCCCCCTTTTGCCTCCTTATGGTAATGTAATATATACAGTGTGTCCAATATAAGAAGGAAAAGCAAGTAAGTCAAATGATATTTTAAAAATTTGTAAATTCCGATCAGTTCCGAAAAAAAACGAAATTATTCATATTCGGTTTTATTTTTTACCGGCCCTGTTTGAAAAGATATCAAAAAACAAAAAAACACTTCCTCATAGGAACTTTTTAAGCTGTACAATTGGCGTCTTTCAGAAACCATCAACAACGATGTATGGCACAATAACATTCTTTATCACCTATATATCATTTAAAGCAGACGTGGGCAACCTACAGTCCGCTAACATAATTCATACTTAATACTTCATATGGCCCACAAGTTACATTTAAAATTACTTACTTATTGTTTTTTTTAAATGATTTTTACGAAAGCAAAAAATAGATCAAGACCAAAAAGAAATAGATAAATATTGATTTCTTTAAACATACAAATTCAAGTGTGGCCTTTGGCGCTTATGAACAATTTTATTTGGCCTCTTGGAAAAAAAGGTTGCCCGTTCCTGATTTAAAGGAACCATCAATGAATTATTTTGATATTTTGTCAACGCCTACTACAGTAAAATGTTAAAAATTATTTATTATTTAGCTCAGAAAAATGGCTTGTTACTAAATTTTTAACATTTTTGGTGTAGTAGGCGTTGACAAAATGTCAAAATAATTTGTTCTTCTAAATGGCAAATTGTACCATACATAATTGTATTCGTAATAAAAAATGCTACTCAATACATCATGTACTTATTTCCGGTCCATATAAAAATATGAAGTTGATGATGGTTTCTCAAAGACGAAACGTCGCAGCGAAAATCTTGTAAAATGGTGAGCTTAAAAAGTCACTTTCGGTTTTTTTAAATATCTTCGGAACTGATCGGAATTTCCGCATTTTTAAAACATCGTTTCCGATGTGTCCATGATGTTCATTCTTATCTTGGACACACTGTATTTTGTAATCTTTTCTCCATGTTTTAAAGAAGCGAAATTCTCGAATTAAAAAGTTCCAAACCTTGAACTTGAATTTTCGGAGAAGGACCTCCCGGTCCTTGCGTTTTTGTTGGGGGGTATTTAATACCCCCACGCGCAGGTTTGAAGTGCCACCAAGGGCGCGGTCATATCTAGTTACGGCCCTGCCATACACAAAACATAAGCATTTTCAATGCTAAAACAAAGAGCGATAGTGAATAGCGCGGCCCTTTCTTCTTTTGTTCTTTTTTCACTCTTCCTCTGTGCTTATATGCATTCTCTCGACACTATCGATGCTATACCTATTGCTTTTTGTCTTTGTGTTGTTAAAGTACTTGCCTTTATTTTTCTTTTTTTAATTATCTTCACATGCTAATGATCCGATGATGTCCTTATCTGTTCATGTGTATTTGCCCCTCTTATCCTCTCTTTTCTGTTAAGTCTAAAAGCAATGTTCCCTCTTTGTTGCATTCTTGATCTCTAAATGTATTCGCTTATCTGCCCTTTCCCATAGATACCCATTCTTATTCTCCTTTTCCCATGCCTTGCTTCTAATGCTTTCCAAACCTCTACAACATTCCATCGTTTCCTTAGTTTTTCATGTTCCTTTCAGAGTTGTTTGGACCCTTGCCAGAGCATTCTATGATCTGTGCAGGTCCATTTTTATTAGTTTTTGAACTTTTCTGACTTAATTGTGGGGCTTCCTATGCAACGTTAAATCTTTTTAGAAAAACGTCCATGAACGGCAAGTTAATTTTTTAGAAATCGCCTTAAAATTCGCTGGAAAATTTTACTAACGCTTACCAGAACAACTTTCCAAAGCCCTCAAAGAGACTTCTTTAATTAGAACAGTGTTTTTCATAGTTTACGTCAATAAACAAATAAATTTATAATAGGGACATGTTTACAGTAAAATGATTAAATATTGTAAAAACGTTTATTAACAATTCAGTACCACTAATTAAGTAGATACCACAAGTAACTAAGTCTACTTTTGTTTATCCTTGTCTTTTCGTCTGCTCATCAATAGCTGGAAACCGACCCCATACATTATCGCAGCGCTGATAAACCCGACGTAGTAACATGACGCATAATACCTGTGAATGTTTGGCAGAGAGAGCAAGACAAATGCCATTGACAAATAGGAAAAAGCTTGCATTTTTAAGAACCATATTATCCACTCCCATATTTTTAATGACTACGAACGACCTGTTAATTAAAAACTAAAAATCCACAACATCAACTTACCTTCCCCGAATTCCCCTTTAAAAATAATTTGATGTAAACGTCCTCGATGGCGAGATAAAACGCGGCCAAACCTATGCACACATAGTGACCTGTGTATACTCCGTGCCAATACGCTGATAATACCATTGTCGCAACGGTTCTCAGTTTTTTGTTCGGAAATCTTTTGTAAATATTAAAAGCGAACCAATATTGTATGCATATGTTCCAATTTTTTATACCATTTCTGAACGTCGTACAAAAATCGGATTCGTATGGGTTTATGTTGTGGATCGTTTCGAAGTCGTATTGTTCGGTTTTGCGACGGTCTGGATTACTCGCGCTGAAAATCGTCAGGTTAGAAAGCTACAAACGACAAGCTGAAGTAGGTACATCGCGTCCATTTCTTTGAGATTTTCAGTGGGGCCCTGTCCGGGTTTGGCCGCGCACAGCTGCGGATAAGCACCCAGTCCCGCCATCGTGCAGATGCATTCGGATAGTGTCATGGCGATGTACAGCCGCATTCTGAATATCAGAAACGTTGGCCATGTGTACCAAAGTCGGTATAACCAAGAGTGGTCCGTGTAAAACGCGTCCGATTGCGCGTACTGAAAACATTGCAATGTAACTAACGTGTACCAAAAAAAAGGTGAAACTTGGCAAGTTGCGGGGATAGTGTGCTGTTTATTTTGGACCATGCGTCGTTAGTTCAAAAAGCAAACAATTTTTTCAGTTTTTCAACCACGAAAACAAGTTTTAATATTCTTTATAATAGACTTGACTGGATTTGCATTTTGCACCTACCAACTTTTCTTCCGCTTCTGCAATAAGCCATTGAATGGACGGTGTATTATCTTTTTCAACCGAAATCATTTTATTTACAAACACGGTGATTTTTAAAATAAACGTCGCAATCATGATATCACGAATAAACGGCCCACTTAATTAGACATGTATTCGAGTATAACGTCAATATGATTTTATTTTATTTCCCTTATTTTTAAATTACATTGTAAGTATAATAAAACGTTCAAACTCGTTGTACATGCATTATGCACTTCTCTTTTAATAGTCTATTATTTAATTGGTTGGGTGTGCACTTGTCCCATATCAAGGGCGTTCAAAAATGGTAATTAGTTTTTCTAGAAAAAAACCTAACACCGTTTGGGACTCACAGACCGAAAACCCCACTAAATGCTATACTACTGCAAGGATCACACTACCTCATTGCACTGATGTCAGACACCAAAAAGTAGGAAGTACATGAGAGAGACACACATAGGAATCTTTTATGCCTTAAAATAATACCGCTTAATATCGCGTCGGTCCCTGAGACCGTAAGAGGGTACATTATTCTTTCACAAGTGCAGATTATGGATCGGCATGGGATATTTAGAAAAACGACAATAATGAATGCAGTTCTTGAGATGGACATATTATGCTACTCTGGTAGGGGTGGTACCATCAGAATTGGTGGTTTACTATCTGTGTTATACTATTCTAATAGCTTCTACCTCCTGATTTACTTACAGCAAGCGGCCAAAAATGTGTAGCTCCCAGAAATATTAGAACAAATAGTGGCACCAAAGCTAGTTTTTTCATCGTTTCTTCATTGCATGCTGCATAGTTTCCAAACGGTCGATTGAAAAAATCTTTAAAGGTACGAAATCGATAATATGGACCTACAAACAAACAGAAATTACGATTGAGATTGATCTGAAACTTTAGTGGTACTTCTGTTTGTTAAAATGCAGGACACAGTACTGCCCCCACTACTATAAAAATTGCATTCTGCTGGTGATCGAAATCGAAAAACTGGTCCTAGTTGTATTAAAAAGAAACTATCTGCATATCAAAAAGATCAAAATAACATGAGAGTTCTAATTCCCTCTGAAATTAAAAAAAAACTATTTTTTCCCTTATTAAGTAATCCTCCAAAATATTATCCGGGATATGCTATGCACATAGCATAGCAAACAGAATGTACTTTGAGAGTGCTGTCTACTCGAAATACAGGGGATACTGCAGTAGAACAGTTTATGACAGTAATGATGTACCTAACATTCTTAATTTAGAGATGAAAAATAGCAAACTTATAGGTTTTCCTGTCATTTCCATATAAACAATATTGTTTTCAGTTCTGAACTTCATTTTATTTTGTGCTCCGCGTCCCCTTTTTAACGAGATCATTTGTTTCAATTTATCTATCCGTGCCATATATTACAGTGATCACTTTCTACTCTTTCTGTGAAAGAGGGACTTGGACATACTCATTCAGAAAAATGTCAATTTAACACCTAAACTAATAAATTAATGTTTGAACCTGTTAATAAACCGATGTAATTGAATGTGTAATGAAAAACATCAAAAAATGTTGCATCGTCTTCTCCGCTTGACTCTTCAGGCGAACCCTTCTTTCTGTTCAAATAGGCAGTGTTCACCTCAAAACCCAAACCTGCTAATTTCAACGTCAAAATCATTTGTATCATGTTAGTGTGGGCCGGTGGATATGGTATTCCGAAGTAGATCGTAGTTCGAAAAAATAGCAAGTATAAAAACGAAAATCCGAAGCTTACCAAATGGCAATGGCTGAAAGTCACAGAATAGGTACCTTAATTTTAACACTACTTACTCGCTCACCTTTGCGGTACAAGTAAAATTATCGCGGCATTAATGAGAAAGGTACAAATCGAATGCCAAATGTGATATCCGGATACGGAGAAAATCATTAGGAGTCCCAGGGCACTTCCTATCCATTTTTTGCTTTCGACATCCTTAATCTCACGATATATTGCTCCAATTGCGATACAGAGCAGCAGGAGCACTATGTATATAATGTCATCGAAATCCATTGCGCGACTTGGCTTATTTTACATCTTTATAAATTGTAATTCTTTCGAAAAGGGCAAAGGTTGTTGTTTCTCCCATTGTAAACACTTGGGGAATAGGGCTTGGAAGTGAGGTTATGTTTTTGTTTATGTCCAGCCCCATGCAAGATGAGTGGAAATGCTAAGGACACGAAAGAAATTAAATCCTTCCAAGACAAATTGAAGCAATACTTCCGCACTAACAAGGGGAATCAGGGTGAGATTGGTCAAACTACCGATAATCTTCTAATTGGTCCAATTCGTAGGGCACAGATCGAGGCCGGATTTTACACTAACTGAAGACATCGAACGCTTGCTGAGCAGCGATTCCCCACCTGCAACGCGCATTCGGGCCATAAAAGAGTTGTGTGATGTCGTTGTGGCTAACAAACTTAAAGATGTGAGTCTCTCCCGTTTGCATTGTTTCCTAATCAATTTTTCGCACAGAAAGTCGTCGAGAAGCTTTGGTCGTGCCTGCAGGATTTGTTTTCGAAGGACCAACCGGAGGAGTTGCGGCACTTGGCCTTTCACTTCCTACAGTGTCTACTGAAGGGGCAAAATGAACGGCTGTCCCTAATGCGGGCGCATTTCTTTCGTGTCGTTAAAAACCACGACCATCCCGACGATATAATACAAAGATTTGAGCTGTTCCAGGCATTGACCAATTACGGCAAGGACGCGTGCTACTTCGAGGAGGAGGTTGCGCCGTTTCTACTGAAAATTCTACCCGAAATCACTAGCGCCGACTTAACTTTGGGTTACTTGAGCGTTATTACGACTTTTATTAAATTTAATGCCGCTTACATGGAGAATTCGATTTCTCAACTGATTTTGTAAGGGAATTTATTAATTATCGTACTGTGTCGTTACATGGGGACTTGTTACAGGCAAATTTCGGCGGTGTGCTTTTCTACTTCCAAAACGGAAGTTGTAATTGCATGCATCGAGGTTTTAGATACGATTTTGGCTTACAGTAACTTGCCCTCGGAAATTTTACCTCATTTCATAGCTATTTTGTGTAGGACTGTTAATGGGGAGGTCTATTGTCAGTTGAGCTGGCAGGTAAGTATCGCCTATTACACAATGAGAAAAATGAATGTAGTCTGCTGAGTGGAACCCATGTTACTGAGCTGCATGAGTGAACCCAATCTCTATTCTGCCATAGCATTATAGCTCAGTGGTAGAGCGTTGGGGTATAAATCCGGAGGTCGGGTGTTCGAACCTGGTTTGAGGTGAATTTTTCATCTGTGGCAAAGATGGGATTTTGTTTAGATCAGTTTCGAGCATTCTGCCGGCTACTCCGAATTAGGTTTTCCTGCAGTTTTCCTAATTCGTAAGGTAAATACCGGAGTAGTATAGAACACCTTAAGACTTTCTGCAGGGGCACCTCTAAAAAGCATTATGCGGGTCACTCTGTAATTGGGCGTAAGCCTGTTGAGGGCCTAGAACAAGAGGGACAATAAATAAATAAATAAATAATAGGACTGTTGAACCATGTACAAAAATTAGTTGCCTTGCATCTACTTTTTTAATCCGTCCGTCCTAGTCCTTAACTACTACAGTTTTCCATATATTTAGTTCGTTCTTTTTGAACTGGATAGCTTATAACTGTGTGGTACCATAGTGTAAGAATAGAATAGTGAAACAACCTTACGGAAAAAAAAGGTAACCGATTTGGACATCGAGATTTTTTAGTTCTGGACGCGACAATCTGGGGGCGCAGAAGTCGTGGATTTTAAAAGTAACCGATGTTACAAACTCTTAACAATAAATTGCACTTGGCGCTACACGAGAATAGATGGCGCGTTTTGCAAAACGAATTTACAGAAGGAATATACCTACTTTTATCTCATTTTTATGCGTAAGAAAAATAAAGAGGTAAATTAATCCATGCAAACGTCCCGACATTATTAATGCTCCTTTGTTATTACATTCTCGAGTACGTCAACTGAGTCATCACATTCTACTCACCTCGTTTAAATAACCTACCCTCGAACCTACCTTAATATTTCAAATGTTAGGTACCTATACTTAAATCGCATAAGCTCTCATATAAGTACTTATAGTAAAACTACGTTTAAAAGTTTTTCCCCCGTATATTTAAACGTTGAAAGTAAGCAATTAATAATTTATAGTTCTACACGTGGCAAAATCATCTAGATATGATATGTACTAGCATAGGTACTAGGCAGTCACGTTGTGGGAAATTCGCAGAATACAGAATGTAATTTAGGTACCTACTCATTACTTATTAGTGAAACAATAATACAGAATTTTTCTGAAGACGTGATGAACGCACGCAAAAAAAATTCATTCCAGTGTTATTTAATTTACAATGTGCGAACAATTTAATAGCTGTAGGCTCTTCTGAACTTGACAATTTTATTTCGAGTTATGGATCTGGATGCCTCCCACAAAGTTCAAACAAAACCTTAGAACGAGTTTTTTGAGGAGGGTCTTCTTTAGGCGGTTCTCATTGTGCCAGTGAACTTCTTCTGAATATCATCACTAATCCTACAGTCTTATTATTAAATCATTAAATTAGCTCCCCGAAAAATTAATACAAACAGAATTGCCAAATATGAAATCACATCTTACTCCAATATTACTTATACATAGCTCAATCTTATTATACGGGGTGGTGACTTGACGAAAGCACCATAGTAACTTCAATAGTAATTTTTTAATTTCCGATTATTGGCTTCCGTAGTTATTTTAGAAATAAAGTCTATTTAGGTTTCTTGTAGAGAAAAAAATTGCGAATCTATAAATACTATTGTTTTCTATTTTATAAATCCAGAAACAGTAAAAATTTAAAAATTAAAAACTGACGCGTTTATAAAGTCTGTAATGCCATGGAATTATGAAATCAAACAGAAGCGCCTGCATTTCCCATTCGCGCCATCAGTGAGCTTTGTTTGATCGCAAAACTACCATGGCACCACTGATTTCCTTTATAAAAAGCGCCAGTTTTTAGTTATCCAATTTCTTGGTTTTAAAGTTCAAAAAATTAAAAGCCATAGTATGCATGGATTCGTAATTTTTTTCTCTACAAAAACCCTAAATAGACTTTATCTCTAATTAGGGAAGCCAATAATCAGAAATGAAGAAATTACCATTGAATTTCCTATGGTGCGTTGTTCAAGTCACCATCTCGGTATATGCCTGCGATCCTGCACTCTGCTCAGAACAAAACTACCGAAAAAGTTCTTAAAATAGCCATTTTCCTATTTTAAAGATAGTTGCAAATCTTTATCACAAAAAACTTTAATGCCATTGAAGGGACACCCCACATTTTACACAGAACTTAAATTCTACGTGAAGAAATCCTAAGCAAAATGACATACCTAACGTAAACTGCACTTAAATGTAAATGCCTAAAATTGTTTTGATAGGCAATTTATAACAGGAAAACTAGTAGGGATTTAGTTGACATGTTATAATAAGAAAGCTTTATTGGCTCTAAACCTTACAATTAAAAGATTAAACGCCGCTTTTTCATCTTACCGTTGAGGGTGTATGAGGTACTGTTATTAGTAACAATAGAAGTTACTTTTGGAACTCAAAATAGGTAGATTTTTCTGGTGAAATGTTGAAGTTCCAACCGGAGTTCTTAATCATTAATAACCGTTCTGTAATGAGATTTTGTGATAAGAACAAAAAAAGAAAGATGCATTTTAGTATTTCAAGAACAAAATATTGGTGACCATTTTTAAAGTTTCGAGTATTTCCTAAAGAGTCATAAAAATTGTATAGCAACTTGTAAAAACAGATACTATTTATTTTTGATACCTACTGCATACTGAATTTTCTCCCGAAGAGTTGTAAAGGAGTTTAGACAGCGCCACACTGGTTATAAAGCCTACACCTTTAGCAACGGAGGAGGAGGATCAACCATATTCTAAATACCAAGTAAAATATTCATAGATATGATTACAGTTCCTGATTATCCCCCAGGAGTTCTGAAAGTTTTTCGAATATGGCGTTGAATATCACATTTCTTAAAGTTTTAAAAGCCACTTTATTAATAGCGTTTTAGATGAAATTTTCTGGGGCTAGCACAGATACCACCCGCACACCTCCGCATGCCCGTTATGCCCAAAAGCTTTTCAGTCCTTTCTTTCTTTCTTTCTTTCAGACATCATTGAGATTTTGTTTGATTCGGATTTCTGGTGTATTTCCGTAAAAAAAAAGTAGAGGTAGTTTTTTTATCCCAATTCAATACCTCCCTCACTAACGTGCGGGTGGTACTATACCTCCATAAGTATCATACGTGTAGCCTGAGCGTACGCGCTTGCTTTGACATGAGCTAACCAATTTGTCTGTTTAATGTTGACAAACTGTAGCCCTTAGTTAACTGTTTCCGAAAACGGAATTCTAAAATTCGCCCATGATTCCGAATTATGGCGCGGTAAAAAGGACGGACACAATAAAATAATAATAATAAATAAAGATGTTTATCATTGGGATCTACGAAACTATAGAAGGTATGACGATAGTCAATTTGAGGAAAAGTTGCACAAACCAGGTATTTATCATGCTTTAAAGAAAACCAGAAAATTCCTATTACTTCCGGTTCCAAAGATATGCCGGACAAACCCAAATTTCCCAATTTCGTTTTCATTTTTTTCTGATGTTATTTGAACAGATACAAACAAGTATAAATTGTGCACAACTCTTGTGCAGATAAAGCGCATTTTTTAAACCGAAATAGTTTTTGTTAACACTGGCAATGACAAAGTGTTTGTTATTTTTTTGTATCTATTCAAATGCCATCAGAAAAAAATAAAAACGAAATCGGGAAATTTCTGTTTTTCTGATATCGGAATTTTTTGGTTTTCTTTAAAGTATGGTGGTTAATTGCGCAACTTTTCCTTAATTAGACTATCTTCATACCTTCTATGGTTTGAATGGTTTCGGAAATCCCCATGATAGACATCCTTATCTTGGACACAGTGTATACGCTCATCTCATGCTCATCTCATTACATTTTTTTAAGAAGGTTTATTATCTGACATTAAAACACAATAATGATTATGAAATTTTTGAGTTTTCGTACCCTTTTTGTACGAATAATATTTCAGCACAGTTTTGAAGCAAAATTTGGAATTCTGATTAGAGTTTTGGGTCGATATGCAGAAGTTTTGCTCTAAAATGTATATTTATTAAGTAAACCATAAATCATAATAAATATTGAAAGCCCGTAT